CGAAGATCTTCCCGGAGGGAACCATGGCGACGTAGTCAGCTGCGACCTGGAAGCCAATGGGCGGGGACGGCCCTCGCCCCACGATGATGTCCCGGTACTGCAGCCCCGAGGGGGTCGTCTGCAGGGGGATCTGCAGAGAGGGGAATGGGGAGGGAGCGAGAACGCGGGAATGGGGGGGATGTGGGTAGGGAGATGGACAGTGCGCGAGGTCGCCCCACGATGATGTCCCGGTACTGCAGCCCCGAGGGGGTCGTCTGCAGGGGGATCTGCGTGAAAAAGTGGGGAATGGGGGAAGAGGGGAGAGAGATGAATGGAGGGAGAGAGAGGGATCGGCCCAACACGATGACACGGTACTGCAACCCCAAGGGGGTCGTCTGCAGGGGGGACTGCAGGAATGGGAATGGGAACGGGAGAGAGAGGGAGAGCGAAGGAAAGAGAGGAAAGGGGGAGTTGGGTGGTTATGATTACGTTGCGTTCTGTTCTGCATCCCTCGTCATCAAAACGATCAAAGGAACAAGTACCCGCTTCACATTCCACGCTTCCCACGCTCGGACGCAGTCCAAAAACCCTACTACGTCACTTCCACTCCATTCCCCTCCCTCCATCCTTTCCCCTTCCTCCCCTCCTCCCGCCCCACTCGCCTCGCCTACTCACATCTTCCAGCGTCGCCTCGCACTCCGCCGTGCACAGCTTCAGCTCCTCCTCGCTCTCCGTGGCTAAGTGCCAACCCACTCAAGCCGGCTCAAGAACCCAACCCCCACGCTGCTCGCTCGCTCGCCTCATTCCCTCATTACTCACATCTTCCAGCGTCGCCTCGCACTCCGCCGTGCACAGCTTCAGCTCTTCCTCGCTCTCAGTCGGAAGGACCGTGCGCGGCGCCGCCAGAGCGTCCGGGGAGAGGGAGAGAGAGAGGCCCAGCAGCCCGCCCGCCGCGATAAGCGAGCGGCGCGAGACGTCGCCGTCAGATGCGGAGGTGCTGGTCCTTGCGGCTTCTGCGGAAGGGGGGAGAGGAGGGGAGAAGCGAACGAGCAAGGGGGTGAGGAATGGTGACGGAATGGGGGGACACCGGAGCTCATTGGTAGGGATTTGAAGAGGCGAGCTGCGAAGGGAGGAGAGAGAAAGAGAAGAGTGATCGCACCTCTTTACTGGTAAAGAACAAGGTGAATGCGAACAAAACAAAAAAACTGAAACCAGACGAGTAATGCATATTTCGACCTTTTCAACTTCCCATAGCTCTCATTAGCTCATCAACTGGACTCTTTCTACTCCCTCCTCACTAGCTCCTTCGTTTCATCTTACCATCCCCTGTTTTCCATAACATATGCCGCTTCTCACCTGCTCGGCACGGCCGGACTCGGCGCTGGGAAACACTGACAGCAGCGTGACGCGCCACGTGCGCGCTCTCTGGATCCAAGAATGATACGTGGAAGCGTGAGAGAGAGAACGGGGAGAAGAAGGAACAAACAGGAAGGACTGGGAGCAAATAGAGTTTTGACGAGATTCACCACGCGCAACGCGAGATGTTGCTACTCGACGAGTTTGCGAAGCGACGAGCGCGAAATTGCAGCAGTGGTTATTGGTCAGTAATTATATTCACTGAAAAGGAGAGGTCAAGAGCATCTCTTCAGGGAAACTCCATAATGTAACAAACGATAGCAGCAAACTAACCAGCACTGCTTCTGATTCATTTGGCTCCGCATCTCACCTGATAGAGACGACGGAATGGCCTGCGCGCCGAGCAGGCGCTGAGAGGACGATACGACTTGGGCCGAGGCGCAGGCCATGGCGAAGAAGCTCGCGAAAGAGTGTGGTTACTGGCTTCCGCACGAGGCAGAGGCTGCGACAGCTAGCAGCTAGCCGAAACGCCTCTGGGAATCTAAATGCGACTGGCCGGTCGGCTCGAGCAGCAGAACAAGGCACAGCTTCTGCTGATGGATTTGTAGACTGACGTAGGAATGAACAATTGTGAGCAATTGTCAAATGTCAGTCTGTGAATCAATGATATTGGCTGGGTGCTTCTGTTGCATTCGCTGGTCGCATTGCATTCAGATGCCTGGAAAAGGATGGCCCTGGAAAACACCGTTGGCGGGGGGGAGTGGAATGCGGGGGGGGGGACACGGAAACGCGGAGAAGGAAAGGAAGGGAACCCCGTCAATGGGGAGATGGGCGGAGCTGCTCGGGAAACTTGGGGAAGCATGAGAGTGAAGCTGCGGGGGAAACCAGGAAGCTGGGGAAGGGACCGCGCGGGGACATTGCGACAGCCAAAAGGAAAAAATTGCGCGACGCGACAAGCGACGAACTTTTCTTTATCCCATCGACCAAGCTCGCATCGCAGGTAGGGCGATCCAAACCTCGGCCAAATGGATCGACTTACATGCGCTTTTGCGATAAAGACAGACAATTCTGATGCGTGAGAGTCGGTGGTCCCTCTCGATGTCATTGTTTCGGAAGCACGATTATGTTTGGCGCGCGTGCCACGTTTCTTGTTTACCGGAATATATATTGCGCGGGCAAGAAAAGAATAAACCCCATGACAATCGGGATCCTCAACCCTAAATTTTAGGGTTGAGGCTCCCAGATGGCATGCCGTAAGCCATGGGGTTTAATTTTTTGTGCCCGCGGTCAGCATGATGACTCACTCGGTAGCGTCGTGTACTGAAACCAAATATATATATTGGAAGAATCGGAACCTCAAACTGTAATTTCGCGATTCTGACCGTAAAACCAATGGCACCTGTAACGCATATCTACTCTTTAGCAGCATGAAAAAAACAGGAAGCGCATGACGGTCGATCCATTTGGCCGAGGTTCGGATCGCCCTATCTGTGGTGCGAGCTTGGTCGATGGGTTTGAGAGAAGTTCGGCTCCTGTCGCGTCGCGCAATTTTTCCAGCCAAAAGCTTTGTCAGTGGATGAGATTTGATGATGATATGTACCCTGAACCACGTCGACAGAAAACACGTCAGCAGACAGATTGTTGTGGAATGAGGCGGTGCTTCGTGGTTCCTTTCGTGGCCAAAGATCTTCTGGTGATTGGCGAAGGTACGTGTTCGCATCTCTTCGTGACAGGTTGGCACTTTTCGTTCAGTGTGGGCGACTGGCAGTGTCATCCTCGTTAGCGAAATGCGTTCTCTCAAGCACGCACTTCGCGTGTTGTTGCTGAAGCAAATCACAAACATGTATGCCAACAACTCCAAAAGCTATCATGAGCTTACATATGGGAAGTCCACCACTGTACAGACAGCTTAATCAATTTCGCGAATCGAGCGAGTAGCGCGAAAACAACGGATATGTGAGTAGTGACACACATTCGCCAGAGGTTGGGCGAAAAAAGATGCAGAACACCCAATCCAACTCGCGAATTGAGTGAGTAGCGCGAAAACAACGGATATGTGAGAAGTGACACCCTTTCGCCAAAGGTTGGGCGAAAAAAGATGCAGAACACCCAATCCAACTCGCGAATTGAGCGAGTAGCGCGAAAACAACGGATATGTGAGAAGTGACACCCTTTCGCCAAAGTTTGGGCGAAAAAAGATGCAGAACACCCAATCCAACTTTCAAAGCCAACAAGTGCTTGGGCCCCCACGCGATTGCAAGATTCAGTGTGACGTTTCCGGTGGCATGCTTATGCTGTCAAATAGGCAGAATGAAGGCCAATGGCCACAAATAGTTCCACTAGTAGGGTCCGAGCCCTTATTAGCCTAGCAAGGCAGCAGTGGGGCTGGGTATACGGCAACAGCAGCACCTAATTCCGCCCGTCCACCAACTTATCAAACAGCCCAGGGGACATCCGACAACCTACCAGATTTAGCCGACAGTTACCCATGAACACAGAGTTTCTTTGGGCGCCACTCGCAGGTGAACCTCCTAGGGTGGCGTCACAGTTGGTGACGTGGCCTTACGCAGAGCCGTAGCTGGCGTATTTGCAGTCGGGCGCGACGACGGACGAGGAGATGTAGTCCTCCACATCACCGTCCAGGAACCCCTTGCCCTCCGCCTTATCCACGTCCACGGGGTGGTGCAGCAGCGCCGCCAAGTGCGAGTACTTCACCGCACGCTGCAGCTGCTCCGGCGTGTTTCTAAAAGTCTGCCCCAACACGCCGTGCACGGCTGAAGTCATCGCCACGTCGGAAAGTTCCACGTTAAAGTGCGCCTCCGCCTCGGTCGGCGTCTGCAGCAGTGGGTGCGCCACGCGCACGCGCACGTCGAGTTCCCCCAGCCCCGCCACGCGCACCTGGAACTGATCCACGTCGAACGGCCCCTCCTTCGCCTCCGCGATTTTGGTAACCACCAGGCCGCTTTCCGTCTCGATGGATCTGCCAACGCTGGGAGGCGCCGTCGCCGCGTCGTCGATTTCGATCAGGGAGATGAAGCCGTTCTCGCCGCGCTCCTGCTGCTTGCCCTTGCGCGCAACCATGCGCAGCGTGTGGTTCGCGCCGTCGGGCGTCATCCACACGACGCCGAGCTCCTTAATCCACGTGTGCAGCTCCGTGCTCGACTCTCTCGACTTGGCCGACGCCGGAAGCGCGGGCGGTGCGCCCTGGTAGCCGTTCAGATGCATGTTGACGTGAAATCGACGGTCGGAGAAGAGGCAAAACGATTTGTCGAGCCGCCCGGTGAAATCGAAGTGCGTGCCGTGCGCGCCCGTGAGATGCGGGTCGTTTTCGACGAGCGCCGTGCCGTTGCAGAGCCCGCCGACGAAGCTCAGCGGGTAAGAAGCCGAGTTCGCGACCTGCGTGGCCGTGTCGCCCGCGTACGGCGTCTTGAAAGTGCCCGACGTGCCCGAGCCGCCGTTCTTCTCCAGCAGGTAGCACTGCACGCGGTCGATGAATCCCGCCACATTCGCGTTCTCGCCGGCGAGGCGCGGGCTGGGGAGGAAGGGTAAGAGAGAGAGGGGAACGAAGGAGGAAGGAAATCAGTCACTTGCTTCGAAATCAGCGACTCCAGAAGTAAAAGCTTTCGTTTTGGCGCGAACCTTGGAAAGAATAACTCAGCCCGCACTTACTTCTTGAACCAATGCCACTCGTAGCAGTAGGTGGCGCGCGCACACGCACGGCAGCACTCCTGCAGCGTGTCGCCGTACACGCCCTTCACCACGTCGAAGATGGTCCCCACCTCCGTGTACCGCTCGTAATTTACGGGACCCGAGCCGCGCTGGTGAGGCTCGTACATCCCGCCCTGGTCGTTGAACTGCCCCTGGTAATCGCCGATGAAGCTGTAGTCGGTGTAAGTGGTGTCGTCGATTGTTGCTGTAGCGAGGTCGTCTATGTAGGGGCAGACGTAGCGAGTGTGGCATCCGCCAGCAGGCATGTTAGTGGCATTTGCGGCATGTAGCATCAGACTGATGAGGGCGAGGATTAAGGAGAGGTTGAAAGCCATGATTGCGATTGAGATCTGCTATCGAGTGTTTAGAAGGATGTTGAAAGGAGGCTGATGATTTCTGTTCTTCAACTCGCCCGTGATAAGTACTTGGCTAACTTGGTGGTAATACATGTTTCAGCCAGAAACAACTCGGTTTACCCAACTGCTGGGTTGCTGGCACGATGAGCCACAGCGAGGCGCTACCCGCATGGTTTAGTGAAGCCCATCTATCAGTTGCCGTGCTGTAACGCAAACTACCGCTCTGAAAATCGCGAAACATCAGCACCCCAACGCATATGTACGATGTGGTTGCGTCGAGCCGCGTTTTGAAGTGAGCAATTGCCGCAATCTACCGATCTGAGACTAGCAGTAAAGCACGCCACCGTGTGGAAACATCCAGTGGCAACGCATGTTGCAGCGAGTTGCGCATTTGGGGGGGCATCGGTCAACTGTCCGCTGCCCAACTTGGCCTGATGCGAACAATTCCCTCATGCGAACATGTTCCCTCATGTTACCCCGTCGGTTCCAGCCACCTTACCGTACAGTTGTTCCCAGACTTCGGGTCTATCTGTTTGTGTGTTGTTCGATTTTGTGGTTGGTTTTGGGTTTGTTTTTGGCTCAGTTTGCAGCATATATTATACCAATTTTACTATAGGGTAACATTTTTTTCTAAACACTCTCTCTTGCGCCAAAGGTTTTTCCTAATTCAAGAAGCGAATTCTTGATCGCCGCCAGCAGGGATGAATTTATCGGATCAATTTGCTTGAAATGTTCTACTTAAAAAAAAAATGATATTCACGTTTTTCCAGTGTGGACGACTGGCAGTGTCATCCTCGTTAGTGAAATGCGTTCTCTCAAAGCGCGCACTTATGATGTTCCGTGTTGTTGCTGAGCTTAACCAAGCAAATAGCAAACATGTATGCCAACTCAAAAAAGCTATCATGAGCGTACATGTGGGAAGTCCACTACAGACAGCTTACCATAACTTGGCTATAGCAACTCAAGAACCTGTGACCTGTAGACTAGCACCCTAAAAACCGGTTAAAGCAGGTAACTACAGAACTTGATTAGCCAAAGGTTCACAATCCTACAGCAAATCTTAATCAACCCTACACACCCTACTCCGTCAACATGGGGCCGTTCCAGTGCACAATATGCTCCCCTGCAGCTGCACCTTCGTATTTGCTGATCTAGTGCACTCCACTCCATACCAACCGTGGCACTATTTTCTTCGCGCTGGGCAGAAGGCACAAGACTGCACGACTGTTGAGCCCCTTGTGGCGTTAATAATCGCAGGGCTTGTGCGACACAGCGTGACCACACTCTTCTCAGTTGCCAAGAACGCCGTATTCTGAGAACAATTGTGAATGCAAGAGAAGAGGCACAAACATTGCATGAGTGGGGCCGGTTTATCAATTAGCACACGGGGACAGCAGAAGTCCGTAGCTTCTGAAACAGATATAAGAGGGCATCGTTTCGGAGAGAGAAATGCTTGCGACACATGCACGGTCTGAGTGGAGAGAGAAGGAAGTGGAGAGGGCGTGAGGGAAGAGAAAGAGACAAGGAGAGGGCGAAAGAGTGGAGTGAGACTGGGCAGGAAGACGTGGGGGGTGTGAGTGTGACAGGAGGGAGCAGAAGGGGAATGAGAGTAACCGGGATTTGCAGGAAATGGGTGGAGAAGCATGCTTACAGGGAGAGTGGCATTGTTGTTGTACCACAGCACGTTGCACAGGGCCAGCTTTGACGCATCCGCCTGGATCGCACTGCCCGCCTGGAAAAAGAACAACACATATGGAGAGGAGAAACAAAGGCAACAGCACGTTGGGAGCTGAGCTGCAGCAGAAGCTGGCTCTGAAGTGGATTGGACGTAACAACGTCGATAAAATAAATAGCTGCAGATACGATGAGCCGACTCCTCCCCCCTCCCCTTTCCCCCCAACCCCCCCCCCCCTCAACCCCCCCCCCCCCCCTTCCTTATATTGTCCTATTTCTAAGTCTTGGAACGAGTGAACACATCACTTACCCCGGCCAGATTGGCAAAGAACTTGGGTCGTCGGAACACCCCCGCGGACTCCATAATCAGCGAAATCGCGCCTCCCGCCGTCGAAGCCATATTCCTGTGGAAGATACAGTAGTCCGCCACAACCGTCGCGCGCAGCGCGCCGGCAATCGCGCCGCCAAACCCGGCGAAGTTGCGGATAAAGTGGCATGCGGTCATGCGGACGCTCCCGCCCGAGTCCACCTCGACCGCGCCGCCCGACGCGGTGGTTCCGCCAATTCCGTTAAAGCGGAAGTAGACCTGGTTGAGAATCGCGCTGCCGCCGTCCATGACCCAGATCGAGCCCCCGCTGCCGGAGCGCGGGCGGCCGCGGGAGAGGAGCAGGCCGGTGAGACGCAGCTGGCCGCCCTTGACGACCGTGAAGTGACGGTTCTTGCGCTTGCCGTCTAGCCGGCAGAATCGAAGCTGGGGAGGATGAGAGGAGCGGAGACGGAGGGTGGGAGAGGAGGAGGGAGGGAGGAAGGGAGGGAAGGAGGGAGAGGGGGAAGGAGATGAGGGAAACTGGAGAGGGAGGGTTGTGCGACCTTGGCCTGCTTCTGAGGCGTCTAGATTATCTGGAATATATCTCACACGCACCTCGGTCTTCTTGCACACGGGAACGGCGGAGATGGTAAGCGGGGAAAGGGCACGATGGTACGCGTGAAAGGGTCAGGGTCACACACACAGAGTACTTCGCGGCCCGCTTCTGAGACAACTTGAATAGTCAAAAGTATCACGCACCTCGGTCTTCTTGCACACGGGATCGGCGGAGATGGCGAGCGGGCGCGACACGTTGGGCAGCGGCCCGTCGAGGTAGAACGAGTGCGCGACGACGATGGGCCCGCCCGCCTGCATCGCCACCACGAGCTCCTTGTACGTCGTCACCTTGAACACCGCCGATGCCGGCACCGCCGCGCTCACTGTATGGGAATGGTGGTGGGGAGGGTTGGGGAAGAATGTGGAGAGCAAGTGGGAAAGAAGGTAGACGTCGCCACCACGAGCTCCTTGTACGTCGTCACCTTGAACACCGCTGACGCGGGCACCGTCGCGCTCACTGTATGGGAATGGTGGTGGGGAGGGGTGGGGAAGAATGTGGAGAGCAAGTGAAAAAGGTAGGCGTCGCCACCACGAGCTCCTTGTACGTCGTCACCTTGAACACCGCTGACGCGGGCACAGCCGCGCTCACTGTATGCGAGAGGTGGTGGGAAAGGGTTGGTGGGGAGGGGTGGGGGTAAAGAGATGGAGAGAATATGGAGAGGGAAAGAAGCTAGGCGTCGGCACCAGCACCAGCTTCTTGGACGTCGAGACCTTGGAACACCGTTGTGGTCGGCAGTGCCGCGCTCACTGGCGCGATAGAGGGTGGGGGGAATGGTAGTGAAAGGGGGTAGGTCACTGCCACTACCAGCTCTTTAAACAACAAGACTTGCGTTTGAGACTTTGAACAGCGGGGAAGGGGGGAAGGCGGGGAAGAGTGAGGACGGGGGAACCGCGGGGGACGGGGGAAATGGGGGAGGAGGGATGGTTGTCAGGCGGGGGGAACGAGACAGCCTGCCACTACTGGTTTCCGCACGGGTGCGGAACGGGTGGGCAGACGGACAGGGTGTGAAGTGGAGTCGTTAGGTAGAAAAGAGGAATGGGAAGGGGGTGACGGATGGTGTGGGGGAGGAGAGGAGAGATCGGAGGGAAAGAGAAGAGGGCCGACGACAACAGCCATTCTTCATTCTTTCGCCTGTCCGTTACACAAGTTTTTATTCCCTTCCCTTCTTACCCAGCCAGCTTTAACGAGGATTAACTGCCTCGTGTGCTCATTCTGAAAGCTCTGGAAAACCACGAGGGTACTCTCGAGGAAATCTCGAGGCTTCTTTTGAGCCGAGTCCACAGTATCTGAAGCTAAACGGCCTTGCGGCACTTCTGAAGCCGGTATTTACGAACTTTGAAAAGTAAGGGCACGATTTAGCTTTTCGAGCTGACTCACAGGAACGCTCGATGAAGGTTCCGACTATACAGAATCAGAAGGGCGGACGACGAGCAGTAGATGACGGAAACGAACCAAGCCAGTCTCTAATCATCGACAGCATAGAGGAACACACGAGAAAATCAGCACTGCGCTTTACGGTTCGAGCGTGAGAGCGACGGACGTACCTAGCAGGAGCGCGCAGGCGAGGAAAAGCGCCGCAAGCCGCTGTGCGCCGGAATCCATGGCGGGACGACGAAGAGACATCGCGGGCCTGTTATGGAGGGTCGAGGTGAACGGGCGATGTAGTTGTAAAGGGTGTGACTGAGGGCGCAGCGCGCGAAGTGGGGTACGAAGACTTGCAGAAAAAGGAAGGGACAGAAGAAGCTGTAAAGGACGCCGAAGGTTAGACGACAAAAGAGACTACGAAATAGATTGTAGCTACAACTTCCCAGGGAGATTGTTTGCCTGGATTGCTACCCACTGCATTGTTTGAAGAGCCTAAAACACAGACGCATGGCACGCTATCCAAACCGAAATAGGTTTCAGAGGATCTTCGCAGGCCAGGCTGAACTAAGTGATCGCAGCGAGCACGTCGTGAAACCGAGCAGTGAAAGACATATGACGCCGGACCTTGCGGGGGCGACATATGAATGTCTCGGCAGTCCGATAGCCGTCTGAGCAAGGTTAAGGTGGCCGGCAGTTGACCTAAGGGAGAAGAAGAGAGAGAAACAGACCTGCTGTGGTGATAAGGCCGCTTGATGTATATCTGATGCAAGAGTCACTGAATGAACTTCAGGATAGTCCACGATACTTCGTCGACGCGCACGCGCCTGCTAAGGAGGAATACGGTTCCTAAGAGTTGCCTTGCTTCTCAATTTGATTCGAACTCGTTAAACGCTTCACTGAAATTGGTCGAGAATATCGGTGGACTAAGAACTCATACGCGCATCCGGCGAATGTCACACGATTACTAACTTGAGGTCAACGGTTTCCGATCACTGAACTAAGCCCGATACTTGCAAGTTTGTCCTGCAAGGAAGGGAATGAAGGATGCATGTTTTGCGGGGAAGAGTTCAGCTGAGCGAGGTGAGCAAGCAAGGGGCGAGTGAGATGAGATCGAGAAAGTAGGGTACGAGGAGGCGTTGAGCGTTTCGGTTCGTGCCAAGTTAGGTATGACACAGGCTCGGAGTAATGTAAGGTTAGAAGCTGGTGTGGTTCGGGTGACCCCGGGACTTGCTCGCAGCCTGGGGATTACCGTGACGGCGACAAACGAGGCACCAATCGCTGACCGAACCACCACCACCAAGGAAGACGGCGGCGCCTTGCCTGGCACGGCAAGGTTCGCGCAGAAAGCGGTCTTCGTGCCGAGGCTAAAGGTTTGCCCGTATTCATCGCCTATTTGCGGTGTTTTTCGGTTCGGAACGCCAACTTCGGTGGGACTTAGGCTCGGGAGTGCTACGAATCACGTCAATATCATGTCAATTCCCTCGCCGAAGCGCGAGGAAGCCCCACCAATAATTCTTTTGACTTGGCGACATAAACTGTCGCCATCATTGGTGAGTTGAGAGAGCCCCAATGGTGAGCTACATTTGCAGATCAGATTAAGAACCAATATACACAGCACTTCTGAATTTGCTAAAAAACTCTGGAATTATTTGGTTTGGTGTCCTACAGAACCCACAACCACTTTCCAGGAAAATTGCTTCTAAGCTCGCTTCACACCATTGTGAGAGCTGTGCATTCTTATCACGGTGCAGTAGTGGCATGCAAAAGAAAAGAAAACAACCAACAAACACCATTCACTCTCTGCAAAAGTCGCAGTGATGAGGTGGGACCAAAGCACTAGCAAGTCCGTTAAACCCATCCCCAGCAGCTCCACCAGCAGTACTCGCACCACTTCCAAATTCACCACCATACAAAACCCTTCTCTTCCTACAACCACCATCGCCACATGTTAGCAGCAAATCACACTCCTCTGATGACAAGCCACAACCATCCATCTCCAACAGTCCACCATCGCCTGCCCTTCCCCTCCCTGCTCTGCCATTACTGCTGCCGATACTCCCACTCATAGCTCGAGCACCACTGCAATGGCTCTCGTTGCTGGTGCTGCTAAGGCAGCAGCAACCGAAACCTGCCATTTGAGCAGCCCTCTGCAGCTGTAGGAGAGCTTCTTCCCTCCAGGAGAAACTGGCTGGGGAAAAAGGGTTCGGACGGTCTGACTCTGCTGCTGCTGCCCTGCTGTCCTGTGCTGCTGCTGGTGCACTTGCGGCTGCTGCTGCTGGTGCTGCTCCTGGTACTGATGGTGACACTGGGGGTGATCCGGCTGGTGCTGCTGGTTCTTCTGGTACTTGCGCTGCTGAGACCCCATTCACTGCTCCCATTTCCTGCTCACAATCACCTTCAACCCCGTCTTCTCTTCCTCTCTTCCTCCCTCCTCCTCCCAAGCCTGTTCCTCTATCGAGACCATCGCAAGTACCGTGAACCAGGGGAGCAGGCACAGGGGCAGCCATAACAGTCGCAGCTGCCACAGCAGCATCGAGCGATGGCAACTCAGGAGCAGCGGCAGCAGCAGCAGCAGCAGCAGCAGAAGTAGCAGCAGAAGTAGCAGCGGCAGCATCGTTAGCACCAGCAGCAGCAGCAGCAGCAGCTGCTCCTGGAGCATCATTGGAACTCTTACCTCGAGCTGCATCAGACATCTCTTTCACGATGCCCCCTTTGCAACGGTTGGGCCACCAATCCAGTTCTTCCTCTTCCTCTTCTTCATATTCACTCTCCTCCACCACTTCCACCTCCTCCAGTTGTACCTCCCCCGTTTCGAAATGCCATGAATCGACTACCATGCTAACAACTCTTCCTCTTTCTTGCTCCTGCTGCTGCAGTTGCTGCTGCTGCTGCTGCTGCTGCTGTTTCTGCTGCTGCTGCTGCTGCTGCTGCTGCTGCTGCTGCTGCTGCTGCTGCTGCCATTCCTGTTGTTTCTGCTTCTTCGCCTGCTGCAAAAAACCCTCTACCTGCTTTTCTAACGCGGCCTTACGACAAGGGCTTACAGCATAGGAACGAGGGGGAGCAGATGCATACCCAACATCTCTACCAAGAGACTTTTGATGCGCTCCAAAAGGAGAAGGTGCATGCCCATCATGTATACCAAGTGATGTTGATACTACAGGTGGAAGGCCAGTAGAGGAGTGATGGAGAGGAGCCGTGGGTATGCAGTTTGCAGCAGCGCCAGGCAGCATGGGTTGTGCGGGTATGGGAGGGAGGGGAGGAGACGACGGGAAGAGAGGCGAGGAGGATGCATGGGCGGAGGAGGGGCTAGTGTGGGGTGGAGTGGGGGGGGAGTTGGGCGGGGGAGAGAGGATTGGGTTGAAGGAGAGGCGGAGGAAGCGGACTGGGCAGTGGCGAGGACCTGTTTAGGATGAAGGGGAGATAGGGTAGCAAAAATGAGGGCGTTTATGTGATGATACCCTGGCAGAGAGGGGTGAAGATGGCACTATAAAAACCTTCATCTTTCAACCTTCGCATTTTCTTCATCTTTCGGCGTTATAGGAATCTTACACTCGCTCTCACTTGACTGTTCCTTGTACCCACTCTGTGTTCCATCTCCGTCCATCCTGCTGTCCCATCCCCCCCTGCTCTCCCCCCCTTCACGCTCTGCTTATTACTCACAGATCACACAGAGACGCACGCACAGATGCACCCGCAGTCGCACGCACACGGGCACACCCACTCCCAACCCTCCTCCCCACCCACCCACCCACACACGCACCTGCCATAGGTTGCAGCAGAGCAAGAGCAGAAGGGTGGTGCAGAGTGCAGCGAGAAACATCCACATGCACAAGGCGACAGAGAGGAGACGCCAGGTGCTGCATCAAGGGCAGAAGTGCCTGAGGAAAGATGGGAGAGGGGAGGAGAGGGGAGGGGAGGGGAGGGGAGAGGAGGGGAGGGGAAGGGAGGGGAGAGACGAATTTTGAGGCGCCTCAGGATTAGACCAGTGTGGGTATGGACGACAGAGAGGGGAAGCAAGGTGCTGCTGCAAGGGAAAGAGGGAACGCGGGAAGGTGGGGGAAAAGGGGAGGGATGGAAGGGCGATTGGGGGTGGAATGAGGTGCGTGGGACATAGGAAACTCAGAGATGCAGATAGAGAGGGGAGGGACATGGGAACTCACGGCGGGAGAGAGGTGGGTGCCTGAGAGGCTGATGTGTCGTAGGCGAGGCGTGGCAGGCAGCAGAGCATGCAGCATCACAGCCATGGCGTCACACGGCTGAGAGGGCTGAGAGGTTTGAGGGGGTTGATAGGGTTGAGTGAGCGGACAGGGCGACACTGCTGCTGCTGTTGATGCCGCTGCCGCAGGTGCAGCAGGTGCCATGGGAGATCCTGCTGCTGCAGCTGTTGCTGCTGCTGCGGCTGTTGCAGCTGCTACAGCAGGTGCTGCGGGTGTTGACGGCAGGTGCATTGGAAGGTAAGACGGCCAGTGGCCTAGGTCAGGAGAGGAAGGAGCAGTGGGAGGAGAGGGGGGGGGAGCAGTGGTCGGAAGGGTGACGGGAGCAGCGGAGATGAGAGCACCAGAGAGATCCAGCTGCTCTAGAGGGAACCTGACTGGCAGTTGCCTGCTGCTGCTGCTGCTGCTGATGTGTGTGCTGCTGTGGTTGTGCAGGGTGGCTTGGTGCTGATGCTCCTTCCATCACGGTTTGCTGGAACACCAAAGCCGACGGCTGAGCCAGGATGGTGGGGTGTGGGTTAGGTTGGGAGAAGGAAGGAAGAAATAGGTGTGCGCTTTTGTGGGGAAGGGTAGTGAAGAGGAAACAGCAGAGTGAGCCGGAGAAAAATGGCTGCAGAATGGCTGTGCAAACAAATTTTTTAAGCGCCTGAAAATTGGCTGCAGAATGGCTGTGCGAACAACTGTGTGATATCATCCCACGGGGAAACGAGTGTGCTCAAAACATTCCAAGGATAGAGGAGAGCTTTGAGGCACCTCAAACAGAAGCCACTCACAACATACCATGGAAAATGTGGCGCGCGGAAGGCGGCGCAGGGAGCACGGCGACTCGTGAGTCAACTCAAGATGCACCAAGAAGCATGGCCGCTTACACACAACACAACACAACACAACACAACACAACTCAACTTACCATGGAGAATGTGGCATGCGGGAGGCGCAGGGAGCAGAGGCGGCGGCAGGAGAGGAGGAAGCGAGCAAAGACAGCCGCTGCTTGAGGGCAGTCGAGGGGCAGGCGGGGGAGAGAGAGATCCTGCAGACTGGGGGGGGGGGGGGGGGGGGGAGAGGGGGGAGGAGGGTGAGAGGAGGGTGAGAGGAGGGTGAGATGGGTAACTTGTTGGATGGAAATGACGAGTGGGTGAAGTTTGTGGATTGGTGCCAACTGCTTGATGGCAGTGGGGAGGCAGGCGGGGCAGAGAGAGGTCCTGCAGACTGGTGGGGAGGGAGGGAGAGGGAGGCGCAGGAAGGGGTGATGAACGCCCAAAACCAGTTGAGATGATTTGGAGTTTCATTGTATATTAGGCGTTCCAAGCATTCCATTTCCTCCAGCTTTGATTGATTCCTTCCCAGTTTTGGTAGTTATTCAGCAGTTTTAGAGGGAATTCCAAACATGGTTCATACGAGAGTGCATACGTTTCGGGTCAATGATGGGACTGAACAGAACAGACTCTTTGGAGCTGGTAAAAGTGCGCGAGACTACTATTATGGGCAAAAAAAGGGAGTAGTGAGAGGGAGGGAGGGGGGCGGAAGCAAGAGGGGTGTGGGCGTTGAAGCGTACAGCAGAACGACTTTTGAAGCGCCTCAAGTGAGAGGGAAAGGACGTACAGTGCGTTTGAGTTGACTCAAAAGCAGCCTCAAGCGAGAGAGGGAAAGGACGTACAGTGGAAGGCAGGAGAGAGCGGAGAAGAGGCGCTTGAGTGCAGTTATGGACATATCCCTGCAGCCGTCTGTGGGAGGCATGGTGGGCGTGGGGAAGAGAGAAGGAGGAAAGAGGAGAGAGGGGAGAGGAAACAGATGTGAAGACTAAAGAGTCATTTTGTCTGGCGTAGAGGCACGATGACTGAGAGAGACGAATTTTCGAGTGACAAGAAAGAGAATTGAGCAGTCATTGTGTGCTGATTTGTGGGTACGGACGCCACATGGTCAGAGATCTTCTGAGACGTCTCGGGACTTAGCTGAGTAGTCATTATGTGTGGCGCGCCTACAAGAAGCGTGGTGTGGAGAGAGATGCATTGAGTGAGAGAGGCACATGTCACATGCGTTGATTGGGAGCGACCCATTGAGTGAGAGAGGCACATGTCACATGCGTTGATTGGGAGCGACCCATTGAGTGAGAGAGGCACATGTCACATGCGTTGATTGGGAGCGACCCATTGAGTGAGAGAGGCACATGTCACATGCGTTGATTGGGAGCGACCCATTGAGTGAGAGAGGCACATGTCACATGCGTTGATTGGGAGCGACCCATTGAGTGAGAGAGGCACATGTCACATGCGTTGATTGGGAGCGATCCATTGAGTGAGAGAGGCACATGTCACATGCGTTGATTGGGAGCGACCCATTGAGTGAGAGAGGCACATGTCACATGCGTTGATTGGGAGCGACCCATTGAGTGAGAGAGGGGCGCCTGGAACGAGGCTAGGCAACAAGTGAGAATGAATCAGCGTGCCGATGGACAGGCAGGGACAGGAACGCACCGAGAGAGATGCGGGAGAGAGGAGGCAACGCAGCAGCAGCTGCTGCAGATGGTGGTAGTGATGGTGATTGCAATGCTGCCGCCGCCGCTGCTGCTGCTGCTGTTGGTGATGCTGCTGCAGCTGGTTCTGGTGCTGTTGCTGCTGGTGCTGTTGCTGCTGCTGGTGGTAGAGGTGCTGCTGCAGGTGACGCTGCTACTGGTGTTGAAGTGGATAGTGGAGGAGGAGGAGGGGAGCAGTGTAGGCTTTGAGAGTCGGGATGAGCGAGCTTGAGAATAGCTCTGGAGAGAAAGGTGGGAGTGTGTGCTGCATCGACGTCAGCACGCAGCACAATGGACGACAGGGCTGCAGGGAGAAGCGAGGGAAGCGTGGGTGGGGGAAGCATGGGCGGGGGAAGCATGGGCGGGGGAAGCATGGGCGGGGGAAGCATGGGTGGGGGAAGCATGGGCGGGGGAAGCATGGGCGGGGGAAGCATGGGCGGGGGAAGCATGGGTGGGGGAAGGATGGGCGGGGGAAGCATGGGCGGGGGAAGCATGGGTGGGGGAAGCATGGGCGGGGGAAGCATGGGCGGGGGAAGCATGGGCGGGGGAAGCATGGGTGGGGGAAGCATGGGCGGGGGAAGCATGGGCGGGGGAAGCATGGGTGGGGGAAGCATGGGTGGGGGAAGCATGGGCGGGGGAAGCATGGGCGGGGGAAGCATGGGCGGGGAAAGCATGGGCGGGGGAAGCATGGGTGGGGGAAGGATGGGCGGGGGAAGCATGGGCGGGGGAAGCATGGGTGGGGGAAGCATGGGCGGGGGAAGCATGGGCGGGGGAAGCATGGGCGGGGGAAGCATGGGTGGGGGAAGCATGGGCGGGGGAAGCATGGGCGGGGGAAGCATGGGTGGGGGAAGCATGGGCGGGGGAAGCATGGGCGGGGGAAGCATGGGCGGGGGAAGCATGGGTGGGGGAAGCATGGGCGGGGGAAGCATGGGCGGGGGAAGCATGGGCGGGGGAAGCATGGGTGGGGGAAGCATGGGCGGGGGAAGCATGGGCGGGGGAAGCATGGGTGGGGGAAGCATGGGCGGGGGAAGCATGGGCGGGGGAAGCATGGGCGGGGGAAGCATGGGTGGGGGAAGCATGGGTGGGGGAAGCATGGGTGGGGGAAGCATGGGTGGGGGGAAGCGTGGTTGGGGGGAAGCGTGGTTGGGGGGAAGCGTGGTTGGGGGGAAGCGTGGTTGGGGGGAAGCGTGGTTGGGTGGGGAGAAGCATGAGAGGGCAGAGGCAGCAGCTGACGTTACAGCGGCTCAAAATCACACTAGAGGGAGGAGGAAACCAGTGAGCAATACCTGTCATGATGTCATACATACACTCATAAAGGTTCAGATCCATGATCAGGCCAGACTTTCGGGTTCAGGGTTATGGGTTTAAGGTTTAAGGTTTAGGATACGCACAGGAGCAGCGCAGCAGCAGCAGGCGCAGGAGACCCGTGGCCCAGCTGTTGTCGCAGCGCAGGGCAAACGCATGCGGTATCCAGGGGTTGTGTGAGATGTCTATGTGACTCAGATACGCCAGAAAGGTGGGGGATGGTGAAGAGAGCTGTTTGTGGGAGGAGAGGAGGGATGGGAAAGAAGGAAGGAGGCGGGGGGAGGGGAGGGAGGGGAGGGTATAGGAGTTATTAAGGAGAAACGGCACTGCACTGCGATGCAACGCACTGCACTGCTCTGCACCGCAAGGACGGCTTACAAGGTGGCGACGGGTGATGCCTTTAGCATGCAAGACACGAGACCACGGCCCATCCATACCTGTCATACTCCGCTCGTACTCCCTTGCTCCTCCCACGGCCCATCCATACCGGTCATACTCCCTTGGTACTCCCTTGCTCTTCCCATGCCGTTGGTTTACCCAAATGATTGCATGCATGGCTTACAAGTTGTCAAAGAGCCTCATAGGTGATGCAGTTGGCATGCAGATCAAGAGACAGCAGCGCAGAGACCACACATTCCCTGCACTAGCTGTTGTGTACCTACTCCTTGCTAGTTCCAACGCCACAGTCTTACAAGTTGCCGAAGAGCCTCATAGGTGATGCAGTTGGCATGCAGATCAAGAGACAGCAGGGGCGCCGACAGACATGACTCTCCCAGTGGCGCGTACCCTAACGCAGCTGCTGCCGCTGCTGCTGCTGCTGCCGCTGCCGCCGCCGCCGCCGCTGCTGCTGGTGGGGAGTGATGGTGGTGCTGTTGTGGCTGTGCCTGCTGCTGGCTGTGTTCCACGTGAGCAAGCAGTCGCTGCTTGAACAGCAACGCAGTCTTCTTGAGGGACGAGCACCCTGGGCCAAGGGTGCAGTGCAACATACAGGCAAGTATAGACGGGGATGGGTGGTATGCAGTTACAGAGCAGATGGAAGGGAGTGAACGATTTTTGTATCACTCACACACGCACACACACACACTCTTACGCACACACACAAATGCTCACAGACACACACTCGTACACACACACACACACACACACACACACACACGCACACACACACACGCGCGCGCACACACACACACACACACACACACACACACACACACACACACACACACACAAAATCCCCCCTCCCCATCACCCCACCACACACACATGTCCATACCCAGCCGGTTTATGCGAGAGGTTGAGGATGGTGGCACTTCAAAAGTCCAACCCACGCCCACACAGATGCGTTGAAATTCTCAAACACACACACACACACACACACACACACACACACACATGCTCATACCCAGTTGGTTATGCGAGAGGTTGAGGGAGGTGAGAGCAGGCATGCAGGCTGCAGCTTGCTGGGCCAAATTAAACCCGCCTACAATACCTCCCCTTTCCCATCCCACCCAACCACCCCCACATGCCCATACCCAGCTGGTTATGCGAGAGGTTGAGGGAGGTGAGAGCAGGCATGCAGGCAGCAGCATCAAGCAGCGGCTCTGCCTGCTTGTCTGTGAGTCCCAGCCCTGGCAGACAAATGTGCTCCAGAGAATGAACCTGGAGGGACGGGGGGAGGGAGGTTGGATTGACGTGAGACGTCTTAAAAGAAATATACTATCACGTGGCTCTGCCTACTTGTCTGTGAGTCCCAGCCCCGGCAGGCATATGCGCTCCAGAGAGTGAACCTGGAGGGGCGGGCGGAAGGGAGACTTGGATTACCAGAGGGAGGAATCCCGGCTGTGAGGGAATTCAGGCGGTTCAGAATGGACAGGCAGGCATGCAGGCAGCAGCATCCAGCAGCGGCTCTGCCTTCGTGTCTGTGAGTCCCGGCCCCAGCAGACATGTGCGCTCCAGAGAATGTACCTGCAGGAGGGGGCGGAAGGGAGACATAAAACACCAGAGGGAGGAATCACGGCTGTGAAAAGATTCAGGCGGTTCAGAATGGACAGGCAATCAAGCAGGCAGCAGCATCCAGCAGAGGCTCTGCCTTCTCGTCTGTGAGTCCCGGCCCCGGCAGACATGTGCGCTCCAGAGAATGTACCTGCAGGAGGGGGCGGAAGGGGGACATAAAACACCAGAGGGAGGAATCACGGCTGTGAAAAGATTCAGGCGGTTCAGAATGGACAGGCAGTCAAGCAGGCAGCAGCATCCAGCAGAGGCTCTGCCTTCTCGTCTGTGAAAGCTGTCATGCATATGTGCTATTATTGTCTGCTGGTAGGACTGCAGAGAATAGCCTTCATATATGGGGTGCAAGAGGACCGGGGAAAAGGCAGGGCAACATAGAATGTCCAACTGGTTTTTCTACATTGGAAGGACAAGGGAGCCGTAGCAGGTGTGAGTGGGAAAGGGAGAAAGAGGAGGCGCGAGAGGGTATGCGGGCAGTACCAGGTGTGAGAGGGCGTGTTTAATGGGCTGCAACGGGGGTGTGCCGAGCTGAATGCATGCCAGGTGGTATGTCTGAGAGAGGGATGGATCCCTCCAGCCTGGAGAAAGAAGGGGCGTGGAGAAGCGTCGTAGGAAAAGGGGTGGTGAACGTCAAGAGATGAGAGGGTAGAAACAGGGGTGTGCCGAGCTGAATGCACGCCAGGTGGTACGTCTGAGAGAGGGATGGATCCCTCCAGCCTGGATACAGCAATGCGCACAGGGAGGGAGAGGAGCGTTGAGAGGTTTGAGGCACCTAATAAATTCTCATGTGGCATTTGATCTGAGATGGCTTGAGCATTCGATCTGGTGGAATACGGGAAGAAAAACAGAAGCACGGATGTCATATCATAACCGCAAGCAGGCCTCACTTCTTGAGAATGTAGTGAAACTTAAAACTAACTCGCCCAGTGGGCTGGAAAACGTTCTACGTTCTCACCTGGCTGACCAGACCTCACCACACCACACCACAGGATGGAACCTCCTGTGTCTGCGTGGTCTATGCATACCATTGATGTGGGCAACTAATGCAGGTGCGGTTGGGGGAGCGAGAGTGAGAGCCACGCGCAGCGGCAAGGAGGGCGAGAGAGCGACGTTGCCGAGGGAGAGACGGCGCACAATGGGACAGAGGCCTGTGGTTGGGGTTGGTGGAGGAGACACGCAGGGACAAGAGGAGACATGAGGAGAAGTAGTGAAACGAGAAGACAAGGAGGGGGAGAGGGCGACGTTGCCAAAGGAGAGACGGAGCACGATGGGACATGGGCCTGTGGTTGGGGTTGGTGGAGGAGACACGCAGGGACACGAGAAGACACGAGAAGACATGAGGAGAAGTAGTGAAACGAGAAGACAAAGGAGGTCAAGAGGGCGACATTGCTGAGGGAGAGACGGCGCACAATGGGACAGGGGCATGTGGTTGCGATTGGTGAAAAGGACGAGAGGGAGTGGATGTACCGCTGCAAGCAGCATCAGGTATTCCAACTCGCGTGAAATGAGTCGTATTTTGAGCAGACTTAAAACAGGAGGGATTTAGATGTACCGCTGCATGCAGCACCAGGTATTCCCACTCGAGTCACGGAGTGCGAGAGATGAAAATGCACGGGAGAGATGGGTGTGAGAGGAGTTGAATTGAAATAGATTGAGAAAGAGTAAAAGGGAGTGAAAGGGAGTGAAAGGGTGGGAGACTTAGGGTTGGGGGGCAGGGAAGGGAAAGGGCGGGAGGGAGAGACCATAGAACGTACCATCTTCATGCAGCACAAGGTATTCCAGCTCGAGCTGTAGCATCAACCACCCCACTGTCACCTCCTCATCTCCCCGCACCTGTCCCCGCACTTTCTCCTGCTCCTGCTGCCGCTGCCCCTGCTGACCCTGTTGCTCCTGCTGCTGCTGCTGTTGATTCCTTCCCCGTGCAGTTCCTGCCTCTGCTTCTGCATCATTGCCTACGGTTGCAAACGGAGGCAGGGCGACTTGAAGGCAGTCCGAGCCCATTTGCACGAGCACAAACGGAGGCAGGTGTGCTGGTAGTGGGGGGGATGACGCTACACCACCACCACCTATTCCGGCTGCTGCTGCCGCTGCTGATGCTGATACTGCTGGTGCTGCCTCTGCTGCTGCTGGTGCTTCTGCTGGTGCAGCAGTTGTTGTCACTGCCTCTGCCACTGCTGCAGCAGCTGCTGCTGGGGATCCTGTAGCTGCTGATGCTGCAGCTGCAGCAGCTGCTCCTAATGCTACCGCTGCTGCGGCAGGTGTTGCTGGTCCCAGTGGTGCTGCTGCTCCTGATACCTTACCTGCCGCACCTGCTACAGCTTCTGCTGCTGCCTTGGCTACAGGTGGTGTTGAGAAACCTGGTGCTGCTGTTGCCAGTCCTGCTGCTCCTGATGCCTTAATTTCTGCAGCTGCTGCTGCCTCTACTGCTGCAGCTGCTACTGCATCTGCATCTGCTGCTGCTGTGTCTACTGGAGGTGTGGAGAAAACTGGTGCAGCTGTACCAGTTGGGGCTGTTGCGCTTGCCTTGTGAGTTGAAGCAGTACCAAGAGAAGCATCACATGCACCAGCAGCAGCACCAGCAGCAGCAGCAGCACCAGCAGCATCAGCAGCACCAGCAGCAACACCAGCAGTACCAGCACGACAAGCCCCCTCAACCCCATCTGCTCCACCAAACGCTATGCTTCTCCTAGCCTTGCTACACCTCCTGCCATCTCCCTCCGCACTCCTCCCAACACTCCCGTATCCCCACACACTTGCGTCTTCCCTTCCCCTCTTCCCTGCCCTACTCTCTGCAAGACCAGAAGCCTCGAGCCTCTCCTGCCCTCTCACCTCTGCTGCCACTACTGCTTCCTCTGCACGAGCATGAGGAACAGTATGATGATGACCATCAAGGTGCGCATAAGCAGGAGCACTATTATTAACAATAGCGGGACTAGCATGAGCAATAGCATTAGCAGTAGCATTGGCGGCAGCACTGGCAGTAGCATGCGCGTTAGCCTTAACATCAGCATGAGCAGCAGCAGTAGCAGTAGCATTAGCAGCATGGGCTTGAGCATCACTCGCATCAGCAGGAGCATCAGGAGCATCAGGAGCATCATCAGTTTCCTCTTCAGAATCCATCACCATCGTCTGAGCATCAGCATCAGCATGCGCAGCATCAGCAGGAGGGGCATCAACAGGAGTAACAGCGCAAGCAGCATAAGCAAGAGCATCAGCAGGAGCATCATGAGCATGAGGAGCACGAGGAGCATGAGGAGCATAATCGAGTTCATCCGCCTCGCCCTGGGAGTCCATTACTATCTCTTCCATCCCTCCATACTTTACCCCACTCGATCCTCCTCCTCCTCCTCCTCCTCCTCCTCCTCCTCCTCCTCCTCCTCCTCCTCCTCCTCCTCCTCCTCCTCCTCTTCCTCCTCCTCCCACCCCTTCCACCCTTTCTCCCTCCCCTCCTTCCTTCCCTCCACCTACTCCTTCTTGCCTCTCCCCTTCCCCTGGATCTCCAACCCCCTCTCCTGCAACCCCAGCCCTCCCTCCTGCAATCCCTTGCTGCAACAGATAATCAAACAACTCCTCTTCTTTCAACACTCCCTGCCCATCTCCTCCCACCACACCCAACTCCTTCCAATCATCCGCCCACCCGTCTCCATCTCTCCCATCCCCCTCCCAACCCTCCCTTGTACTCTCAACCACCTCCTGCCTGTCTTCGCAAGCCTCTGCTACAGGCGCCTCAGACACCCTCTGGTGCTTCTCTCTTGGGTTTCCAGCAGCCTCCTGCCGATTTTCCTCTCTACGAGAAGCCTCTTTCACAGGCGTCCCAACAGCCTCTTGACGTTTTTCCCTTGGGCTTGGGTTTCCAGCGATCTCCTGCCTGCTACTGCAAGCCTCTTCCTGATGCCTCTCATGACCCCCCCTGCCCTCCCCCTCCTCCCTCAGGCTTTGAGCCATACCCTGCACGCCACTGTAAGCCTCATCAGCAGTATCCTCGTCTAGAAACGCCAGGGCAGCAGCAGCACCACGACCCACCCTAACACCACCGCCACCACTACCACCACCACCAACACCACCACCACTAGCACCAGCTCCAGCAACTACAGCACCAGCACCAGCGCCAGCACCAGCACGAGCGGTGATTTTCTTTCCGCGTGGAAGATGCCGGCGGGGAAAGATCACGTCTTCAGGCGAGTCCTCCATTTCGTCAGTGCTGTCGTCGGCTATCTCTATCACTTCCTCCGCCGCCCCTCCTTTCACCGCCCCTCCTTTCACCGCGCATCCTTTAACCGCCCCTCCTTTCACCGCGCATCCTTTAACCGCCCCTCCTTTCACCGCGCATCCTTTAACCGCCCCTCCTTTCACCGCCCCTCCTTTCACCACCCCTCCTTTCACCACCCCCCCTTTCACCACACCCGTTTCCATTTCTTCATCACCCCCGTTACCCACAACACCACCCTTCACTCCCACTACACCTTTCCTTCCTGCCAAGCCAGCATCTTCTGCACTGCCATGACTCCCTACCCGCGCTCCTCCTGCAGTTGCCACTCTTTCACCGTGGCCCTGCCTAGCCTCATTCCTCCAAACATCCCCCGCATCCACCTCCACCACTTCATCTTCCTCACCCTCCTCCTCCTCCACTGCCCCTTTGCGGGCCCTTCCAGCCCTGCCCCCCTTGCCACCAGCAGCACGACGAGTGGTGGTGGTAGGCAGAGGCTGAGTGGGGAAAGGATCCCCAGGCGAGTCTTCCAACTCATCCATCCCCACCTGCTCTTGCTCTTGCTCCGTCCGCTCTCGCCCCAATCTCTCTTCCTCCGTCCGCCCCCTCAACCCGGATTCATTGGGACCAGGCTGAGTCTGCCCCTGGTTTCGCTTTTGCAGCCTGGAAAACCGTTGCTGCTGCTGTGGTGGATTTTGCTGTGGCTGCTGCGTCTGCTGCAGTCTCCTCAATTTAAACCTCTCCGAAATGGTTAGAGCATCTTCTGATTTTCCGGCACCACCGGCGCCAGTAGCACCTGCACCACATGCTGCCTGCCCTCCTTTCTTCGCAGAATTCGCCTTAACTGCTGCAATGCCCCCTGCTCCCCTCTTCATACCCCCAGTGCCACTCATACCGCCAGTAGTGCCACCAGCAGTGCCAACAGTTTTGGCAGCAGCAGAAGCAGCGGCGGTGGCAGCAATAGAACCACCAACACCAGAAGCACCACCCTTGCCCCCATCCAATCTGCCTTTGGTTTTGCTCAGATCAGCACTAAACAGATCGTCATCTGAATCAGTATCGTCTTCATCAGCATCAGTAGCTGTAGCAGCAACACCAGCAGCAGCAGCCGCATCAGCAGCGGCATCGTCCGTTGGACTGTAATCTCCCGATGCCGCCTTAGCTGCTGCAATCTTCTGCTTGAGAGTCCATACGCGTCTGTGAAACTCACTGTACCGGAAGAGGTCGAGAGGCGGAGAAAAAAAAGGGGGGGGAGGAAAGAAACACGGAAATCTAAGGAGGCAGGCTCAACACCATGCATTAAGGTAAAAAAAAATGCACCAACATTACAAGAAAACGACAACACACACACACACACACACACACACACACACACACACACACATAAAAAGAGACCTACACGCTGAAGTTCGCAATTTAGAGACAGATTGTCCAATGCGTATCCAACTCAGACATAGACTAGAATCCAACTCACTTCCAGCTGGCGCCATCCCAGCTATCCACCACCCCCACTCCCCCTCCTTCCCGGGGCATGCCTCCCTCACTCCCTCCTCCCCCTCCCGTCCCGTTGCACACTCACAGGGCGTTATTGACGTCGCACAGTCGTATGGAGTACACATATTGCATGTTATCCAGACTCAACACTAACGACACACTGCTTTCTGTGCGCACTGCCCCACCCCACCCACACTCTCCTCCCCATCCGCCCCCGCACTCACAGGGCCTTATTGACGTCGCACAGTCGTATGGAGTACACATATTGCATGTTGTCCAGACATGCCACTTGGTGCTGCCACGCTCGCTGCAATGCCACCTCGTCGCCCTGATCCTGCTCCTGCTCCTCCGCCTCCGCAACCCTGGCAGGTCAATATATCCCCACAACAGGAGCACGAGCAGTAGGTGAGATTTCCAGAGGTCTTTTTCTTTCTCTTTTAAATTATTTCTCGGAAAACGCCCCCTGCCCCTGCTCCTCCCCTGGGACCCTGGCAGTTTAACCCATCCCCACGACAAAAGCCTGACCAGATGGCGTTTTTTGAGACAATTAAAGCAAACTCACGAGGTAAGACTTATCTATCCGCGGTACTAGAAGCCCCCGATACAAGCAACATGCAAATAAACAAACAATATACAAATAAACGATAAATAAGTAAAGGAGCAATCAGATCCTTCCTCCCCCTATCCCCTTCCCCTTATCCCCACGCTTATCTCCTCGCCTAACTCCACTCCTCCTCCCAATCTCCTCCCCTCCCCATCTGCACTCCCCATGCACTCACAGCAGCGCCTGCTGGTAGTAATCCAGTGCCTGTGTGTGCTCCAACCTTGCGTCACTCACGTTGCCAAGGCCTAGCAGCGCTGCAAACTCGCCCTGGTGTGGTCAGGGCAGGCGGGAAGCAGAGAGAATCACTGAGAGTGGATTTCGGAGATGCCTTGAGATATCGTGCCTGTGTGCTGCTGTGCGCCGACCTTGTACTACGCATACTTGCCTTTTGAGTCGACTCAAAAGTCACCTGTGTGTGCTGCTGTGCTCCAACCTTGTGCCATGCATGCTGCCGGTTCCTATCAGCGCCACAAACTCGCCAAGGTGAAGTGAAGGTCGGTGAGAAGCAGAAAGAAGTAACAAGTGTGGAGACTTGAGACGTGTTAAGACAGGAGAGAGGCAGAATGAGAAGTTTTCGTGAGTAAGTATAAGGAGGACAAAGGTAAGTGCGCTACACGCTCGAGCTGGTGGGAAGATGGAAGCGGGAGGGGAGGAGGGAGCGTATGTGGGTGTGCGTGGGTCTGTGTGTGGGCAAAACGTAGATAGGTACGTGTATCTGATTGTGAGTGCATGAGGGGGGTGAGTGTGTGTGTATGTGTGTGTGTGTGTGTGTGTGTGTGTGTGTGTGTGTGTGTGTGTGTGTGTGTGTCTCTGTGTGTGTGTATGTAAGAAGTCATCACCCCTCGCACGCCTCTTTCAAATTCAGCCCCGCTCCTACATCCCAACCCCTCACCCCTGCCACGCCACACACACCTCTTTGATATTAAGCCGCCGACTCCACCCCGGTGAGTCATGGTATCAGCGCCACGCCTTGCCACAGTGACACAGTCCCCCCTCTGCCTCTGCACGTACCTCGCCCCTTCCACATCACACACACCTCTTTGATCTTGAGCCGTCGGTTCAGCCCCAGGAGTCATGGTACCAGCACCACGCCTTGCCCTGGTCGTTCAGGTTGTAGCAGGCCTTTGCTTCCCCATGCAGCCCTCACCTCTCCTCTCCCCCCTGCTCTCCTTTCCCCTTCCCCCTTCTTCCTCTCCCTTTCACCTCCCCTGTGCCTTACACCCCAACCCCTCACACCCTAAAGCGAGTCACAGTACTAGTGACACCCCCCCTTTACACCTACCTCGCCCCTTCCATCCATACGGACACACCTCTTTGATCTTGAGCCGTCGGTTCAGCCCCAGCGAGTCATGGTACCAGCGCCACGCCTTGCCCTGGTCGTTCAGGTTGTAGCAGGCCTCTGCCATGGCTTCTGCTGCCTCGCACTGCAGCAGTGTGTCTGCTGCCCGGTCCCCCAGCCGCACATACTCCTCTGCTGCCTTCAGCCGCTGCAGTAAGGGGGAGGCGGCATGTGGGGGTGGGGCGGACAGAGGGGAAGGTAGCAATCCCTGCAGCAGTGTGTCTGCTGCCCGGTCTCCCAGCCGCACATACTCCTCTGCTGCCTTCAGCCGCTGCAGGTGCAGACGCAGATGCACATGCAGATGCGGATGCAGACGCAGATGCACATGCAGATGCGGATGCAGACGCAGATGCACATGCAGATGCGGATGCAGACGCAGATGCACATGCAGATGCGGATGCAGACGCAGATGCACATGCAGATGGACATGCAGATGCAGATGCAGATGCAGATGCAGATGCACATGCACATGCAGATGGACATGCGGACGCAGATGCAGATGGAGAATGAGATAAAACAGACAGGAAGAGGCGGCTACGGACGCTACGAGTTCTGAGACGTCCCAAGTCTTGGATCGAGCACTTCAGATCTCACCACTAGTGAGCAAGTCACTGATGAGCAAGTCGACTCACAGTGAGCCGAGCCTGGGCGCCATCTGCTGTCTCCACCAGCTCCTTCAGAATTCGCCTGTCCTCCGCGATTTGCTTCTGCTTCTCCTCACTTGACCTGGCGCAAACATGCACAGCGCACGCACACAGGCACACGGAAACGTGACAAGGTTTGCCAGTCTACTTCTGAGGCGCCTCGGAATTAGACTGACTTCGGCAATTAGCTTTCTGCCTTTCTTTGCTCGTCCGGCCACAAGCAACAGTTCAGTTCAGAGCGCACAGGCATGCATACGCACACCAACACATTCACTCGCTTCTTTCGAATCAAACCTTTTTTTCTGTTTGCCTTTCTTTCAGAAAGCAACTGCTACTCTTCAATGGTCCTGGCACGGGAAATGCATGTGCGGGGTACACATGCCACAGGAACAGAGCAGCACAAACAGGCCAAGACAAGTCAAGACACGCACGCAAGCACACTTGCTTTACCCCGCGCGCTCCAGCAGCCGCTGTGTCTTGCGGTGCTGCGCCCACAGATGCTCGCACCGCTCCTTCTGCCTCTTGGCCTCTGCCACGGTCTCCAGATTGCTCTCACACGTCGCCAATAGCGCCGCCTCGTCCTCCACCTGCTGCAGTATGTCCCTCGCCCGCTTGAATGCCTGGGTCACATGGAGAACAGGGGGTACAGGAATGGCCTATGTGTCGCCAATACCGCTGCCTCGTCCTCCACCTGCTGCAATATGTCCCTCGCCCTCTTGAACGCTTGGGTAGACACAGGAAGGTTGATAGATTGAGATTAAGGCAATGGCTTTTCAGCCATCTCGACCTCTATCTGCTGCAGCATATCCCCCAGAGAAACGGGTACAAGTTGTTTGGGGTTTACGTGGGTTACATGGAGTATAGGGGGTACAGGAATGGCCTTTGTCTCACCAACAGCGTTGCCTCGGATTCTACTTGCAGGGCTTGCTATGTCCCTCACCAGCTTTAACGCCTGGAGAGACACACGAAGGTGATGGCTTTCAAAGCACCTCATCCTCTACCTGTCGTGCAATGTCCTTCGCCCACTCAAACGCCTGAAAAGCCTCGAGGCATTACAAGTTGTTGGGGCATTAAATCTCAGGCGCTTCTCCTACCACCCAAACCATCCACTCACCCTCTCCGCCTCGTCGTATTCCTCCTTCTTGAAGCAAAAGTCGCCCTTGTTGACCCACGCCTTGGCGCAACCCACGGCGTTGTTCAGGCGCTCACAAATCTTCACGTCCATGTCGATGTGCTTGCGCGCCTGCTCCCACTGGCACGACTTGGTGAACACCCGCCCCAGCGAGTTGTGCAGCCGCGTGCGGGTCTCATCGATTGAACCTATCTCCTCATCGTCGCACACCTGCAGAGGGGGGAGGGGAGGGGGAAGAGTGCGGAAGAGGGTGCGGGAGGGAGGGGGGAAATGGGGAAGGAAGGGTTGAAGAAAGGGGAGGGGAAGGTGAGGAGGGGAGGGCATTGAGTTGATCTAGAGGCAACGCCTTGGCGCAACCCACGGCGTTGTTCAGGCGCTCACAAATCTTCACGTCCATGTCGATGTGCTTGCGCGCCTGCTCCCACTGGCACGACTTGGTGAACACCCGCCCCAGCGAGTTGTGCAGCCGCGTGCGCGTCTCGTCTATGGACCCTATCTCCTCATCATCGCACACCTGCAGGAGTGCGCGTGGGGGGGAAGTGCGGGGGTGGGGGCATTGAGTCCATGTCGATGTGCTTGCGCGCCTGCTCCCGCCCCAGCGAGTTGTGCAGCCGCGTGCGCGTCTCGTCTATGGACCCAATCTCCTCATCGTCGCACACCTGCATGGGTGCGCGTGGGAGGGAAGTGGGAGGTAAGGAAAGGGGTGGGGGCTTTGAGTCGACCCGAAAGCGCCTGGCACGACTTGGTGAACACCCACCCTCAGGGAGTCGTGCAGCCGCGTGCGCGTCTCGTGACTCGTCTATTGACCCAATCTCCTCGTCATCGCACACCTGGACGGATGCGCGTGGAGGGAGCGGGCGTGCGGGGCGGGGGGGGGGGGGGGGGGGGGGGGGGTGGGGAGGGGGCGAAGAGATGTTGGGGAGGGGATGACGATTGAGAATGGTGGGATGTGTGATGGAGTTTTGATAAACTCGTGCGCGTCCCGATTCCCAATTCCCATCCCACCCGCTCGCGCACACGTGCACAGGAGGGGGATAGGATTTGGGGAGGCGTTTTCTATAGAATTGTCACAAAAATCGCAAGAGTCGTCACATGCTAGGAAAGGCGAAGTCAGAGGGCTGGGCCGGGGAGGGGGGCAAGCGCGGGTGGGACTGGGGAAATGATGCATGGGGGATGGAGGTTGAGATGGCGAGGGACATACGAATGGAAGGAGAGGAAGTGGGAAGGGAAGCGAGGGCGAAGGGGAAAAACCTGGAATTTGGAAGAGGCGGAAGGGAGAAGGGAGAGGAAGGACGTTCCACAAACCTACCCTCCTCCCAACACCCACCTCCAGCCCGCGATCGAAGCAGTTAACCGCCTCTTTGTAGCTTTCCACCTCCTCAAAGAGCAGTCCCACGTTGTTATAAGCATCCGCCAGCTCTTGCGCAAACCGCCGATTTCCCCCCGACGACCTCCACCCGCTTCCGCCGCCGCTCCTGCCCGCGCGGGCCCCTCTCGCCCTCCCATTCCCGCCCGCGCGCGCGCCTGCTCCGCCCATCCCATCCCCCCCCTCGTGTAGACCCTTCGCCAGCCGCAGCGAGAGCTGGAAATACTTGCGCGCGGATTTCAGTGTTTCCATCGACGCGGCTTGCTGCTCCAGCGAGGCTTCGATGTCGGCGCCGGCGGCGGCGGCGGCGGCGTCCCCGCGCGAGGTGAAGGATTCGAAGTAGGCCCGCCCGAGCTGCGTGGAGGAGCGCTGCTGTTCCACCTCGTCCTGCATCTGCACCGCCAGCTCGTAGTGCCGCTCCTGGAGTGCAAGGAGAGGGGTGAGGAGGGATTCGGAGACTCTCTCTCACACCCAGTACGCTGTTCGACCTCGTCCTGCATCTGCACCTTTAGCTCGTAGTGTCGCTTCTGTGGTGCGAGGAGAGGGCGAAGGGAAGGAGAATGGGTACAAAGAAGCGTGTCTTACTCTTTCGTACCCTTGACTCTGCTCCACCTCGTCCTGCATCTGTGATTTTGAACGCTACAATTACGAGAATGACAACGACGTGATAATGGTGATGGTACGTTGGGTGAACGATGCGGCAAACGCTAACCATGTAGGAAGTGGCTTCTTGGAAGTTCTGCAGCCGCAGATAAATCTCTCCCAGGCTCTGAAGAGTCGCGAGCAGGTCCCGCTGAAGATCTCCTTCATCCTCCTGAGACTCGGATCGCATTCCTTGATCTGACGTTGACGTTGGCGTTGACGGATTCTTCCTCGTCTTGTACCGTTGCTGGTCAATCGCGCGGTTCGTGTATTCGTAGTCTCGTTTGAGCCATTTCAGGGCTTTGTGGTAGGACCCCGCGTCCTTGAGCGAGTTCGCGATCTTGTTGGCGTATTTAGAGGCTTCTCTGTAGTTACCGTTGCGCTCCTCGACACGGAATTGCACCTTCATCTCCCGCAGATGATCTCCTTGCCTTTCCATGACTGTCGTCGCAAGTTATCGTAAAACGGTTCACGAACTGTGAAGCAGAGAAGGAGTGAGAAACTCCTTACTGGCTGGTACTATGGTCGCATTACTACGAAATCTTAAAAACTGCTAGCATCTATCGCCAACGAGCTCGAGGGGAGCCAGATGGAGTCCAGTACTTGAATGATGGTACTGGCGTTGGGAGTTTGACTAAGGCTTGCTAAAGACGCACTAGAATACCGTGATTTCTCTTCCACAATGGCCCGCCTGTCACCTTTGTCATGAACGCCAACCATGAACAGGGGAGCTCGTCTAACAAGCGAGTGATGAGATGATGGTGCAACACCAGCAGCATGGATGGATACCCTCCAGGTTCCTGATGCAGGGTGGGGATATACATGCGCGGTGCCGATCGGTACATGCTGGTTCCCGCGCCGTACCCCAAGGTCTTGGTTTCCCGCCAAACGATGCCGTCAAACATTCGAATTTGTAACTTCAAACTGATATCGAGATTGCCGTGTCCTTTGGCGTCAAGAGGACGCTGCAACGCTGATATTGAGTTGAGGACGCGTCACAAGTAGAACATCGATCCTGCCTAGAATCGGTGTTTAGGTGGTTACACATTTTCGTTTATTTTCGCTAACGTACAGTTTTCCCTTCTAAGTCAGGCGATCGATGTGCCCCTGTCACACATCGATCGTGCAATTTCGTCCACATCGGGCAATTTTGCCCCATGTTTTTACGATCGTGTCACTTGAAACTTCAAAGCAGTCGTGACACACCGATATGGCGATCGGTTTGACAGGTTCGGTGAACAACCCTGATCCTTCCTCGATATTTTACTTGTGACGCGTCCTGAGATTGCCTTTGCGAAAGGTTTGCGAATCAAGCAGGTTACATTATCTCGCTTACACCTCTCTGTTACACGAAATCAATCTCAATTCCAGAGAATCACCTCCTCCGTCCCCTCTGTCATCTTTTTTCGCGCCTTCCTGTGATTGGTCGCATATGCTGCCCCAACCACGCCTGGTGGACGTGTGTACCTCCCGCGCACTCAGTGCACAGTTGTTCATCTACAGTTTATGGCATTGAATTTCCTTGCCGAAACGCGGCGATGATCAGATTTGGCAGGGAATGGGGGGAATGGTGGAGATAAGGCAAGTGCGTCCGTTCCGATCTCTATCACCCTCCCCCCTCCCCTCCCATCCCAAGCCACCCCACCTCACTACTTATGCCAGTGCCTTCAGCATCTCTCCCCATCCTTGATTCCCCATTTCAGATTCTACATTCCAGGTTCTAGGAGGAAGGGGAGAACGGGGACTCAGTTGGTCGTTTGGTGGGGCTTTTGGTCTAGTTCAGTCGTCGGGTTTCATTTTTCGTCTCTCCGCCGGGTTTTTTTTACCCTTTTCTTGGCATAGTGATCGCATCAACGACTTCGTCGTCGTTTCTAGCAGAATCATGCAGAACGGCGACAAGGCCGTGAAGTTTTACTATGTGGGCGAGAAAGGGAGGGAGCAACTTAGGCGATACAAGTACCATGGCGCAGATCACTCGCTTGTCTCTAAGTACATCCTACAGCCCTTCTGGTCGCGATTCGTCTTGCTCTTCCCGCTCTCCGTCGCGTAAGTTCCTCGATCAGCCTTGCGCTGATCAGCCTGCCTTAATTAGGCGATTCGGCGGGATTTTATTATAGTGGCTTAACCAGGCGAGTACTTCTCCCACTCTCAGCTGTTACCCTGTGATACCTCAACCGCGTTTGTTACTGTTCCTCGGTTTTATCAGTGATTCTGCACTCGAGTGACTTCGCTGTCGACTCCACGTTCAAACGTTCACTTCCGGACAATCCATTCGTTCCGCTGCCATCTCGGCTCTTCCGGTCCTATCATCTGTGACGTTACCTTCGCTCCTTGTCGATTCGGACCCCTTCTCCCTATCCGGAACCCCTCCCACCACTTTACCCTCCTTCCCGCTCCTTCCCGCTCCTTCGCTCCACGCGTTCGCTTGCGAGATTCTTTACTTCCTTGTCTCAATCTCCTCCCCTTTCACACCTTTCCCATCCCCTCGCAATCTCCATGCATCTCGCCCCGCAACACTCGACGGCACATCGCCTCACATCTGATCATGCGACCATGGGACCGTGCGACCATGCGACCATGCGACCGTGCGACCGTGCGGCCACGCCATCATGCTGCCAGTCCCAACACTGTGAGCAACAGCATCGCTCCCCAACATCATCGCTCCCCATCAGCATCGCTCCCCATCAGCTTCGCTCCCCATCAGCATCGTCCTTCTGCTCGTCCTTTCACGTCTCACTGATCTTGTTGCCATTACTCTCTCTTAATTTTCAAGCATTATTCATCTCTAGCGTGCTTCTGGCAAGACATCACATGCCATGCCATGCCATGCCATGCCATGCCATGCCATGTCATGCCATGCCATGCCATGTCATGCCATGTCATGCGACATACCGTGCCATAGATTGCCATCGCCCCCTCATTCAGTGCCTCATAACGCCTTTTCCCCTGGCCTTGCGCTTGCCCTCGCCCGTGACTCACCCTTTCCATGTGCCCTTTGTCTTGCCCTTGCCATTTGCCCTTGTCTTGTCCTCGTCTCCTTGGAACGTGTTTGCCTCTCAGATTACAGTCGTGGGGCTCTGCTTTGTGTTCCTATCCGTGGGTCTCAGCTGGGTACGTGTTCCTCCACACAAGATGTTAACTCTTCCCCTTTCTGGTATGGGTATAGGTCTTGCAGAACTGTCCCAACTGTCTCTTGCATCTCAACTGTCACTCCGCTCTTTTTCCGCAGCGCCTGTCTCCTGTCCTCTTGTGCCGCTTGTAAGATGACTCATGCGTATCACCTGCATGCATGCATGCATCCCACCTTGCAATCCCCTTCTCCCCTTCTTACCTTCCCACAGTACCTGTCTCCGGACCTGCTAGCCCACGTGCCACGCCCCGTTCTCGTCCTCTTCGCTGTCCTCCTGTTCCTCTATCAGGTAAGAAATGCATGGGTTGGGTACTCGTTCGCTCTCTCTCCTCTCGCACCCACCTCTCCAGTCTCTCTGCTGTCCCTCCACCCGTCTGATTCCCCAGTTGACTCTCTCCCCCCTTGTTCCTGCTCCCCGTCTCCCCTCTTTCCCCTCCTCTTCCCTCACCATTTCCCTCTTCGTCCCCCACACTCAACAATGGCGCCAGACGTTTGATGCCGTTAACGGCAAGCAGGCTCGACGCACCGGAATTCCTCTCACAAGTATTTTATCTCCCCCTCCTCCCGCTCTCTCTGCTCTCTCCCCCTCTCTCCCCCTCTCTCCCCCTCTCTCCCCCCTCTCTCCCCCTCTCTCCCCCTCTCTCCTCTTCTCTGTCCCTTCCACCCAACAATGGCCCCAGACGTTTGATGCAGTGGATGGCAAGCAGGCTCGGCGCACAGGCGCATCAAGCCCTTTGGGGGAGCTCATGGATCACAGTGAGTGACTGCTGCTTCTGGGTTGAGTGCAACAGGTTTTGTGGTCAGCGTAAGAATCAGGCGCATCGAGCCCTCTGGGGGAGCTCATGGATCACAGTGAGTGAATTCTGGTGGATTGACTGCAAGGGCTATGTAGTTGATTCTAGAATCAGGCGCATCTAGCCCTTTGGGGGAGCTCATGGATCAGAGTGATTGACTGCTTCTGGAATGACAGCAAGGGCTACGCAGTTGACTCTAGAATCGAGGTGACTTTTGCGTCGACTCAAAAGCCTTCTGGATTGACTGCAAGGGTTGTGTAGTCGACTCAAGAATCAGGCGCTATACCCCTCTGGGGGAGCTCGTGGATCACAGTGAGTGAATGCTTCTGGGTCGACTGCAAGGGCTTTTTAGCCTGGGCCAGCAGAAGTCTGTTTTTTGAGAAGTCTCAAAAACAGACTCTGGGGGCCAGCGGAAGTTGGAACTGCTGAGGGCCGTGACTCGTCTGGCGAGGAGCAATCTGACATGATAATCTTTCGGGCTTGATTAGGGAGCACAGCCAGGCATGACCTGGCATGACATGGCATGTCCTGGCAGGATTATGCATGTTCTGGCATGTGTGATTATCTGGAGCCATGCAAACTGCTGCTAACTGTTCTCCTTTGTCTCACCTTCTCATTCAACACCTCCTCTTCTCATTCAACACCTCCTCTTCTCATTCAACACCTCCTCTTCTCATTCAACACCTCCTCTTCTCATTCAACACCTCCTCTTCTCATTCAACACCTCCTCTTCTCATTCAACACCTCCTCTTCTCATTCAACACCTCCTCTTCTCATTCAACACCTCCTCTTCTCATTCAACACCTCCTCTTCTCATTCAACACCTCCTCTTCTCATTCAACACCTCCTCTTCTCATTCAACACCTCCTCTTCTCATTCAACACCTCCTCTTCTCATTCAACACCTCCTCTTCTCATTCAACACCTCCTCTTCTCATTCAACTCCTCCTCTTCTCATTCAACACCTCCTCTTCTCATTCGACACCTCCTTTCTTCCTCCCAACCCATCCCTGCTGCCCCATCCCTGTGTCCCCCTCTCGTCCCATCTCGTCTCATCTCGTCCCCTCTCGTCCCATCTCCCCGCATGGAATCTCCTTGCCCGTCTGCCGCTCTTCTGCCAGGCTGCGATGCTGTATGCTGCACGGTAAGAGTCCTAGTGACCACGCACAGTCATACTGAAAATCACGTGCAGTGAGTGTGTTAATGTTAACCACTTGCGTGGGGCTGGTTTTAACATGCAGAAACATGGTTCTCGTCAACCTTGTAGAGAATCTCTTGCTGCTCCAGTGTGAACCGCTTCTGTCCTACATGCCAGCGCCCCCCAATTCTCTTCTATTGCAACCATTCATGCCTGCGAGTGAGCTCGCATCAAACTCTCACCCACTGTCCCTCCTCTGCTGCCCGCGCTCTGCCATCCCCACATCTCACAACTGGAGGACTTCTGTACCACCCCAGAATCGCTAACCATCAAACTCTCACTCACTGTTTCTGCACTCTCCACCTCTGCGCTGTGCCATCCCCTCATACATACCACAGCTGGAGGTGCTACCATTTGCAGCAGCGGGAATGATGGGGTCGCACGCGCCTCTCTTCTGGCTCGTTTCCTCCTCCACCTTCTACTTTGCGAGCTGGGAAACGTAAGCCTCCATTGCTGCAGATTAGCCTTGATCCGTCTCAAATGTCTAGTAAATTTCAATTCTTGTGGTCCACCTTTCATTTGAAGGTGGTGGGGTCAACAAAAGTTACTAGGAATATCAACAGAAAAAGCGACTCCACTGGGGATCGAACCCAGAATCTCTGGTTCCGTAGACCAGCGCCTTATCCATTGGGCCATGGAGTCATGTCAGTTTCGGTTGAGAGGGGCCAATCGGTGTTATAATTATTACCAAGCTCTAATCAAACACAGGCCACTGCTCTCATAGCATCCGTTCCTTCCCTCCCTTCATGTTGAATGGAGAAACTGATGGCTCAGCTGTCCGTCCACCCCTTCCCCTAACTGTTTTCACACGCCCACACAAACCTGCTCATCATTTTTAGTTGTTGAGACTGAATCATCCCCTTCTCAATTCTGCCCGTCTCTCCCTTCCGTCCTGTCCACCTCCTTCAGCATCCCCTTCCTCAGTCCCGCGCTCTCTCCTTACCACATTGGTTCTCTCACGCAGGCTCTCTTCCCCTTCCCCCCCATCCCTTGTTCCTGCACAGCTTCTTCACCCACTCCCCCCTGCTGCTCAACACTCCCACCCTCCACTCCCCCTCTCCCTCCCTCCCTCCCTCCCTCCCTCTCTCCACGCCATTCTCTCCCGCACAGGTTCTTCACCCACTCCCTCGTGCTGCCCATTGTGAACGGCCCCACGGAAGGGCTGCTCGTTCTCTGCTCCTTCTTCCTCTTCACCGCATACATGGGTACGCTGAGGATGGCTTATCTTGAGATTCCTAAAAACCGAAGGAATCAAAATACATCTTGGAAAAAAAAAAACAAACAAACAAACAGAACACACCAAAGAATGATAATCTTCGCGGTTTACAAAGGTTTTGTTGCCTGCATAAGTTTGCTGCCTCGCTGTCGCACCTGTATGAGTTTGCTGAGCGCCCTCTTGCGTTTCAACCGACAGCTGGCTTCCTATGTCTTCTTCTCCTCGCCCCATTTTTCTACTTCACACGATTTTGCCATTCATCTAATGTACTCCGCTCTTTTTCGCTCCCTCTGTCCACACTCTCCCCCTCCCTCCCTCCCTTTCCAGGTCAGGACTGGTTTCGGGTTCCCCTCTTCCCACCGTCCAGCATCATCCACATGCACACACACATGCCACTTCTGGCACGCATTGGTCAGTCGGTGGCGTTCCCACACTTGCTTTTCCCGTATCCTCTTCTTTTTGAGGCACTTTAGGGATAGTTTTCTCACCATCCAGCATTATCCACATGCATGCACACACACATGCCACTTCTGGAACGCATCGGGTCAGTGCAGTGCTGCTCGCACCCTTGCTTTTGAGTCGACTCAAAAGTCACCTTGTCTCCGTCCAGCGTTATCCACATGCATGCACACACATTCCACTTCTGGTACGCATTGGTCAGTGCCGTTCCTGCCATGCATCTTCCATATCCTCCCTGTTTTTAGGCGCCTTAGACTTAGTTTTTCTTCCATCGAGCAACATCCACTCCACATGCACACAGACACACACACACACACACACACACACACACACACACGCACACACACGCACACACACACACACACATGCCACTTCTGGAACGCATGGGTCAGTGCCGTCCATTTTGTTCTGCCCGTTCCCATGCCCGATTTCATACCCCTTTCATGCTCGTTTCGTGTTCGTTTCATGCACGTTTCATGCCCTTTTTAAGCACGTTTTATGCCCGTTTCATGCCCGTTTCATACACGTTCCATCCTCTCTCCTCTCTCGTCCCTCCTCTCTCGTCCCTCTGCAGCCTCGCTCTCTCGATTGGATCTGCTGCTGCTTGTGCAGTTCCCTCTCTTCGCCTTCCCCACAGCTGTCAGCAAGTAAGCCTGGCCTTGTGCTCTGGGGAGTTTAGAGTCTGACTCAAAGCGCACTGCTGAAGCTCGCAAAGTTCCCACTTCTCATCATGTCTTTGCCATCCCCACGGCTGCGAGCAAGTAAAACTGTCGTGACCTGTGAACCACGCAACTTGCAAACATCTCTATGTGCAGCTGGGTAACGGTGCTGAGAGCAGTGAGGGCCGGGGAGAAGGAGAAGCGCAGGGCGGGGCAACCAGTGCCCTTTGCCGGCACCATGCTCTTTGCTGCTCTGCTGGTATGAGTGGGTGTGTGCTGTGCGTGTATGCTGGGTGTGTGCGTGCATGCTGGGTGTGTGCATGCATGCTGGGTGTGTGCATGCATGCTGGGTGTGTGCGTGCATGCTGGGTGTGTGCATGCATGCTGGGTGTGTGCATGCATGCTGGGTGTGTGCATGCATGCTGGGTGTGTGCATGCATGCTGGGTGTGTGCATGCATGCTGGGTGTGTGCCCCTAGAGAGAGTGAGAAGCGCAGGAGAAGCACAAAGAGGGGGAAAGCAAGCAGTGCCCTTTGCCCACACCATCACCTTTGCTGCTCTGCTGGTATGAGAGGGTGTGTGCATGCATGCCGTACCTCTGTAGTAATATTGGTTTCTCGTTTTCCCATTTCCAGTCAACTTTCTTATCCCTCCCCTCGTTCTATGCTTACGCTGCTTCCCCTTCCCCTTCCCCTTCCCCGTCCCCTTGCCTTTGCCCTTGTCCTTCCCCTTCCCCTTACCCTTCCGCTTCCCCTCGTTCCGCCAGCTGGTCCCATATTTCGCCCTGGCAAGCTTCACAGTTGCCTGGTATGTACCCTCGCCCTCTCACCACCCAACTTGCTTGAGCTGGTTGGGTACTCTTGTTGTGATTTTCCCCTCTTTTGTTTCTCAGCGAACACGTTATGCGCTCCCTCTCTCTCTGTTCGCTTGCCTGTTAAGCCTCTTTCATGACTCTTCTTTTTCTCGCATCTTCGTCCATATTTTCCCATTGCACCGCCCGTTGCACCGCCCCTTGTACCACACTCCACCCCATCATTATCATCATCCCTTGATTTCCCTGTTCTCCCTCCCCTCTCTAACTACAGGGCAGTACTGTCTCCCTCTGCCATTGTCCCCACTCACTCGCACTTCTTCTTCCTCGCCCTCTGCTTCTCCTTCGCGCTTATCGTGGTAAGCCTCTTCTCTCTTCTGCTTCTGCCCGTACTGTCTACCTCAGCCGTTATCCTGCTCTTGTTCCTCCATGACAGTTTGTGCTCGTATCCCTCTTCAATCCCTTGCTGTGGTGTGCCATGCATGCCAAACCATCCCGTTTTGATTCGCTCCATCCCATACCGTCCCATCCCATCCCATCCCATCCCATCCCATCCCATCCCATCCCATCCCATCCCATCCCATCCCATCCCATTCCATCCCATCCCATCCCATCCCATCCCATCCCATCCCATCCCATCCCATCCCATCCCATTCCATCCCATCCCATCCCATCCCATCCCATCCCATCTCATCCCATCCCATCCCATCCCATCCCATCCCATCCCATCCCATCCCATCCCATCCCATCCCATCCCATCCCATCCCATCCCATCCCAACCGCATCCCATCCCACCCCATCTCACGCCATGCCATGGCAGGGCCGCATGATTCTCGCGCACCTCACTAGGGAAAGTGAAGGGCTACTGGTTGCCATGCTGCAGGTCAGACATTTGTGGTTGCAGGCGTTTTCTTTCTTTGTTTTATTCTCTCACACTGCAATGCGTGCAGCCACACACGAGGGCTACTAGTTGCCATGCTGCAGGTCAGACCCTAGTTGTTGCAGGCTTGTATTTCTGTTTCGTGGGCCGCTGTTGCATCCTTCTCTGAGCTGTTCCGTGTGCCGCATTCACATCTGGGAGTTCCCCTTTGAGGTTTATTAACTTTTTCTGCAGCTTCCTTATAGTGCCTCTCCTCACCTGTCCCTTCTTATAACGCCGTACATACCTGCTTCATCCTCCATTCTCCTCTCCTCCTCGTCCTCCCTTCCCCTTCCCTCTCCTCCTTCACCTCTCTCTCCCCCCCACGCACTCCTCCACTTCCCAACATGCCCGTCAGTCTCTATTCTTCCACACAATCGCACTCATCAACGCGGCCTGGCCCCAGTCAACCTCCCCTCTCCTCTCCCCCTCTTCCTCTACCCCCCCTTCCCCCCTTCTCCATCACCTCCCTCTCCCCCGCATGCTCTCCTCCACTTCCCAACGTGCCCGCCAGCCTCTATTCTTCCTCACAGTAGCACTCATCAATGCGGCCTGGCCCTACTTCACAAGAAGGTAGAGCTTCTTGGTTTTCTCGGGCCATTTCACTCTCTTCTTTTTCTCCGGTGCTCCTTTTCCTGTTGCGCACACAAATGTCTGTGTGGTTCATGCCTCTGTGTGGTCGTGCTAAGGAGAGTATCAAAAAGTAAACAACTTTCACAACAAACTCTCACTTTGCACATTTACCTAACTAACCCATGCCACATCCCTCCCGGCAGCACTGCTTCTTCTGGGCCCCTTCAAACCCCACTGCCGGAGTTTCCGCTGCTGCTGCTATATGTTGCACACACAGGTCAGCCTCCTGTGTACTTTGTTAAACATCTACTCAGTCATATGTCCAGTGAATTTTCAGTCAAGCTAGTCAGCAGATTGAAGTTCAGTCCAGTCAGCGCAGTTGGTAAAGCCATTCTGGTCAATGATGCAGATCCCAAATCCCTTTTCCCCTCTGCTCGCGGCACTGCTGCCTGCAGGTTATATGTACGCCCACTTTGCAGTGGGGGTGTGCTACGACATTTGTAACACGCTCGGCATCTACACCTTCCGAGTGGGCAAGATGAAACAGTGACCTGGTTCGTGTTACATAGGGCTTTGTTGTAAACGAGTGTTCGAAACGACTGCAAAGGCTCAGATTCGACAATAAGTTTGGGAGGTTGTGGTTCGTATTACTGAGTCTGTAGGGAATCAGACTGGAACTGCTTCAGACCCATTTGTATGAATATATTTGATCCGTGGTTGCAAACAGGCAAGCATCCATTCAAGCGCGCCAGCAGTGTGTTTTTTGCCATACATGCATAAGAGAAGAGTTGAAGGATTTGCATGGAAGGACTGCTTGCGATAGAGTGCAGTTTATGAACCACCAAGCACAATCCGTGCGCAAGGAACAAAATGACTTGAAACTAGCAAACATTTACCATGATCTGATTGACGGTGTTCCAAGTGCCTTTGGTAGTCTGTCTCAAACGGGTATGCGGTCAACCAAGTGCCAAATTGCAGCGAGAAGCAAAACACCCTGCTTCGCCCTCCCCAGGACCCTTGAGACCCCGACCTAAAAACGTGCCAATCTCCCAGCCAAACAATTTGGTCTGGCAGGGAAAGCAGGAAAATATTGCCCAGACTCCCGAATCCCGATTCGCACAGAAAGTTGGTGAGGCGAACATTCCTCTCGCTTCGTGAACTTCTATGGTGAAGATCCAGCCAATCGCGGTTCAGCCGTGGAACTCCAACATTCTTGCGACGCAGACGAAACCCCCGACGACCATATTCACGTCGCCTGCCACCAGTTCATTGCTTGAAGGGCCTTGCGTGCGACTGGCTCGAGGTTTCAGCAGCATCTGTGCGACGATTCCAGCCTTGGGAACTGTTTCCCGCGCTTGTGTCCGTCAGTTGGGTTTCTCCCGCTCCACCCTCCTCCCCGAGCATCATACACTCATGTGAGTGGAGAATGTGCTATGGTAAAAGCCTGGTGTGATTCCTTAGCTAGTGGTGGCTTTTTATGGAGGTCAAATGCGAGTCTCGAGCGCCGATACAATTATCGAGTCAAGCCTGCTGAGATAATTTTTTGCGAATCCGTCGCAGTGGGTGCGTGCGTGGACGGACCGCCGATACGTAGTCCATTTTAACCACGTACCCCCGTGCACCCGAACCGACACTGTCGCTGGCTCTAGTAACAAGTCGCCTTCTCCTTCGTCCTTGGACATAATTGGTTACTTCGTAGTGTCCATCGACATCCACTACCGCCTTGCCAGCTATAGTCGCTCATCCTGTGCCTCTCATTGCCGGAGGCATGTCGTCTGCTAGGGTACGAATTACAATTGGGGATGACTAACCCGTCAGACCGCAGCCAGACCGCACCAGGCCAGATCCCGCACAATACTCGTCAGCACCACCACTAACCAACCATCTCTCACTTCTTCTCCGCTTTCCTCACATCGTCTCAGGTTTTTACCTGAATTTACCTATCCTCCTCGTGGTAGCTTTCTCCTCCAGTAGCTCTCCCCCTTGCTAACTTCAAAATCATCCTTCATACCCGTCATATCAGCTCCTCCCCGTAGCCTTCCGTGTATGACGCCCTTATAGGCGTCACTGCGCTCCTGGCGAGAAAAAAGCTCCTCTTCGGCTGGTTATCCGGCGCGCATCTGGCGATGCTCGGAGGGGTTGACCCGCCGCGATCGCCAGGTGGCAAGCCGTCATTGGTCACATCCAGCCCTTCCATCGGTGGCACAACTGGACCACCAGGGCTTATGTCCCCTTCGAAAATGACAGGACCGGCCACCCTGTCCACTTTCCTTCTTCCCCTAATGCGACGAAGCCGTATCCAGGTAGGCGAATTAAGTTCAGGTGATCTGTGGTCACCCGTAGACAATATTTCACAAGGACCTGCTACAATTCTCTCTGCTTGGATAATTTCGTGTGTGGGATATATTGTCCGCCATCGCTTCGCGTGTGCCTTATCATGGACCATCAGACCAGAACATCTCGTTTGTCCATACATTTGAGACGACGCAATCCGTATACGATTTCCTATTTTACGTCTTGAATCTTTCTTGACTGACGTTGCTAGCCCCAACCACGCGATTGGCCGCAATTCACTACCCGACTTGCTTTACGTGTGTTGATTCTACTCAAGCCGGTTGTCACTCGGGTTGTGGTTGGCAAATCGGCAGGCACGAGCAGGATAAAGCAAATTCTGTCAGCTTCCACGCCGTGTGGCAGGGTGATTGAACGCTTAGCGCAAGCGGATGGTCGACCGTAAATTCCTTTTCTGTTCCTACCTCTCTGCGTCCCCCTTCTCACCCGCGTGTTTGTGTGTGTTCTCATACGCGGGTGTGTGTGCGTGCATGCGTACGTCTGGTGTGTATGTGGGTGCTCGTGTGTGGGTGTGCGTGGGTGTGTGTGCGTGGGTGTGTGGGAGTATGTGGGTGTGTGGGGGTGTGTGCGCGCGCGCGCACGTGTGATCTGTCTGGTGTCTGTGCCCGCACGGCGGTTCTTCTGTGTTCGCCCATCCTCAACCAATCGATGCAGTGGGGTCTCGGACTGCTATGGATCGTCTTCTGTTTAAAAGTGAGACTTGCCCCTCCTGTTCCCGTCCTCCTCAAACCCCCTAACTCCCACTCCTCGAATTTCGTCTTCCAACCTTTCTTTCATACAAACTCTTTTAAGGCGTCTATCCCCTTCCCTTCCCCTTCCCCTCCGCCTGAACACCCTTCCCTTAGCTCCTTTGACCACCTCCCCCTCACTCTATCTCACTCCCTCCACCTCTCTATTCCGTCACCCCTCGTTTTATCGCTTTTCGCCCCTTACCCTTTTCCCTCGCCGCTCCCCTCTCTTCCTTATCACCCCTTCTTATCCCCTCTCCCTGCCTTGATTATTTCGCTCGCCATCTCAATCCTTTCTCCTCTTTCGCGTCGTCCCTCTCTTCCCTCTGTGCTCAGCTTGCAAAAGTATCATCCGCCATAATTTTTCCCTATCGTACCCCTTTCTCCCTGCCTGTTCCTCACGCACTTGCCCCATGGCACTCCCCCTGGCACTCCCCTTTCCCTTCCCCTGCCCCGCCCCTGCCCTCCTGTCCTCCCCCTGCCCTCCCTGTGCCCCCCCCTGCCCCTTTCCCTGCACCCCTCTTACCCACCCCCTGCCCTTCCCCTGCTCTCCCTCCGCGCCCACCCCCTGCCCACCCCCTGCCCTCCCCCTGCCCGCCCCTGTCCTTCCCCTGTGCTTCCCCTGCGCTCCCCCTGCTCGCCATCTGCGCCCTTATCTCTCCTCTCGCCTCCGCAGGTGATGAAGGACTCAGTGGACCGCATGGATCGCAGCCTGCAGTCCCTCTTCTTCTACGAGGCCTTTCTCTACTACAACCCGCTCCTCATGATCGTACGTGCGCTGTCAGTCAGTCGATGTGACGAGATGGTCTCTTTTTAGGCCTCGTAAGGGGCTCCCTCTTCTTCTACGAGGCTTTCCTCTACTACAACCCCCTCCTCATGATCGTACGTGCGCTGTCAGCCCATGTGCTTAGACGGCCTTTCAGGCCTCTTAAAGAGTCTCACTCAGTCCTGTTCTACGACAATTTCCACTCCACCACATGATTCTGGGCGCGTACTTTCACTCCCTACCTGCTGCAACCCTCCTCCCCCTCTCCTCCCGCTCCCCTTCCCCTCCCCTTCCTCCCCCTCCCCCCCCTCCCCTCCCCCTCCCCTCCCCTTCCTTCCCCCTCCCCCTTCCCCCCCCCGCCCCCTCCTCCTCCCCATCCCCCGCCTGTCCCTCTCTCCGCATATCCCTTTCCCCAGGCGCTGATGGTGTGGCTGTGGGGCATCAACCTGTACGGGCTGGCGCACTCGCGGGTCAGCTACGCCAAGGTCTTTGACCTGGACCACAACCACCTCACGCACACGCAAATATGGCAGGTCAATGGCTGTTCCCTTGTGCTCGTGAGCTCGCTGTGCTTGCACTTGCACGGGGGGAAGAGGGGAAGGGAAGGGAGAGTGGGTCAGCTACGCCAAGGTCTTTGACCTGGACCACAACCACCTCACGCACACGCAAATATGGCAGGTCAATGGTCATTCCCCCTCGCTCTTAAGCTTGATGTGCTTGCATTGGGGGGGGAAGGGGAAGGGGGAAGGGTGACGGGGAAGGGTAGGGTAGGTCAGCTACGCCAAAGTCTTTGACCTCGACCACAACCACCTCACGCACACGCAAATATGGCAGGTCAATTATCGTCCCTTCACTCACAATCTCGCTATGCTTGCACACATTCGCAGGGGGAGGGGAGGGGAGGGGAGTGAGGGCATGGGTTAGGGTGTCGGGGTTCAGGGTTTGGGGGTTCGGGGTTTGGGCTAGTGGTTTCAGGTTGGGGTTGGAAGGAATGTGGGTGTGGAGTTGGGGCATGGGCCGTGGGTTTTAGGTGTGTTTGTGCAATTCTTTGCTTCGTCCTCTTCATATCCTATCGTTCCCATCTGCGGGCGCATGTTCCTCCCCCTCTCCACCACCACCCACTTCTTCTTCCCTTCTCTCCCCCCACCCCATCCCCCCCCCATCCCCCTATTGTCCTCTTAACCCCGTGTGCTCCTCTCCTCTCCTCTCCTCTCCTCGCCTCACCCAGGTGTCAGCAGCGCTCTCCCTGGCAGTGCTCTCTTCCATGACGGCCTACATGTTCCTCTTCTCCCACGGACTCATCAACCTCGCTGCAACGCAACCCGTATGGCCATTCCTGCCTGGCCTTTGCTGGAATGCCTGGGTGAATCGCATGGCATGGCATGTCAGGGCAGGGCATTGCGGGTATGGTATGGTATGGCATGGCATGGACGGGATTGCATGGTGTTAACATGGTTGGGATGTCTGGCATGAAACTGCATGGCATGGTGGTATCTGTGCCTCATGCTTCCTTTCAAGCTACTCAATGCGACTACTTTCCGAATCCTTTCTTCATGCATGAATGGCTGCCATCCTCCGTATGTTCTTCTATAGCTGCTCTGCTGCAGCGTTTCCCTTTGCAACTGCCGATTTGCGTCTTGCCCTCTCTGCCCCGCCCCATTTCCCATGGCCCTTGCCCCATGCCCTATGACCCATCTCCCCTTGCCCAACCCCTTTGCCGCTGCCCCATCCCCCTGCCCCCTGCCCCCTGCCCCCTGCCCCCTGCCCCCTGCCCCCTGTCCCCTTTCCCCTGCCCCCTTTCCCATGCGCCATGCGCCATGCCCCATGCCCCATGCCCCATGCCCCATGCCCCATGCCCCATGCCCCATGCGTGATGCCCCATGCCCCATGTTCCAGGTACTAATGTACTGTTCTCTGCCCCTCACTCTCGCCCTGCCCTTTGATGTGCTCTACGCCCCCTCTCGCGTCTACTTCCTTACAACTCTCTTCCGACTCACCTTCCCCTTACAAGTAAGTTAGGGCTGTGGAAGATGGAGGGGCGGAGGGAGCAAGATGGGGAGGCGAGGGAGGGAGGGAGGGATGAAGGGAGGGGGGTAGGGGGGCGGGAGGGAGATGGAGAGGGAGGGAGATGAGGGGATGAGCAAGGGGAAGAAAGAGAGGTGTGGGGATGGAGGGAGCTGGAGTAGGGCTGGGGTTCGTTATGGAAACAGGGGCTGTAGATATGTTCTTTACTGTTGTGTGGTGCTCTTTTCTCCCCATCATTCCAACCACTCCATCCCTTCATTCATCCCTGCTGATAGGCCTGTATCTGCCCCACCCCTGCCCCTTAACCCTCTTCTCCTCCACCCTCCTTCAACATATCTTCATTAACGCCCCTCTCTTCACCTCTCTTCACATCTTCACCTCTCCTCGCCTCTCTACCTTTTCCACCTTTTTTCGCACCTGTTTCTCCCATCGATATCCCGTCCTCCACACTTCTCTCGTTCCCTGCCCTACACGCCACACTGATCCCGCGTGCCTTTTGATTCGCCTCAATAACCCACGCTTCTCTCTAAGTCTTCGTTCCTTCTCTGACTATGTCGCATTGATTTTGTCCAAACCTCCCGTTTTCTCCTCCCCATGCTTTTCCACCCCACCTGTTCCGTCCCCCCGCCCCCACCCCCCTCATTCCTGCTGCCGCTGCAGCCAATCACGTTTGCAGATTTCTTTGTGGCTGATGTGCTCACGTCCATGGCTAAGGTATGTGACGACTCCTCCCTCATGCAGCATCCTGCTGCACGTACATCGCATGCATCATGCAGCATCCTGCATACGACTCCTCTGTTCTGCTGTGTTGTGATGTGCCATGCCCTGGTGTGGTGTGCCATGCCGCATGCATTATGTTGCACGGGGTCTGTTGTGCCTTGCTGTGATGATGTGCCATACCTTAGGTGTGCTCTGCCTCAGCCCCTATTCCATTCCATTTCGCAACCCGCACCCCATTCCTCTAACTCATCCCCCCGTTCCGTTCCGTGTTTCTTCCTCATCTGTCTCCCATCCAAGCCTCACACCTCTTCCGTCCACTGAACCATTCGCCGTTCTACCCCACACATCACACTAGAAGCACACTACCACATGTCCAGAGTCTAGGTCTTCTGATGCAGAGTGGTTTTGTATCTCATGTTTTTTAGGCTCCTAATCAACAGCCTCCCTGTTGCTCCTGTGCTGCCCTCTCCTCATGACGCGTGTCTCGTGCAGGTCTTATCCGATGTGGAGCGGTCTATCTGCCGCATGTCACATGGCCAGGTGTGCCCTTCTGTCTGCCCCTCTGTTTGAATGCTTGTCTGTCTGACTAACTACCTGTCTGCGTCTCTGCCTGTCTGGCCTTGACCTGTGGGCACGGCACCGTACGCGGGAGAGCTTTTGCACGGCACGTGGCAGAGTTGTTGCATGGCACATGGGCACTCTCGGAATCCCATCTTGCGCCCCGCATTTTCCACCTACCTCATCCCACCCACCTTGTATATATATTTCCCCCTGATGCATCCCCATCCCCATTCCCTCCTCCTCCAAACACCTACTCCCAGCGATTCCTTTTCAACGCCTCCTCCCAACCCAATTGCTCCAACCCTTACCACATGCTCCCCACCAGGTGGCGAGTATAGCATGGATGGACGCAGGGGATGTGTGTGGCAGCCACTCCTGCATGACTTCGATACAACTCAAAAATCACCTCCCAACCCCCTCGTCCCAACCATCCCCATATGCTCCCTTTCGATTTCACCAGGTGGCGAGTATAGCATGGATGGACGCAGGGGACGTGTGTGGCAGCCACTCCATCATGATCCCCATCGTGCTCGCCTTCCCCTACGCCTGCCGCTTCTTCCAGTGCCTGCGCCAATACTCTGACACGCGCGACAAGTCCTGTCTATTCAACGGTGCGTCCGTATGTTTGCATGAATGTGTGCGTATGTGTGTGCCTGCCTGCATGCTGTCGTTTGAAGCCCCTCAAATGCCGATTCTTCCAGTGCCTGCGCCAATACTCCGACACGCGCGACAAGTCCTGTCTATTCAACGGTGCGTCTTCTACCTTTTGAGTCAACCCAAAAGATTTGTCTTCCTGTAGCGCTAGCAGCGCTTCCTGGTATTTTTTTTTCTTCTGACAACTGAAGACCCCAGTCCCTTCATCTTTCCTTCCGCCTACCTTCCCTTCTTCTGCCTGCTTCATCCTGCAGCTCTCAAGTATTCCACAGCATTCCCGGTGATCATCCTGTCAGCCACCAAGTACCATGTGCCTGTGGAGCGGTGGAGAGCGGTGTACCGCCCACTGTGGCTCATTGCCTCTGTGGTCAACTCCTGCTACTCCTACTACTGGGATATATCAAGAGATTGGGACTTCGGGTAAGCTCCCTTGCTGATCCTACTTTTTAGTCTCTCAGATTTCGTTTGTGGTACACTTTTGATGCTCCTACTGAAATGTACGAGGAGAATGGGACTTTGGGTATGTTCTCTTGCTGCTCCTATTTCTTTCTGAGAGGCACCTCAAAACTTGCCTTGGTGGTTTGTGAAGATTAAAATATTACGTACATTCTGCAGCGGTATCCGCTGCTGCTGATTGCTGCTGGGGCTCCTGGCTGTGCAACCATCACCGCTTTGTTCAAGCCATCTTTATTCCGTTCTCTCCAGGTGCTTTTCTGGTAATTGCAACGCGCGAAACCCTCTCCTCCGCAACAACCTTTACTTCCCACAAAGATGGGTACGCACTTTATGCCTTAGGCCTCACTTATGATGATCATATCCCACCTTTCCACTGTTTCGGAAAATGGCCACCACATGCGTCTTTTGCCTTAAGTTCCTGGATTGTGACGGCGGTGCGGTTCATTGTCATAAAACTTGCTGCGATTCGCTTGGCAGGTATACTACTGGGTTATGTGCTCCAACCTTGTGCTTCGCATCTCGTGGACATACAAGCTTTCATCTCATCTTCGTAACAACCTCGCCACAACTTTTGTGGTCACAGCACTGGAGATGGCTCGGCGGTTTCAGTGGGTATTTTTCAGAGTAGAAAATGAATGGAACAAGATGACGATGCGCGCTGCTGCATCGGCTGAAGACTTGAAGGACTTAGCGGCTTCCGAGGATCATGGTGATGACAGACCGCTGCTTACAGTTACAGGGGGCAAGGACTCTCCACGAGAAGTCTAATACGAAATTTTATTCTTTATGTGAACCAGATTAGCACAAGCTAGAGATTATGTTTATTTGAGTAGCTTATTTCTTAGGCAATTTTTCACAAGCGTTTCTGTTCTGCGTGTACAATCGCCTTGTCCTGTCAATTCGCCTCCTCACCACCTTCCGCGCCGCATCCCGTTCTGTCATGTCACGTCGAATCGCGCTCCTGGCGCGGCTGACGTCGCATTTGACTCAGAAATGTGCAGCAGAATGCGGTCCGATTTTACACATTTTTCATGGTTTCCCTTCAAAACAGGACAGGACAAGTATCTTCCACCTTTCGTGTCCCCTCTTCTCCGCTTCGCCTCCCCCAGTCCAAATCCAAGCACTCGTCTCCCCACGCACGCACGCTGGGGCAAGGTGTGGCAGATGAGACGGCAAGTCAGGTTCTTTCGCAATCTCCTGTCAAGGCTGCTAGTCGCTTCGAGGTATTTAAGCTGGGGGCGGAGCGTAACCAGCAAAGCGTGCTCAGTATTTTCCGTACGACATGCCTTGATAGTACCAGCGACTCCTTACCGAATACTACGTCAGCGATCAGGATATCGTCGAGATCACCAAGCGTTTCTTCTAAAACTGAGCGTCAGGCACAGTTGCTGCGTGTACCAATAGTAGTAGCTAGAAGTCGACCGGTTCCTCAACCAAAACATGGAGCGCGACCTGCTTGTAACGAGGACGAAGTCGTTCGGGCGACTGAAGGAGCGGCTACGCGGCACACGCCAGTGCGACGCGAGTACCAACAAGCCATCTTCCGCCACCTCCGCTGCGGACCCGCTTATGAATAGTATTCGTTACAACGATAGCAGTGGTAACTTCGGTTCTTCCACGCCGGGAATCGTCGAGCCTCCGCCGCAAGCGCCGCCGCGAGTGCCGCCGCGGCGGCCGCGGCCGCAAGAGAATAACGACGGCGATGTCTCAGGCGCTAGTACTAGCGAGGATGTGGCGGTTTCGGCGGCTCCGGTTGCTCCGGAGGCTGCGGAAGCGGCAGAGGTTGCTACTGTTACCATTACGAACCATGGAGTTCACACTGGTTTTCTTATAACGGATCACTCTGTACCGAACTGGCACAGCGAGGATTGGGCCTTCCTGGATTCGGATATGGAGATGCGCGCCGATGGCCTGGTGTCCGGAAGGGCTGACGGCTTTGAATGTAGGAGCTTCACTCAGCGGGGTGCTGGCGGTGTGAGGCTTGGGGGGGAGCCTGGCGACTTGGGGTCTGGTGGGACTGGCAGTAGCAGCGGCATGCCTCCCGAAACGCCATGGAGTGACTTGTTGCTTGACGACCCTATTCGTGTTGCTGGCATCAGTGAGCAGCAGCAGCAGCAGCAGCAGCAGCAGCAGCAGTCTCAGCCGCAGCAGGGGGAAAACCAAGGTGTGGGTGAGAGCATGGGCAAGATAGAAGCAAATGTGGGGGAGGTTGGGGGAGGAGGAGCGCGGGAGAAGCGCAAGTGGCGCGCGTGGGAGAGGAGGGAGCGGTTGAGGAGGGGTTGTGGAGAAGGGATGGGTAGCTGCAGCGGTGAGAGGGGGAGGCGGAGGAGTAGGGTGTGTGTCGAAATGTTAGGGGCAACTAGCACTGACGGCAATGGTAATGACGATGGTGGTGCTGGTGCTGGTGCTGGTGCTGGTGCTGGTGGCGGTGCTACTGCTGCTGTTACTGTTGCTACTGCCGATGACGATGGAGGAGATGATGGTGATGGTGATGATGTTGGGGCAGTGGAGAATGGTGCTGCTCCTGCTGGCCGCGAAGACAGGTGGTTTGGAGAGGGAGACATGGAGGAGCAGATGGGCCAGCTGTCAGCAGGAATGATGATGAAGATGGTCATGGGAGAGGAGGGTGGATGCAGGTACCATCCCCATCCTTATCACCATAACCATCACCGTTCTAACCATGATAACCATGCTACCCATGCCCCTTTCTATCCGCATAACCATGACCCTAGCGATTTACATGATCATGAGCCCAAGCGTCCACTCGGCCATGGCCCCCGGTATCCACATGACGAAGGCGCCCCTCTCCAGCAGATGTTGAGCGACTGCCATGCTGGTGCAGCAGCAGGGCAGACGATGTTGAATGACAGCCATGCTGGTGCGGATGGTTTCAACGGCCGCTGCCGGAATGCCAGCGGTAGGCGGAAGGGCGATGCTTCTGCTTCTTCTCCTGCTCCTGCTCCTGCTACTATTGCTTCTGGCACTCTGGCTGCTGCGTCTGGCGCTGCTGATGCTGCTGCTGCTGCTGTTGCTGCTGCGGCTGCATGCAACGATGTTTGGAACGCCTGTGACATCGAGGAGAGTTGGGATGCAGGCATGTGGTGGGAAGAGGAGGAGGAGGAAGAAGAGGGCGGAGAAGAGGAGGGGGAGGAAAACGAGGAGGGCGGAGAGGAAGAGGGGGAGGAAAACGAGGAGGGCGGAGAGGAAGAGGAGGACAAAGAGTATGCGGATGCAGAGCAGCAGAACTCAACAGCAGCAGTCTTTGCTCCTGCTACTCTCCCCACTCCCTCTCCGCCCTCTCCGCCCTCTCCGCCCTCTCCGCCCTCTCCGCCCTCTCCGCCCTCTCCGCCCTCTCCGCCCTCTCCACCCTCTCCGCCTTCTCGGCCCTCCCAGCCATCTCGCTTCTCTCCAATCTCGACCCTCCCTCCTCTCTCGCCTCTCTCTCTATCCAGCAACCACAGTGAGCTGCTATCCGCGTGTATGGACCTGCTTTTGCAGGTATGCCCCGGCCCACTACCTACCACTGCTGCCACTGCTGCTGCTGCACCTTCTGCCACTTCTGATGCTGCTGCTGCTGCTGCCACTGACGCCACTACAACATTAGCTGCTACCTCCCCCGCCCTCTCTGCTGTTGCTGCTGCTGCCCCAGCTGCTGCTACACATGATGCAAGGACAGCCATGGATCCTCGGAATTGCCTCCCCAGTTATCAGCGCCCCGGGTCTGTTAGTGCATTCGCTGATCGAGATATGTACATGCATACACGTGATGATGGCGATGGGGATGAGGGTGACGTGGCAGGGGATGGAGGCGGTGACACGTGTCCTCTGAAGCAGCCAATAGGGGGGAATCTCATGCAGGGTGGAGATCCCGAGCCAGCGCGTGCAGCGGCGAAACCAGATTCACCTGAAAAAGCACCTGAAGCGGCACCTGAAAAGGCACCTGACCCCCACTCATTGCTCCCGCCATATGCTCTTGGTATCGACAGCAAACACTTTCAAAACACGCCCTCTTTTCACTCCACTTTCCTCCATTCCACCTTTCACGATTCGCCCTTTCACCACTCTTCTAGTCCACACTCACACTCCCTCACAACGCCTCTGCAATCCCCATTCGGATCCTCCCCTCCCCTGCTCTCCCCTCCGCTCCTTTCCCCTCCACTGCCCTCCTCTACCTTATTCCCCCACCTCATCTCCCCTCCCTCCCACCCTCTGTCTCCTCTCACCCTCTCCTCCCAGCATCCCTCCTCCCTCCCGGCGCTCTCCCACTCCCCTCCTAATCAAACACTTGGAACCAGTACAGAGCCTTTACACATGTCCCCCCTCCTGATTCGCCCAGGCTCTTTTCCGGAAACGGACAGACTACCCTCCCCACTGCTGCCCCCTGCCTTGACTGGCGAAGCTGCGGGAACAGAGAGAGAGCTCGGGCGAGAGAATGACTTTGGTTCGCCGACTGAAAAGCTTCTACCAGCACTGCTGCCACCGCAGCTGATACCGCTTGAGGGACTTAGGTATGAGGTGGCCGTGAAGGAGAAGGAAGGGGATGTGGAAGGGGAGCGTATGGAGGAGGATGGGGAGCAGCAGGAGGAGGGTGGGGGAAAGGGAACAAAGGAAGCGTTAAGGGGGAAAGGAGAGGAGGGGATGGAGTGGGAGGGAAGAGCAGGAGGGGAGGTGGGGATGTTTGCTGGTGGATTGAGGAGCAATGCAGGAATACGAGCGGTGGTAGAGGCAGCGGCAAGGGGTAGGGCAGCTGCAGCAGCAGGATCAAGAGAAGGAGGAGGAGTAACGGGCGTAGGGTGTGACAGTATGGAGTGTGGCTCTGGCTTTGAAGTCCGCTGGCAGCAGCTGCTATCCCTGCGAGAGAGAGCGGTGCTGTGCGGTGACTGTGACTGTAGCGAGGGTGCTGTTTGTGGATGGGGGGGAAGCAATGATGGAGGAAGGGAGGAGGGAGGAGGAAAGTGGGGAGGAGCGAAGGTAGGGGGAGGAGGGGAGGAGGGAGAAGGATGGGAAGGACGGAAAGGAGGGACGGGAGTGCTTGGGAGGGACGCTGCTTGCAGCCTGACTAAGGAGGTAAGGGACTAGGGATAGCGCATGCATTGTTGTTGAGTTGAACGTCTCAAAAGTGCTGCTTTCGGCCTGTATATGTTCCCTCGCTCCACCGTTTTCCCTGTATTCCCCGTTGCGGCGCCCATGTTCATTCTCCACGCATCCAAACATAGCCCCCGTGTATGCCAACTTTTTCACTCTTGAACCTTCCTTCTCCATTCCCTCTCCATTGCTTAGCGCCCCCAGCTGTTGCCAACCCTTTGCCTCTCTCCTCCAGAAAATCAAATCTCCACTCCTCTCTCCGCTCCAGCTACTCCTTTGTTGCTGTCTAAGTCATCTAAAAACCCAATCTTCCTCTCACTCCCAACCCAACTCAACCCCTTCCAACAGTTGCTTCATGCTCTTCATGTCTACACCGCATCTCTCTCCTCCCTCCGATCCCGCCTCGCCTCTGCTGCAAGCACTGACACGGCCAATTTCTACTCCTCTCTGCCGCTGGCAATCGTGAGCGGGAGCTTTCATGAAGCGGCTATGGCTATCGAGCAGCATATGGTGAGACTCACACGACCTGTTAGCATGTGACAACACGTTTCACTTCACAGCTCTAGGCCCACCTATCTTGGAGGCAAGCATGTTAGACACCTATCGTGCTGCATTTCTTTACTCTCACTCTCTATCCTCTCCCTCTCATTCTCTCCCTCAACATGTCTCCCTCCCTCCCTCCCTCCCTCCATCCTTCCTTCCCTCTCTCCTTTCATCCCTTTCTTCATTCGTGCCTCCCTTGCATCATTTCCCACCTTCCACCATGTCGTACAGAGGAGGGAGCGCCCAGATCACACTGCAGCAGCAGTTGCGGTGGCAGCACGGCACAAGGCAGGAGCAGGCAGAGCAGGAGAAACGCAGCAGAAGCAGGAGTGGGCGGCGCACGTGGGTGCGTCAACGTCCCTACCTCCATTGGAAGTAAAGGTGGAGGAAGTACAGGTGAATGGAAGCCAAGGAGAGAATGAGGGGCGGCAGCAGCAGCAGCAGCAGCAGCAGCAGCGGTGTTTGCCAGATGAAACGACAGCCATTCTGCGAGCCTGGTTGTTCGCACACTTCCTCAGCCCGTGAGTGCTTTCATCACTGCATGGCAGCATGAGAGAATGGGAGCATGAGTACATGGGTGCATGGGGACATGGGGGCATGGGGACATGGGGCAATGGCGCCATGAGTGCACGCGGGAATGGGGTATCATGGGTCACTGCTGAGTCTGGAATTCGTGTGTTTATGTCTTCTTGCATGGAGTCAGCATACTCACTCGCATCAATTTCACCCCTTTTCTCTCTTTCCACCGTATGACGCATGCCGGCCTATGCCCAAACATCCATTCTCTGCACACCAACGCCCTGTAGCAACGTACTCGGATCAGTCTATACCGTATTCGTTATTGCAGTGCCAATTTCCCCTGCAAACTGCAGCAATACACCCTGTTTCGCAGTGCAGAATGCACGCTTTTCCTCTTGCAAGCCATTGGCAGACACCTCCCATTCTACAAACCTGTGTGTATTTATATTTCAGGTACCCAACAGACGAGGACAAGGATGAGCTTGCCAAGGCAACACAACTTACCCGGGCACAGGTGAGTGCTGAGCGGATGTGTTGCTGAGGTTTACAATACATAAATCTTAGAAGCTATACGGAGATGTGCGTGTGGGGCAAGAATGGAATGGCAAGCAGAACTAGGTATTTCTGCTGGTGAGATGCCTTACCATTTTGGTCTTGCATGGGTTAATGCAGGTCTCGAATTGGTTTATAAATGCACGTGTGAGGATCTGGAAGCCAATGGTGGAGGAAATGTGTGGCACATTCAACAATGCACCAGATGCGGAGGTGTGCACGGATCAAGATAGGTGCTATAATAATATGTAGAATAGTTGTTTGCTTCATCCATTATAGTCTGTTTCGTGGTTTACAAAAGAGGTGTATTACAACGGATTGTATAAAACCATAAATACATGCATGGTTTTCTTTGATGTCACGTTATATAAATAGAATTGAGGCTATCTACATGCACCATAGCTTCTCAAGCATTGTTCCATGTGTGAAGCTTTGGAGCACGTGCCCGAATAAGTGTTTTCTTGAAATTTGTGAATTGTTGCGTATAAGCCTTGGAAACTTAGCTCATTATCCAAAATGTTATGAATGAACTTGCAGAGTGCGCAGTAAAACGAATATCGAGAATGAATGACTACTGAATGACGATACAATGAAGGTGAAGCGAATTTATAAGGAGAATCCTAGCTAGGCGAAGGGTTCGGGCTAGGATGGCTCGGAAAGTGTTGCGATTGGAGCGGTGGCGACTCGGAGGTGGTTCGGGGCGGAAATGTAGGCCGAACCGGGCTGACGCGTGGTGTTCGGATTGTACTCGCTAAAATGCGAGTACAGGAAGGAATTGCAATTCCTTACATAAAATGTACTTGTAACATCAGTCACCTCTAAACCCCGAACCCTTACCGTGATCACAGTTTCCTCACAGTTCGGTTGGGGAAGCTACCAGATGGCTTGGGGGGTGCATTCACGCAAGCCGTCCGTTCCACATCATGCCAAGTTGCTTTTGTGGTTGGCCTTGACCCGGTTGCGAAGTTTCGCTGGTGTTACAGCTGAAGTGAGTGATCAAGAAGGCTGGCGAAAAGATGGAGCCCACAAGAAACTTGGAGGTTCGCGCCCTTTCTTGGGAATCTCAAGGCTGCGCTCACGCCATGCTGGCGGGCATGAAAAGGTCATTGGCGGAAGCGGTTGCGCCAGCCAAGTGTACTGTACCCCGTCAGCTTCATTCCCGCACACACTTCCCACATCCTTCCCCGTATCCTCCCCCGCACCGCTCTCCCCACCCTTCCACCCCCCTCCCCACCCGTTTCGTCAACCCCAAGAACTCCTTCCAGGCCCCAGCATACCACACAACAACCATATATACACCAAGGGCTTTTCTATCCATCCGATTTGCCTTCCATCCTTCGGCGAATTCGGTGCCTTGTGTTACAAGAGTCCGTCTCTTCTTGCAGCCAAAGTCACCTATTTTGTTAGCATCGGGCCTTTATTCTCTCAATCCGTGTCTGTGTGACTTCTTGATAGCGACTCCCGACTCCTACTTCATCCGTTCCTCATCCTAGTTTTCGCGTTTCAATCGCTATCACCATGCCGAACCGTGGCCCTGGTGCGTTCTCACAAGACTGGGATCCAGTCGTCATCCACAAACGACCACAGAAAGCTGCAGACACCAAGGATCCGAAACTTGTGAACGCGGCGAGGCGGCAAGGAGCGGCTATAGAGTCTGTTAAGAAGTACGATGCAGGAACGAACAAGTCTGGTGCGTCGAATCCTGCGATGCACTCCCGGAAGCTGGCGGAGGAGACGGACGTGTTGGCGCACGAGAAGGTCTCGGCAGACGTAAAGACGGCGATTCAAAAGGCCAGGCTGGACGCTAAGCTCACGCAAGCACAGCTGGCGCAGAAGATTAACGAGGTACTGTTTTGGTTGATTTCGAAAAGAACAAAAGAATATCATAAACCAAGAGTGGACCTGTTGACATGTGAACTGCGAGATCTGGTGTTTTTTTTGGGTGATTTGTTATGAGCTTAATTGACGTGTTGCAGGACGTTTGCTCAAGTTTTTCATAGTTCCTCACCGCGCGTTCGTTCGTGCTCATAAGCGCCTGTGTGTATCTTGTTACTCGCAGAAACCTCAAGTTGTTCAAGAGTACGAGTCCGGGAAGGCCATACCTAACCCACAGATTTTGGGGAAGATGGAAAGAGTTTTGGGGGTGAAGCTCCGGGGAAAGCTCAAGTAAACGTGCTGTATCAAGCAACTTGATTGTTTCTTATAATCTTGTGCTGGATACACTCTCTTCGCCATGTATTTTTCTCCGAATGGTTGTCTCATGCAATTTTCGTCTGTGACGGTGCATCCTCTATGAACCATGTGCACACTGCCTGACTGTCACATCCGCCTCTGCCTCTAACCAGACCTCTGAACTCATAGAGAGACTCTGAAGACTTCCCACTAATGACCAGGAAGGTTTTGCCTTATCAGTAGAACCACGCTGCATTAGCACTCCCTGTTAAAGTGCCCTATTTTCAAAACAAAACAGACTTGGAATTGAACATATGGTAACAGAACCAGTGGGGTGTTAGTTAGAAAGACTTGTGTACACGACATACTACGCAACAAATCCCAGCAGTGGAAGTGGGAGACAAGGATAAAAAGCCACTAGCTAACACTGATACTGGTCCTGATACCGTAGAATATGTTTTAACTGGTTCAAGTGGCACCATATGACCAGGAAAAAGAACACAGCACGAAAACTGATTATGTATGTCGAGAGAAGGGAGGGATGCGAAGACTAACAGAAGGTGAAATGCATAAGGGGCAACAGGAGAAAGGGGGCCAGAAAGGGAAGGAACAAGCTTAGCACAGGGACGTCCGGTCAAGAGGCCTGGAACAAAGCCTCCGTCCGTTGTACCCCTTCTGTTGGTACTTGATTGTCCCTCAATCCATGACTTCTATTGTGTCTTGCCTTGGAAACCTGCACTGGTGCAACTGCCTCCTTGGCCGCTTCAGTTCTCCACAACTCAGTCCTGCACCACACTCCACCACTTCTGAGCTCTGCCTCACACCTCCCCACCGGGTTGTATGGTGAGAGCAGGGGGACGGTGGAGGGCAAGGGGAGAGGTCGGGGCAGGAGGCAAACCCGCTCGACCTCCCACTCTCCCCACCATGCCTGCTGCTGTTTGAATTGGCGCCAAAGAAGCTGCTGGTGCTTCTGCCCCCCTGACTGTTGGAGAGCTGGTGCTCTTTCCATTGGCTTGTTCAGCTGCTGCTGCCCCTGCTGCTGCCCCTGCTGCTGCTGTCTTGGAAGATGTGAAGGGACCTGCCTTGCCTTCTGAGCTGCTCGAAGCAACTGCAGCACTGCTGAATGAAAACCCCAGTGGAGACATGGCTTGGGGAGAGTCGAGCCTCTCCCCGGCTGAGCTCATCCCGCTCCCTGCGACCACAGCAGAGGACAAAGTGGACGGCATCGGTTGTCCGGAGTGCGTATGCAGACCAGAGTTGAGGGCGGCACCTCCTGCTCCTCCTCCCCCCCCCCAATGCTTTGCCTCAGCCTAGCCCCGCCCCCCAGAGGAGCCGGGTACCCTCTAGGAGACAACCCGACTGCCACTCCTGCTGCAGCACCAGCAGAAGCAGTACCAGATGCAGCGTTACCACCAGCAGCACCACCAGCAGCAACAACTGCTGCTGCTCCTCCTGCTGCAGAATGCAAGGTGGAGCGAGACGCAGAGCCGCCTCTGTGTATATTCTCCACGTCAGGCGAGTCCCAGTGCTTGGGCCAGCGCGCGTGGCGGCGTCGGCAGGACATGGGGGAGGTGGCTGGGAGAGAGCGAGGCGAGGAGGCAGGGCAGGAGAAGGAGGATGGGGTGGTGGGGGACGGGAGGTACCCGTCTGGATGGGATGAGCGGGGAGTGATTGGAACGGTGGCGGCAGGGGAGGAGAGAGCGGATTTTTCCCCCCCTGCTGCATGTGCCTCTGTTCCTGCCCCTGCTCCTCCTGTTCCTGCTCCCCGCCGGCCTTCTCCAGAGGCTGGGGACTGAGGGATGAGAGGAGGGAGACGGGGAGGAGAGGATGCAGCACCAGCACCGCCAGCAGCAGCAGCAGCAGCAGCAGAAGCAACACCAATGGGTGCAGTGAAAGAAGCGGGGGAAGGGGAAACTGAAGGGGGAGGCGGAGCAGCAGAGGTTCCCCTGGGGGAGAGGGTGAGGCGGGAGAGAGAGCGGAGGGAGCGGAAGGAAATGGCAACTTGCATCTTGTATGCTGCACGCATGCGGAAGGACAGCCCGCGAGAGCTCTTGCTGCTGTTGCTGTTGCTGCTGCTGCTGCTGCTGCTGCTGCTGCTGCTGCTGCTGCTGCTGCTGCTGCCCTCGTTGCTGCCCTGGTTGCCGCTGCCGCTACTGTTGTTGTTGCTGATGGTATTGCTGTCTTGGCTACGGCTGTGGTGATGCCTACTGCTGCCGCTGCCGCTGCTGCCGCTGCTGCTTCTGCTGCTGCTCACGCCATTCCCAGAGTGACGGATCGAGCCCTGCGGTTCAGCTGCCTCAGACGAATCATCCTTACAAGCATCCCTAGCAACGTCCCTCAAACCAGTGCTGAAAGAACCACCGCCCTGCATCCTAGCATGGTCAGCAGCAGCACCACTAGCAGAGCCACCACTGGCATCAACACTGCACGATCTCCCATGACCTTCCTCCGTAATCCTCCCTCCTGGCCTTGACCCACCACCACCGCCACCGCCGCCACCGCCACTCCCGTTCCCGCTGCCGCTGGCGCTGCTGCCGCTGCCTTTGCTGCTGCTGCCTTTGCTGCTGCTAGCAGCAGCAGTGGAGCCAAGGCAAGACGCTTCGTCAAATTCCACAACTGCAGCCGTCCCAGCCGCCGCCGCCGCCGCCGCCGCCGCCGCTGCTGCTCCCCGCTGGTTGCGTTTCTTCGCTTGGGGAACGAGCGGGCCACTGAAGCTCCTGAGTGCAGCAAAGCGCATGCCAGGCGGCAAGGCATCAAGCATGTCTTCAGGCTGAGTTGATTCCGCCCCGTACCCTCCTCCCGTCCCTGATCCCAAGCCCGTTGCCCCTGCCCCTGCCCCTGTTCCCGCTCCTGCTCCTGTTGCTGCTCCTTGCGAGATGCTGCGACCAGTACTAGCCATATCGCGGCCGCCGCCAGTAGCACCAGCAGCAGCATCCAGTCCCGAAAACGCCAAGTCCTCAGCCAGACGACTCCCAGCACTACCACTGCTGCTGCCACCACTACCGCTGCCACTGCTGCTGCTGGTGCTCGCGCTAGCCATAAACCGATGCTGTTGCTGCCTGCGCTTGCTCTGTTGCTCCTTGAACCCTCCTCCAGTTCCTGTGCCATGTGCACTGCCCCTTTCTCCTTCTTCTCCTTCCCCTACTGTCGGCACTCCCCCAGTCACGACAGATTGGCTTCTCGTAAACAGAACAGACGCGGGGGAGCGGAGCGAGAGAGAGGAGGAGCGGAAGGAGGAGAAGGCGGAGAGAGAGGTGGTGGAGGCGGAAGGGGAGGGGAGCGCGGACGGGGAGAGGCTTGGCGCGGAGGCGGAAGGGGAGGAGAGAGAGAGGGAGTACTGGTGTTGCAGCAAGCGCTCGCGTGTGGCTAAGAATTCGGTCCATTTGGCATGCGCTTGAGCTACTATGCTTGTTGCTCCATCCACTCCCATGGCTTGTTCCTGAGAGCGCGGGAGGTCTGCGTGTGTGTGGCAGAACGTGGGGAGAAAAGGAGAGAGAGAGGGAGAGAGTGTGAGACAGAAAGGACGGGGAGAGTGGGTGAGTGAGGTAGGCACGGGAAAAAGCAGTGCAAGCGGGACGGAGTGGAGTTATGACGGGTGAGAAGTGGGGAGATGAAGGAGTGGGCTATTTGTTTTGTTTTGCTTGTTTGTTTGTTGTTGCTTTTTTTATTTATTTATTTTTTTCCTCGTTTTCCAGGATTGAGAACCTGAAGCTCCACAACAAAAAGTGCTTCATTTTAGCCTGAATATAAGCCAACAGCCCAATACATACAACGCTTGTGTCATGTGAGAATGTGAGTAATGGATGAGAGGGCATTACGTTACTCTCATCCATTGTCACTTCGTTTTCAACTACTTTTTTTTGTTCGTCCATTATTTTTTCCTCGTCTAGCAGTACTACAGGGAAACAATAAGGTAAGGACATAATTAGACCATGCAGCGAGCCAACGGTCCGTCTCTTGCGCCCTCCTTTTCCCCTGCTCCTCTGGGGGAAAAACAAAGGCGAGGGGGAATAAGAAGATTTGCTACACTTCTGCTACTACATTTTTGCCTTTTACTTTCCCAGTCAACCCGGTACGTAGCCATATCAAATTCGTATCCAGTTTTCCTTACGTTTGTATCCAAACGTGACGTGATCCATCCCCGTTATAACGCACCTGCTTTCGCGTTCACGAGAGCCTTCAGATCACGATGCACGTCCCTTAACACATCCCCTAACGTCCCGCCGCCTTTGCTCACTTCCGAGACACGTGTCATCAGATCAGCCATCGGATCAGTGGCCGCGATCGTCACGATCTTCCACGACGGCTTCGGCTGACGTGTCCCTTCCATCACGCAGAGCGCTGCGAGCACGCGAACCGGGTAAGATTCCCCGACTTTGCGCTTCGCGGATCCGATATCTAGAACTTCCAGCGGACAGCCCAGGAGGAGCGGCGACACGGGGCCCTGCGACGGCTGCTGCGACGCCTGCGACGACGATAGCGACTGCGATTGTGGCAGCGACGGCTGCGACTGCGCATGCGACAGGTGCTGCGACTGCGACGGGGACTGCGGCATGTGATGGTAGCGCGGGGAGGGGACCCCGAATTGCTGAAGCTGCAGCTGCAGCTGATACTGGTATTCTCTCTGGTTCTGGTTCGGGTTTTTCCCGCGACTCGGTAAAGGCTCGCCTGACTGCGCGTCTAAGAGAGAATAATTAGTACCGTCGACGCTGTACCCGCGTCGCATCATTGCGACTCGTTCCACCTCTCCTCCACCGCCGCCGCCGCCCCCGCCGTTACCACTCCCCCATACCCCTCCCGCGCCCCCTCCCGCGTGCCCCTCCTCTTCCGCTATCCGATCTACGACACCCCACAGCCCACCGGCGCTTAAACTCACGTCGCCGCTTCCGCCGAAGCTTCCGCCGTGGCTTCCCCCACCTCCCCCGCCGCCGCTGCGCCTGTGGGGCGCAGCTCCGCGGTCGTGCGCGCACCAGGTTTGGGGTAAATACCCATAATGCCACGGAGTTTCCTTGGGGAAGTACATATACCGCCCGAGCTGCACGTTCCCCTGCGCGTCCCACCCCTTCACCTCTTGCCTCCCCGCGAAGCCACGTGGCGTTTCGCACACGAACGTCAGCACGCCCGGCGCTTGCGCCGCGCCGAAGGGGTAAAGCGGCGGGGGCGACTCGGGATCCTCTGCCGGGTGCTCCGCGAAAGCTTCCCGCTGGAGCGGGTGGGGCGGGGGAGGGCGCGGAAGCGGCGGGGTGGAGTGGACGATGGGCGCAGCGGAGGCGGAGCGGGGCATCCATGCGGCGGCGGAGCGGGCGGACGGGGAAGGTATGGGGGAAGGGGGAGGGGAGTAGGAAGGTGAGGCGGATGCTGACGTGGATGATGACGAGGACGATTGGGAAGGTGATGCTGTAAGAAAAGGGTTTGATGGCGCTGCAGCAGCAGCGACGGCGGCGGCGGCCGCGGCGGTGGCGGCGGAGGAAGAGGAGGAATCAGCGGCTACGGCTGAACCTCCTCTCGATGCTGATAGGGCTGCAGGAGACGACGTACGCGCTATTTGCGTCGTTTCGACAACAGAAAATGCTGCCTCACTGGACTCGGAAGCTGCTATCGTCCCGTTCCGCGCCGCGGTATCAGTCACAGGTGCCTGCGAAGCGGCTGATGTTAATAGTTCTGCACCTACGCCGGCTGCTAGCTCTTCTTCCCTCGCCATTACCGCGGATCCCTCGCTCCGACATTCCGCGCTCCCGTCGCCGCGCCCCTCCCTTTCCCCTCTCCCCCCGTCGACCCGTTCCCCTTCTGCGCTGTCCGTCTTTCGCTCGGCGTTATGCGCGCCTTCATTAGTTCGAGTCTCGTCGCGAGGACCTGACAGCCCAGACTCCCCAGACTCCCCTTCTAGTCTCGGTTGGGCACCGTTGTCTTTCGCGTCACCGTCGCCGTTCGCGTCGCTTCGGGTCGCTCTGCCTTCGTGTTCTGTGTGTGCACCTATCGAAACGGGATCCGACGTCCTTAACCCATTCGCGTTCTCTTCCATGTGGCTCGGAGCTTTGGTATGGTCTACAAATAACGCCGCTCCTTTTCCTTGTGACAGTTCTGCTACTCCTAGTCGCGATTCCTGCATCCCTTGGAATCCCTGGAGCAGAGAGAGGCACAGGTTCCGACCATAAGTTCGATTCTTAATCTTTGCGAAGGCTCGTAAGAAGTTAGTGGGCTGGGCACTGGGCAGGGACAAGGCGAGCACACAAGCCCACGAATGGGAGGGCCGTACTTTTATGTCAAAGAATTCGTCTGGCGCGGTTTAAAACGTTTATTAACGATTGGATGCGGTTTGAGTTCAGGTTTCCACCGTTCTAGACGATTGTTTACCTGGATGCTTTTTCTACAAGAAGAAACCCGGACTCCCAGAGCGAAGTGGATGACCCGTTCTGCGAAGTTTAGCTGTGCTGCGCTGCTGCTGGGGCCTGTTGTTTTCGTTTTTGGGCACAAGAGCACGCCCACTCGCGTTCCACTGGAGGGGAAGTGACCCTGATTTCGTGAACGGCAAAAGTTTGCATTCGCTTCCCGCATTTTTGTTTCGACAAAAGCTTTCCCGAAAAACACTCCACCAAAGCGTGCAGCAGAAGAATGCTCACCACACCGATATGACTGAAAAATAACCCGACGGGAACTTCACTTCACCGCCGCTCCCACCCTACCATAGCTGTACCCACCTGCCAATCCTTGCCTTTCACCTCACCCCGCCCCCTTATATCCCTCCTCCCCCCCGTTTCCTGCATAACCGCTAGCTCCACAAAACACCCAAAGCTGCAACACAGGGCCCAACCACACGACTTCGAGAGGCTGTTTTTACACCACCGTACAAAAACGAACCCAATTGTTTTTACAGCCCTCTTGATCTCCATTCAATTTCATTCCTGGCTTGAAACGGCCTGCCCTAGGAGACAAATGGAGAGATTGGGGGCGGATTCAACTTGAACATTCTGTGGATGTGCTTGGTCGGGGTGTGTCAAGGACTGTGTACAGTACAAACTTTCTGTGGTGCAGTTCGTACAAGCCTTTTGTTCAACTCGAAAGAAAGGACAAATGCGGTCTCCAGTCGAAAGAATGTAGACGGCTCGCCTCGCCTATAGGATAGCGAAACGGCAGCATTGCTGGATCGTAGTTGGAGGGTTGTATAGATGAGAAACGTGTACGATGGAATTGTCATGAATGCAAATACACTCTATATGATTCTAAACTACTCATTCAATCTATTCTATCCCTGGCCTAGCCAGATTTACCACAGGAGAGGGAGGGGGTACATTGTAAGTAAAATTCATCTTAATAGGTGGCAGATCCAGGCCCCAGGGACTAAGATGATGCAATGAAACCATGAATTGGAAGGAAATGCAACTCTATCCAGCCACGTTCACAGCTCAGCGTAGTCATTGTATTGTGAGCTTATACCATAGCTAGATATAGGCAAAGAGCTAGCATGCCATTCCAACGCAAATACAGGTATCTGCAATGTTGTTGCAATGTTTACACACATGCACACATACACCAGATACATACACGAACCCATGCATTGTTCAGTGTCAATAATTATACATACAGCCAAGGGAATGCCACCAACCCGTTTCACACTCCCCAGAACAACACAGAAGCCAAGCGTCCAATCCCTCTCCTCTGCTGATTGCAAGACCGTATACCGGTCAGCCTCTTGCTACCAGGTTAAATGCAAAACTAACCACCCTTCCTTGCGACCGTTTCAAACCGCCAGCGTATCACATCCCTTAAACCAACCAACCACCCCACCCCACCATCACCCCATTCCTTCACACGTCCATCTGCATAACCCCCACCTCCTCTAGAACTCATCTAGGCAGGCACAGCACCATCCCAACATAAAGCCTCGAGTTAATGCACGGACCGCCATTCATGGAGGTGTAGAGCTGTGTGGACCGCCGATAATACTTCCAGATAATAGCCGCGCACGTGTCACCGCGCACAACCGTGTACTTTCCATACAAGCACCGGGCGGCCCAGGGTAGATTCATGCTGATGCAGAGCTGCTGGCCTCCCTTGAGATTGTCGCAGATAAGCCCGGGGTTGACTTCTAGGAGGTCGTCTACGGACATTCGGGCAAAGGTGGCGACTGATTCGCAGGTGTCGTTGGCTGAGGTGGTGAAGAGGGACGGGCAGAAGGCGGAGGCTCGGCCTGTGGGGAGGGGAGGGAGGAGACGGGGGATGGGATGCAATGTTAGGGAAGTTCTGAGTTAGAACGGAAAGAGAGATGCCGGGAGTTGTTGGTAGAAGTGGTGAAGAGCGAAGGGCAGAAGGCGGAGTCTCAGCTTGTGGGGAGAGAAGGAGGGGGGAGGGGGATGGAAGAGGTTTTGGGGGAAGGAGGAAGGGTGAGTGGGGAGGGGGGAGAGTGTTGAGGGGTGGAGATACTCGTAAGAAGAGCCATGAGGCGGAAAGAGATGTTTTTGTTGTTGTTGACTGAAAAAAAGGCCGTAGTGTGCCCAAGGGGAGGGTGAAGGAAGGTGAAGCTGTACATACCCATGGTGCAAGTGGGGGAGCCATCGGGACGAATGACGGGCCATGTGTTCTCCGTGCAGTCGCACGTGTATGTGCCGTCTCCCACGTTGGTGCACTCCCCCACACCGCACGGGTTGAAGGTGGACGAGAAACAGGCGTCAACTGGTGGGACAGGATGGAAGTTGTGGGACGGGTGGGAGGGGTGGGAGGGGTGGGAGGGGTGGGAGGGGTGGGAGAGGGAGGGGTGGGGTGAGTGGAAAGATCAAGCTTTTTGGATGACTCAAAAACTCACATTACTCATGTTCGTGCACTCGCCCACATCACATGGGTTGACGGTGGACGAGAAACAGGTGTCAGGTGTGGGTGGGAGTGGGAGCAGGGGTGGGAAGGGGAGGAGTAGGGTGAGTGGGAAATAATTGGATGAGAAAGAAAGAAAAGCCACATGGTGCAGATCACAAACGTACCTCACACGCATGTCTGCGACTCGTCTGAATTCTCCACGACCGCGTAGCGTAGCCACCATCGATGCAGCTCACACAGCGGTAACCTTCTGAGGCGCATCAGAACTCACAGCAGAGCACAAACGTACCTGACACGCATGTCTGTGACTTGTCTGAGTTCTCCACGACAGCGTAGCCATCAGGGCAGCTCGCGCAGCGGTACCCGCCTCTGTTCTTCCTCCTCACGTCCTCCACACACTCGCCCGCCCCACACGGGTTGGGACTGTCACACGGCGATGTGCCTGGGGTGGAGGATGCATAGGGGGAATGGGAGGGGATGGGGGAGGAAGGGGGAGGATGAGCATGAGAGCATGAGGAAGGGAATGCAAAGTCCCCGGCCAGCTTGTAATACATGTTGCTGGACATGTTTCAGAACTGCTGTTGCTCACCAGCTAGATACCCTGCTTTACGTGCAAAAAAATGGGAGAACCATAAAAGAAGAAGAAAAAAGGAAAAAAAAAAAAGAAGAAAAAGCGCTGCTTTTAATAGGGTAGAAATCCACGGGCAGTAACAAAGAAAAGGGCAAAAGGTGGGCAGCAGCAACTCACTGGTGGTAACAGGGTAGAAACCCGGCATGCTGGTGATGCCACAAGTACCCCTCCCGCCCACTCGAGCCATGCGCATGTACCCCTGCTCTCCCCATGCGTCCCCCCAGCTGTTGCGAACGATCCAGTAGGGCGTGCCAGAGACCTGGTCTGTGCCAAACCCCACCACGAGCACGGAGTGGTCTAACAGCCCGTTGTCACATAGAGGGTCCGCGTAGACACCCTGAGGAAAAAAAGGGGTGGGTGGGGTTGCAGGAGGACGGTAAGAATCAGAGTGTGCTGTCAGTAGGGCGTGCCAGAGGCCTGGTCTGTGCCAAACCCCACCACCAGCCCGGAGTGGTCTAACAACCCGTTGTCGCATAGAGGGTCCGCGTAGACGCCCTGTTAGGAAGAAGGTGTGGGTGGATGGATGGGTTTCCGGGAAAAAGTGAGAGCTGTTAGTAAAGTGCACGCACACACCACTCCCGCACGCACGCACCACTCACGCATGCACGCACACCACTCACGCACGCACGCACTCCCGCATAGGCAAGAAAGGAAGGCACGCTACGCACGACTTTTGAGTCAACTTAAAAAACGAGATATAACTCTGCAAAGATGTGCATGAGAAGCCTCACGACGTGTGTTACCCACCCCGGCTTAGGTGGGGAAGGAGGGCACGTGCGACTGGAAGTTGACTGCAACGGCTAGGAAGGTACGCGCAAACTAGGCTAGTTGTGCTGTGAGGCGCCTCAAGAGTAGATGTCAAGACGTGTGTTACGTTACCTACCCCGGCATAGGCAAGAAAGGAAGGCACGCGTCAAAACCGGATGTTGACTGGATGTTGACTGGATGTTGACTATCACCGGTGTGGAAGGCATGCACGAGCCAGGCTAGACGTGATGTGGGGCGCCTCAAAACTAGACGTCAAAATCGAGGCACGCATGTATGTGGAAGGCAACGGAATGCAACACAACGCAACGCAACGCAACGCAACGCAACGCAACACAACGCAACGCAGCGCAACGCAACGCACCCCAGCATAGGCGAGGAAGGAGGGCACGCGCGACTGGATGTTGACTATCACTGGTTGCGCCGCCACTGCTGACAGCAGCGCGTCTTCACTCGCCGGCACCATCTCGTATCGCACCACGGTAGGCGGTTGCTGTTGGACGGTATGTAAGCGTGTTCAAGGGTACGCAAGGGTACACAATGGTATTCAATGGTGTTCAAATGGTGTTCAGTCAAGAGTATCAAAAGCATTGAAGGGTATTCAAGGGTAATCCGAAGGGAAAGTCGCAAGGGCATGCGCGAGGGTCATAAGAAAGGGTTTGGCACAATGTATGTCACAAGGGTGCAGAGAAGTAGAGATAGGGGAATGGTTGCAGGCGGGAGGCCATCACGTCCCACTCCCTCCCACTCCCTCCCACTCCCTCCCACCCCCTACCACCCAATCCCACCTCTTCCCACCCTCCAAGACTCCCAACACGGATTCACTCACCCATACTGCCCATGCTCCAGCAGCAGTAACAGCACCACCAGGCGCCACCCCAGGAGCACCGCTAGCAGCACCAGGAGCGACACCAGGAGCAGCACCAGCAGCAGCACCGCCACCAGCAGCAACGCCAGCAGGGGCAGCAGGAGCAGGAGCAGAGCACTGGCCAGTACCATTCTCCCCCAGGAACGGATACTGCCTGTCCAGTTGCAGCCTCCCCACAGCCGCCACATACTCCAGAGCGTCCCCTGGCCACCCGGGCCGGCAGATAGAGAGCAGATTGTCTAGAGGGTCGGAACCTGTACCGACCGTTGGATCTGCAGGTGGTGGCGGTGGTGATGAATCTGCACCGTTGACTGCAGATGTTGTACCGGAGGAGGTAGTGTCTGCACCAGTGGCAGCACCAGTGGCAGCACCAGTGGCAGCACCAGAAGAAGTGGTGTCACCAGCAGTTGTGGTGCTTGTGCCTGTGGTGGTGTCTGCGGCGGTGGTTGCGGCGGTGGTTGCAGTGGTGGTTCCAGCAGCAGCATTAGTACCAGAACCAGCAGCAGCAGCGGCAGCAGCAGCGTTGTTGTAGCTAAACCCGCCAATCGACGCCGCAGCAGCAGACGTCTGCGTGCAATCCGCAACCTGCTGCACGGAAAACCTCGCCTTGCCACCCCGGAGCCTCCCAGCAAACAGCCGCGAATTCGCCATGGAAATCGAAACAGCCGCTTCTACAGCTGCTGTGGTTGCGAAGGCCCAGCAGACGCCGCACACGCCCTGGTCGCGCACGGGAGAGAGCACGCCGGCGGCGCGCCAGTCGACGAAGGTGGGGAGTGCGGTGGAGAGCGAGGAGTAGCGCGAGTAGCGGTTGAGACGCGAGGGCGTTTTGTCGGACGCGAATGGCTGCGTGCCTCCCACCTTGTCCTCTGGGGGGTGGGGTTGGAGGGGGAAGAGAGAGGAGAGGAGAGGGTGTGGGAGGAGAGGGAAGGGTGGGTTCAGTAAAATGAAGCAGGGACGGAGTCTTGAGGCGGTTGAGGCGAGATGGCGTGCGGTCGGACGCGAATGGCTGCGTGCCTCCCACCTTGTCCTCTGGGGGGTGGGATTAGAGGGGGACGCACTGCCGTCGCACACCTTAGCATCGTTGAGGAAACCAAGTTCCAAGGGCGTTCACAAAGGCAGGCACTGCCAGTGTCAGCATCACCCGTTCACTCACCCATGTCCAAGCCGCCAATGGTCATGCCGTTGCACGTGGTGTTGTACGCGCCGTCGCACACCTTGGCATCGTCGCGTAAAAAACCTTACAAGAGGAGAGGGGACTAAGAGAACAGCACTACGACGAGCAACGCACTTACCCACGTCCGGGCCGCCAACGGTCATGCCGTTGCACGTGGTGTTGTACGCGCCGTCGCACACCTTGGCGTCGTTGTTAAAGATCAGCCCTGCAGGGCACCGCTGCAGCGCTGCCTGCTTGCCCCCCGCGCAGATGCAGTAGCGGCTGCAGTCGGAAGCATCCTGGAAGTATCCGTCTGGGCGGCCGTCGCAGCATGATCCGGGAGGGGGAGGAGAGGGAGGGGGCGTGGGAGGGGAGAGCGGAGGAGGGGAGGGGGAGGAAGGGGGAGCTGGAGAGGTGGAAGGGGGAGAGGGAGAGATAGGCGGAGAGGAAGGGGGAGGAGGAGAGGGAGAGGGCGTGGAAGGCGGGGGAGGAGAGGAAGGAGGAGAGGGGGTAGGGCCGCCACCACCACCACCGCCGCTCCCATCACCACCCCCACTGGTGGCGGCACAGGGGACGTTTTCGGGAGCGTCGCAGACCTTGGCATTGTCGTTGAATAGGAGAGGGGACTGGCACTGCAGTCTTGCTACCACTTGGCCGCGCATACAGATGCAGAAGGAGCTGTGTGGAGTGCGGTGGAGTGGGGTGGGGTAGGAAGGGATGGGAGGAAGAGGGAGAGTGGCCGAAAATAGGAGGAAAGACGAGGATGTGTAAGCAATGCTTGCGATAAATACTCGGGGTTTGAGGTGGCGAAGAAACAAAAGAAAAGAGGGAGGGAAGTGGAGGGGGGGGGGGGTTGGGGGGGGTTGGGGTGGGTGGGAGGGAAAGGACGGAAGGAGAGGGGGAAACAAGCAAGTGTGTCGATATGCGTGAACATAGATAATGGGGATGCTAGTCAAACAAACACACGCACCTGCAGTTGGTAGGGTCTTGCCAGTAGCCATTGGGTTTCCTGGTACAGCAGGTCACAGGAGCACTCACGCTACCCCCACTGCTGCTGCCCCCACTGCCCACGCTGCCCTTGCTGACCGAACTGCCCGGACTGGCCCAAATGAACGCACTGCTCGAACTGCCCGAACTGCCTGAACTGCCCGAACTGCCCGAACTGCCCGAACTGCCCGAACCGCCCGAACCGCCCGAACTGCCCGTGCTGCCTACACTGCCCGAACTGCCACTGTTGCCCCAGATGTTGCCATTCCCGTTGCCGAATCCATTCCCATTCCCGTTCCCGTTCCCGTTCCCGTTCCCATTGCCAACCCCGTTGCCGTTGCCGTTCCCATTCCCATTGCCGTTGCCAACCCCGTTCCCATTGCCGTTGCCAACCCCGTTCCCATTGCCATTACTGATCCCATTCGCATTCCCAGGAACCTTGTCTCGCCCCAGGGCAAAGACCGAAGGACCACTGCTTGCTGCCCCCATGGCCGCTGCAGCCGTGAACAGATTCGACGATTGGGATGCTGCTGACGAGGAGGAAGAGGAGGAAGAGGAGGAAGAGGAAGAGGAAGAAAAATAGGCACCGCCACGGCCAGAGTCGTCGAATGACGTGGCGACAGATGCATCGGGCAGGGAGGAACCGGCGGTGGTCGCTCCCCACGCGGCCTCTGACGTGGAATCCGACGTGGCAACGGCGGCGCTGTCGGCGGCGGGGCAGTCGACGAGGAAGGAGTACTCGCACGTCTTGGAGTCGTCGCTGAATCGCATGCGCGCGCCGCAGCTCACGGTGCTCTTCACGTGGCCGTTCAGACAGAAGATGAATTGGCTGCACGGGGGGAGAATGTTGACGGGCGGAGAGAGGGAGGACGGAGGGAGGGGGGAGAAGAGAGGGCGAGGAGGGAGAGGGGAGAGAAGGGAGGGTGGCGGGTCAGGGGAGGGTAAGTAAGCGCGCCGCAACTCACGGTGCTCTTCACGCGCCCGGATTGGCTGCACGAGGGACGCTCGCGGAGAGAGGCGCGGACAGGCGCGGGGAGAGCACGGCGAGACAGGTGCGGGCGGAGATTCGAGGGGAAAGGGAAGGGGGGAAGAGTCGGGGGAGACAGGAAGGAAAACAGCGGCTTTTGAAGTACTCAAATGAAACTCAACAAAGGGACCTTAGCTAGTGCTCTTCGGGTCCTGGTAATAATAATTCCAGCTGGCTCCCCTCGCGGACCTCACCTGCAGTCATTCGGGTGCTGGTGAGGGCCGTCTACCAGCCCCGCGCACAGCGACACCTCCTTGAGTTGATTTTTGAGGCGCCTAAAAATCACTGCCGCGAAGCTCACCTGCAGTCATTCGGGTGCTGGTGAGGGCCGTCCTCCAGCCCCGCGCACAGCGACGCCCCCTCCTCGCCACCACCGCCGGACGTGCCGCCGGAAAGAGCGCCGGACGCGCCGCCGGAAGAGCCGCCGGAAGAGCCGTCGGAAGCACCGGCGGAAGCAGCGCCAGACGCAGCGCCCAGAGCGGAAGCGCCCGCCGCAGCGTCCGGAACGGACGCGCCTGGGCATGCGACGTCGTGGGTGCTTGCGCACGTCGAGGTGCGCACGTCGAAGACGTAGCCCTCGGGACAAAAGAAGACGCGCCCGCGCGAGTCGCCGCTGCTGCACAGGCAGAATCGCCTGCGGGATGCGGGGAGACGGACAGTGGAGAGTGGTTTATAACGGGTACGGAAAGACGTGGGGCGGCAGGGAGGTGTGCGGGATGGGTGGTGGGGTCGGCGAGTGAGGCGCGGTTTTGCTTGTCGATTCCTTCCCGAGAACCTAGGTTAATCCCAGTGAACTCGATTTCGATAGGAACGATAGAAACAGGCGACGGCGAGCGACACAAGCGACAGTGGGCGACACAAGCAAGCGACGGTGAACGACGACGAGCGACGACGAGCGACGACGCACCTGCAGTCGGTGGGGTGGCGACGGAAACCGTCCGCCTGTCCGCTGCAGCACGGGTCCGGCGCGTCCCCCCATGCAATTCCGCGCGGAACCATGCTGCCGAGACAGCTCGCGAGCAGGAGCAGCACGAGCGGAAGATACGGCAGCGACGAACGCGACAGCGACGCGACGAGTCCGGTCTTGGGTTTCCGGGAGTATCGTGAGTATCGCGAGTGGGGATTGGGGCGGGTTTCGCGGGGAAGATTGGAGGACTTGTCACTTGTAGCGCGACAAATAGTTGCTTGGGCTGCGTGTTCTAATGGCGAGGCTCTCTGGTTCCTCCTTCGTTCGACCCTGCTGCTGCTGCTGCTGCTGCTGCGACTATGCGGCTCTGCGACAGCTGCCATGGTTGCGATGCGAAAGGTTGTGCAGTTGGGAGCTACCAGTGTACTTTCAGCTCCAAGCAACACTGAAAATTCCTGAGGCTGCGGGTTGCTCCGCGGGTCTGAGACTATGCTCTGCGACTCTGCGACAATGCTCTGCGACCGTGCGACTGCGCGGCTCTGCGGCTACGCTGCTATGCGGATGACAGGTAAATCCACCACCGCCGAGTAGTATTGTTTTTTTCTCGAGAATCTCCTTCGGAACAATAGTAACAACGGTTTTCTCCTGGCAAGCTTACACACTTCCGACAGCCTCGCGGCAAATGCGACTGGATCTCGAATTTCCAAGCACTAACACGAGGTCTGTCATTTCTGCGCAAATATCTTCCTAGCGGTAGCGCCCACAAAGCCACTTAGGCGGCACCCCGCGATTGATTGCAAGGAAGGGCTACTGTGGGGATTCACTTATCGTTTGTAAATCTCAGATTGGGAGACGAGGACGAGGACATGGGGTTTCTTGCAGGGAATGGCGGTGAAAAAAGAGGAAAAGGCAACACTCTTTGGTCGCTAGGCTAACTAGGTTGAAGAAGGTGGTTTTCGTAGGGGCAAAAGCGTATCAGCCTAGGTGGGCGGACGCGCAACGAGGCTGATCAATGGAATGGAATGCAGTGGGGGGACGGCCCAGCCGCTAAACTGCAAGGGGAAGGGGGGAGGGGACAGGAGTTGGTGAATGCGACAACAATGGAGCCACATCGAAAGAAACTGACACAGTGTGCACGCAACAACACCATGTCTGCAAGTGACTCTCGGTGCAGTGTAGGTCTCAGTAGGTGAGGCTGTGCGGGGCTGGTTTGTGATTGGAGGGGACCGCATACTACCGTGAGAAAGAAAAAAGGGTGCCTCACGGGCGACGTCAGGTCGAACATTTGCCGCACATATTTGCATCGTGGCCCAAGACGGTTCCACACGGTGGAAAGCAGTTCCTGATGCTTACCAGCCTGCACCGTGACATAACGAAGTTGACCGCAGCAAACGTACACAAGTTATTTTCATGTCAGCAACAGATACATATCTGCCCGGATATGTACCGGAGTTCTGGAACAAAGTGGAATTCGCAATGTAAAGATACAATATCGAATTGTAAATGGGCGAGACAGGGGAATATCGTGGACGGGGTGCGTGGCTAGGCGTTTTGAAGTTGGCTGTTTCACTTTGCGCTACCAATCTGGTTTGCCTGAAGCAATCTGGTTTGCCTGAGTAAAGTTTTTTCAGCCCGCGTCAGACAAGGGTGGAAGGAGGTGGTCGGTGTGACGTTAGGGGCAAACCTCGGTTTGTGGCACGCCGTTTCGGTGCATGGTTGTGCTGGCGACCTTGTATCAGCTGCGTGAGGGTCGAAAACAATAGACTGTTTCGAGGTTTGCAATCAATCCCTACAGCTCACGGTCTGCGAGGACAGAGAATACGCCTTTGCTGTTCTTTCTGCTAGTGCCGCACCGAAAGAAAAGCAGCCTGCCCTGCAACGATTCCAACGTGCACGTAATCCATGGCAGCATTGCCAATTTGCCACCCACCTGACCCTTTGGGTTGAACGGTTGTCGTAAGAATTCCTCAATCTACACCTGATGCCTGTTTGAGCCCCTCCCGGTTGCCTTACGAAGGGGGCGTATAAGCTGTCACGAGCATTTCGCATAAGTTTCGGCAATTCGCAGCTAGCTAAAAATGATTCGCATGTGCTTATAAACAAGATCTGTAACCTAGTTTGACTTCAGTCTCCTCTGCTTGACTTCGGTCTGTACCTAGTTTGACGTCGGTCTGTTCGTTACTACTGGTTGATAACCACGCGACGCGCTTGTAATGTAGGTGCATGAAGCTGGGGAAACAACCTCGGGTGCAGCGTATCCATCCGGCGCAAGGCAAATTCGCGTGCATGGGGTGAGCATCAGCTGTACCCCCTCTCTTCCTCCAGTGTCTTCCGAATTCAGCACACAACTCCCAGGTGCCCCACCCACATACAGGTTGCTTCTCAGGGAGAGACCCGCTGAGGTCATGATTCACGACAAGCGGCGCATTCGGAATGGAAGTGTTCTTAGTCGATTTACCTTGTCATATAATCCAGTATTCTTTTCCGATACAGTTAAGCCATGGTGCACTGAAGTTGAACTTGCAGAAAGATTCTACATGGTTAGACACGTCTACAAATCTTTGATTCACGGTAGAAAGTGTTTGGGGCTCGATTTTCAGTCTAAATGCATCAAAAGCACTGCACCCTCAAACAATTTTACCAATAGTACAGGAGTTGGAACCAAGCTTGACATATGATGCTCAATTCAGCAAAAGAAATGTACACAGAACTGAGCCACAGAATGTACAGAAACCTATTTGCGATTATCCATCACATCAAAACTCATGACCCACCCCTCTGTCCGCCCACATCAGCAGCGGACTTAGCAGCATCTGCAACACCCTCAACAGTCCTCTTCCCCATATCATCCACCTTCTCCCTCCTCTCCTCCGCATTAGGAGGGGCAGCTCCCGCCAGTCCCCTGGCAGTTTCAGCAGCGCGACCCATGCCTTCTTTGCCCATATCTGCAACCTTGGATGCCATCTCACCCACTCCCTTGGCTGCATCCGCGACCATATGCCCTGCTTGCTTCAACTTCCCACTCATACCTTCCGCCTGGCAAAAAGTAAAAACACAGCCAACCATCAATACAAAAACCCAGGATGCAAGAGCTTTCCAGAAGAACTGACTGTAACCCTACCTTGTAGATATCAGCAGCATCTTCGTACGCTCTCTCATAGCCTGCCTCCTTGGCTGCCTTGGCCTTCTCCTCCGCTCCTTCCTGGATTGTGGTGCCCTTGTCCGGCCATGCACGTTGCTTAAGCTCCTCCTTCATTGATTCCTTGCTTCCCTGAACACAAATCGCACAATAATCACCAAGACGGGACACTGTCAACGAAACCAGACACTTCCATTTCCTATCAACTAAACCGCCCAACAGAACTTCAAAGCCCAAGAAAAAACCACACGCGTTCTACTTTCCCCAAACACCTTCCAGTTGATAATCCGAGTTTCCCCATGGCGTATTCTCACCGGAACGCCGAGTGTGGTCATCTGCCGCCACATGGCAATGCCAGCCATGCGGGTTGCAATGAAACCGGGATCAGCATGTGCGCTGGCGGATGTAACACCGCGAACTGACGATGCAGCAGATGTACGACACAGCAGGCGCAGAGATCCATATCCGGAGGCCATGTTGTCTCCGAAAGAGCAAAAACGCAGGGGAATAAAACCTGCAAATCAGCAAGTCTGAAAGGCGATGAGAATGAAAACCCCCCCTCGAAGAAAGGAGGCAGACAAGAGCTCACAGAAACTCGGGATTCGTGGCGAGGTGGTCTTACAGGGTGAGAAGATCCGAGTGTGCGATCTGATCAAAGAAAGGCAGCCAGCGACGAGGAGACTCAGCAAGCTGCTAACGAGCCAGGGATGATAGCTTCAGGAAGGAGGCCAGGAGCGCGATAAGAGTGCAAGGAGAGAGCTGTCGAGCGAAGAACCAAGTTGTGAGTCGAGGCGTTGGCCAAACTAGCAGCAGCAGCCCTGCGGTGGTTCGAACACCCGCGCCGTGCGCCTCAAGCAACAGCTGACGTTGCTCTGACACGCGTCCTTCAAGCGTGCGCATGCTGCGCGGGGTGTACCACCGTAAGTTCGTCCTTCCACACACGCTGTTTCCAGCACGACGAGTGATCAGCGCGCCTTGTGGTGCGTAAGACTAGGCGGATAAATGACTTGTGGCTCGAGGCACCCAACAAAGCGGTTTCTCGACATTGACGGCCTTTGTTCCATGAAGAACCTCTGTACCTTCATATTCTGACTCTAATTAACTGCGTAGAAGTAAACACATGTGTAAGGAATTACAATTCCTTACTGTACTCGCATTTTAGCGAGTACAATCCGAACACCACGCGTCAGCCCGGTTCGGCCTACAAATCCGCCCCGAACCACTTCCGAGTCGCCACCGCTCCAATCGCAACACTTTCCGAGCCATCCTAGCCCGAACCCTTCGCCTAGCTAGGATTCTCCTTATAAATTCGCGTCACTTTCATTGTATCGTCATTCAGTAGTCATTCATTCTCGATATTCGTTTTACTGCGCACTCTGCAAGTTCATTCATAACACCTGGTATCAGAGCTACTTTCCTAGCCTACCCCGCTTTTTAGAGTGTAATACCCCTCGGGGGGGGGACGAGGAAGGATGTTATGGGGTCCAGGAGTTGCGTAGGCCGGCTAGAAGAACGAGTTAGTTGCTCCTCGCGTCCATAGTTTTACAGGGCACTCCTTCGGCACCGCCAGATCCTTGCCTCGAACGGTCGCGATCGATCGTGACCTCCCTCCTCTCGGGCAACGGACAGCTGAAGCTGTCGCGACGATTTCGGAGTTATTTCCGTGTGGCAGCTGGCGTCAGCGGATCTGCGTCGGCACCTGCACGAAATTTTCGGAGTCGTCGTCCTGTGCGGCAGTTGGCGTGGTTGTTCGTCAACGTGCACGCGAGAATTTAGGAAGAAGCTACTGTTGAAGAAAAAACAAGGGGCAACTGTACGGACTCGCCAGGCGCTAAAGTAATTGCGTCGGGAAAAGTCCGTGACGAGGAGAGACGCCACGACGACTGCCCGACTATTGCGGGAGTCAACTATCGTCCCGCCCGACCGTTTAAGTGCAGCGGCTTTTACTGCATGGCGGGCGCGTCACCGACGATTTCGGCAGGAGCGCATGTGGACAGACGGGACTTCATACCCGCCGACACTTACGGGCTGCAACGAAAAAACGGAGTGGCTAAATCGCACTCAAGAGGAGTGGGACGCAGGCGGCGAGGGCAATTCGGGCCCATACACCCCGAAGAAATCTCGCATGACGCTGCGTGCCTGGTACTGTTGACAGCTGGCCGGCCGTTTCGAGAGTGGTTTCCCTGTAAGGAACACATTTTCGGGGACAGCTGCAGCAGCCCACGGTTAAACGGCGTTTAAAATACCACCCCGACATTACGGCGGAGAGTGGTAAGGCCGCCGGGACACACGGACAGAAACTGCCCGACGGCTAAGCGGGGGTTGGAGAACGACGAAGGGAGCAGGTTAAAAGCCGGTGGAAACGACCTGCCGCCCTCCGTCGCCCGAACCTCACCATCCCCACCAAGTCTTGGTTCCGGCTCATGCAGCCGACCTGACCTGGCCGAATAACGGGGGTGAACACGTGCCTACCCTGTGCTGGTTAAAGGCACCTGGTTTGGTGCTCGTTCGACAGCTGTACGAAAATACCAAAAAAAAAGTGGAGCTCGCGGCACTGTTCTACTCCGACAAAAGCGGGCTGGGTGAACGGCACGCAAAAAAGTCGGGGAGCTGCGACGAAAACAGCGGTGCAGTCTACGGTTTCCTCCTGACCCGAGCGTCTACTCGGATTGACGGCGCAGCGGCGATGTTGGGACCCGGTACCAGTGAAGCTACGTGGCGTGATAGGCGCGGTGGGCTGCAAAGCGGTTGGGTGCGAGCTTTTTAAATAAAACTGCCCCGACTCCGATAGCATTTGCGCTTTCACCATAGCCGAAATATCGCGCGGGGAACTTCAACCTTATACTTCAACCGGCAGACGCGGGCGCTGGGTGAACGGCGAATTCGCGATATTGTCGGGGAGTCGAAAACACCCAAAAAAAAGGAGGAGCTTCAAACTATACTTCAACCGGCAGACGCGGACGCTGGGTGAACGGCGGTTTTGCGATATTGTCGGGGAGTCGAAAACTAAAAAAAAAAAGGAGCAGTCGAAGTTTCAAGACTTACCTGCCGACGACGCGCGATGGGTGGCACATCTGCAAAGCGCCGGTGGGAGAAACGTGATAATTTGTTAAGCAACATCGGCAGGGGCAGTTTCGACAACGGGATTGACGGCGTTGAGGCGCGCTAGGCTCCGTGAACGACGGTCTCGGAATAACCCAGGGCAAGTCCCCGGTTCCCGATTATACCCGCATGCTGGGTTCGGGTGAACTGACGGAAACTACTGGTGACCGAGTGGGCGGCTATACTACGACCAAAAATTTCGGAGGAGAACTGCACCTACAACTGCGGATTTTCGGGGCTGTGTTCGATCGACATTTTCGAAGTTTTACGCGGGACTTACCATGTCTTCCGGCGAGAAGCGCCGACAATTTCGGAGGAGTTTTCAGAGTTTTGGTTAAACGCGTGCGAACTTTACATGGGACAATACCGCGGGACCTACTCGGAGTTTCAAGGGGTACGAACGACTTACGACGAACTGAAGAAGGCGGCAGCAACAGTGAAGGGGGGGGAGAGACAGCTGCAATTTTTTCATCTCTGCCCAAGGGCCCTCTGCGAATTACGACAAACTTCTCGGCGAGTCTGGACAAACCCGCCGGAGGAGCTGACGTCATTTGACTCGGATAAAGCGTTCGACATTTTCGACCGGAGGAAATTTTGATTTGGTTACGTCTGCCGACTCTCGTATTCGACTTCGCCGCCAATAGAATTCATCGCCGACATTCTCGTAACACTCCCGATTTTACGGCCAGAGGATTTCGGGATACAACCGCTCCACCTCTCCTAGCGACAAACCAACCCACTCGACCCGCCCACGACAACCGATTCGATTCTGCCTACGTCTGCCAACTGCAACTGCCGAAGATACTGCAGGATTCTGGCACGTAAAGGCAGAAAAGTTCAGTTCGAGCAACGCATAATTTCCGTCGCGGTTTCCGGACTACAAAAGCTAGTTTACCCTTGGAAAAAATTGGGGCACTTTATACCTGGTGTCGTCACCGATTTTCCACACCGAAGCGTTCCCACCCTGCTTTCTACGCTCAACGCTCGTTTTATTGTGACTTAACACTTGGATCTGTTTGTTTTCTCACCTCGGCGCAGCTGTGAAAGTTTTGTTGACAGTTTTCCGGGGAGGGGGGAGAAAGTGCACTGCATTGTTTTCCTTCGGCGTTTTCTTCGGCACGATTTCTGACCTTGTCAGGATGCGTCAGCACGACCTACGACTGCGATTGCCTTCAGCGAAATCGATGGTTCCTGTCCATCGCGACTGATCACCGGGTCAGCAGGTCCCCCCCAAGTTCGCGTCATCGTCGACCGTCAGATCGAGTTCAAACTGCATCAACGGCTCCATTTCCAACTTTCAGTTCGTTTTCGTCAGAGCTTTTTGTCAGAATGTTGTATTTGTCTAGCCTGCAGTGGGGTACTCTATAGCGAGTACAGCCCAATCTAGGGTTCCTATATGTACTCAACTGCTTGCTAGTGCAACCTCTCTTTCTGCCTCTAAACTTTCTACTACCTATCTTGACATGCTATCAGAGCAGGTCGACCCTCCTGGGTCGATCCTGTGGGTGGGCCCACCACCTAAGCCTTCCGCTGCTACTGCTACTTCCACTGCTACTCCCTGTCCGCCGCGCGCCCCGTGGCGCGCGGCGTCGAAACTAGGGTTTTCAGCCCGCCGTGCGCCCCGAGGCACGCGGCGGTTTTCTGCCCGCCGTGCGCCCCGAGGCGCGCGGCGGTTCTCTGCCCGCCGTGTGCCCCGAGGCGCGCGGCGGGTTCCTGCCCCGTCACTCGGCACGTCGCCCCCGGGAGGCGCTGCGACGGGCGACGGGGACCCGCGCGTCGCCCCCCGTCGCCCGTCGTGGCCTGCGCGCGGCCCGTACACCCGGCACGCGGCCCGTACGGGCTGCGCCAGGCCCGCGCGCGGCCCGTACGGGCTGCGCCAGGCACGCGCGCGGCCCGTACGGGAAGCGCCAGGCCCGCGCGCGGCTCGGGCCGCCTGCGCGCGGTTCGGGCGGCTCTACCAGGCCCGTGGGCGGCCCGTTCCTCGCTGCTCCTGCCCTCTCCACTGTCCCCCGTGCTTCTACCGGCGCCTCACCCCTCCTACAGCCCGTTCTCCTAAATTAGGGTTTGGGGGTGAAGAGTGTGGGGGTGGCGGTTGTGGGGGTGCCGGTTGTGTGCCCCGTCCCCTACTCCTCCTCCTCCTCCGTCTCCCGCTGCTGCAGCTGCCGCTCAGGGGGGTGGGTGTGTGGGAGCCGAAGGAGTGGTGCTAGGGGGGTGACGTGGGAGTGGAGCTAGGGTTCCAGCAGGGGGTGTGTGAGAGGGGGGTGGGACAGTCGGGGGAGGTTGACCGGAGGCTGCCGTCTTGTCGTCAGCAGCACCTGTAGTCCGGGGCGCTTGTTCCGGTAGCCCAGTCGTAGCCAGCTGCGCCAGTCGCCCGTGGGTCCGTTGCTCGTCTGCCGCTCTTCTTAGCCGCGGAGCCAGTTACTCCTGTAGTCCGGGGCGCTTGTTCCGGTAGCCACTGAGCCAGTTTGACTCCTGTTGCCCGTGTGTCTGCAGCTTCAGCCGACGCCTCTTATCTCCTCTCCACCTACAGTCTCGCCTCCTCCTCCTCACTTGCCCTTTGTGAATGCCTCTAGCTTTGCATGCACTTGTGAATCTGCTCTATGACTGCTTGCTCTGCTGATTATACCCCACTTTGACTATGGGGGTGTGTCAGAATGTTGTATTTGTCTAGCCTGTAGTGGGGTACTCTATAGCGAGTACAGCCCAATCTAGGGTTCCTATATGTACTCAACTGCTTGCTAGTGCAACCTCTCTTTCTGCCTCTAAACTTTCTACTACCTATCTTGACACTTTTCGCGTCCGTCAGATCGAAATCTGATTTCATCTACGGCCCAGATTCCAACCTCCAATTCAATTTGGGCCAGGCTATCTGCAGCCGTCAGATCGGGATCTCCCTTCATCGACGGTCTACAATCCATCCTTTTCAATTTAAATTGTCCAAGGCACTTCAGCCGTCGGATTTACATGGGCTGAAGATCAACGACATCCTCTCCATTGAAGGCTTCGTCTACATACAGGGTTGCCTTATTTGGAAGGTGGGAGAGTGTAAGGAATTACAATTCCTTACTGTACTCGCATTTTAGCGAGTACAATCCGAACACCACGCGTCAGCCCGGTTCGGCCTACAAATCCACCCCGAACCACTTCCGAGTCGCCACCGCTCCAATCGCAACACTTTCCGAGCCATCCTAGCCCGAACCCTTCGCCTAGCTAGGATTCTCCTTATAAATTCGCGTCACTTTCATTGTATCGTCATTCAGTAGTAATTCATTCTCGATATTCGTTTTAGTGCGCACACTGCAAGTTCATTCATAACAACATGAATGGATGAAATCATGTTCGTGTATGACAAGAATTAAACAATTTACATACATTAAACACTTAATAAAGTTTAAAGGGATGAATGATATGATGGGTGAAATGACCATGGCAACAGAGAGTTACAATGCGACCTTAGCAATCTTTTATGTCAGTGTAGCTAGGTCTGTTTAGCCAGGTACTCCAGTATATCGAATCGCAACATGCCTGCCAGCACAGAACCGCCACCATTCCACCATTTCCACCTCACCTCCCTCCATGTGCATTTTCCCAGAGCTTTTCCTTGGGTGTGGATTTCGCTGCGTGCTGTGCTGCTCCTCCTGTCCCAACCCAACTCTGTCCAGGAATGCTGGCGCTCCAGGATTGTCGATTCACCACCATTGCTGTCTGACCATGCCGCCTCCTGCCCTCGTTGCATCCAAAGCTGCTGCCTCTGTGCCCTTCACTTCCTCCTCCGCGTCGTCTTCGTCTTCATCTTCTTCCTCGTCAAGCCGCTCTCTAGCGTTGTCGTCGTCCGTCGTTTCTTCCTCGGACCGCGGTTCGCATCAGCAATCGCTACAGCGGAGCCCATTTCTAAGGCCTCCGTCACTTACCTCTCTCCAGTCTCGGCATTTAATATCCGAATCCCGGACTCGAACCCGGTCTCGGATTCTTCCATCCAGCTCCCAAGTCGATCCCGCCAGATCACACAAATCCAGATCCGGCGGGAAATCTATCAAGCACAGCACACCGCCTATTAAAGCTACTAATAAAGAGCACCCGGCCGCGATGCACGGGGCTGCAGTGGGTGCCGCTCAGCCGTCTGCCGCTACCGCCGCTTCCGCCTCGGTGTCCGCGCTATCAGCAGGCGGACTGGCCGCCGCGGAATCCGCTGGCGCTGCGAACGTCTCGATTGCAGCATCAGCAGCGGGAGCCGCGGTATCAGCGTCGGCTGCGCACGGCGGCGCGACGGTGACGGCCGGCGGCGCAGGCGGAGCGTCGGAGGGATCCGGCGACAGCGCGGCGGTCGCGGCGTTTCTCGCGGGGCTGATGCCGAAAGAGGAGATTGGCGCGCAGCGGTTCCTGCAGTCGCACCCTCATGCTGATGGACGAGGGGTGATCGTGGCTATATTCGGTAAACTTATTCGTTAAGTCTGCTTTAATGATAAACACAGATCACATTTTTTTTTTTTTTAATCCTTTATTTTGTTTTCGGTCCCTCAAGTTTGGTTTGCTGCAAGAATCAAGTCAAGCAAGCTTTTTTGCCAGAGGCACGCTTATTGCTGTAATATTGTCGCAGTGTGCTGTACTCATGTCACATTTAGAAAGCCATGAAAGAGTTCAATTACGGCTTCTGTTGAAACGCCTAGAATAGAACGCACATACCACCAGGCGGAGTCTTGTGAGTTGATGAAAAAAAATAGAGCATAAATTAGAAATCCCTGATTGACAGGCCTCACTCACTCTTCAACTCCTCCCTCCTACTCTCCTGCTCTGTCTCGCTCTCTTCCTCCGCTTTTATTCCTCTTCTCCTCCCACTTAACATTTTCCTCTTCTCGTCTTTGTCCTCCTCTCCCACCTCCCACCTTTCCTGTCTCTCCTACTTCACCGCGTGTCCTACGCATACCCTCTTTACGAGTACAAACTCGCTTACAAGTGAATTTTGAGATCCGAAGTTGTTATTTCATTATGCTCTTTAAGAATTCTCTCGGGCCTTCCTTGCATCCTTCCTTGTGTGCAACTCAAAAGTGGCTTCAGGCACATAAGAATTGTAGAGTTGGAAAGGTTCCTCCCCTTCAGAAGCATTAGAATTTCCAGGAAAGTAACCAGTTCTCTCCTTATCCTCCCTGTGCGCGCTCCACGTGTGCACGTGCACAGACTCGGGAGTGGATCCGGGAGCCTCGGGCCTGCAGGTGACGACCGATGGCAAGCCCAAGGTCATAGATGTCGTTGACTGGTATGTGTGTGCGTGTGCGAGTGTGTGTGTGCTCGCGCTCACGTGTATGCATGCATGTGCGCGTGTCACCATCCCGAACTGCTAGTCCCTTGTTGCCTTGTTCAACACGCTCTGCCCTCTCCTTCCTCCTCATTTTGTTGTGCGCGTGCGAATGTGTGTGAACGACTGTGTGCGTGCGTGCGCGCGCGTGCGAGTGTGCATGTGTGTGTGTGTGTGTGTGTGTGCGTGCGTGCGTGTTTTCGTGCATGTGTGGGCGAGCAGCACGGGGAGTGGGGACGTGGACATGAGCACAGTCGTCAAGGCAGACAAAGATGGCTACATCACAGGAGCGTCAGGTGCCCTCCCAGCTCCCAGCGTCAGGTGTTTTCCTCCCTCTTTCCTCTGCTCTTTCTTGTACGTGACTCAGTCTCTGCTTTGGAGCAGGTGCGTGGTACTCGCTAGTACTCCACCCTATTCCCCCTTAGGCTGTTGGGAGCAGGTTAAATCATCAGTGCAAAGCAAAGGCACTGACACCCCCCGGCACCTCTACCCCCACTTTCTTCCATTTCCCCTCTTGACTGGCGGCAATATCTAGGTGCACGGCTGCAGGTGAACAGTGCGTGGAGCAACCCGACAGGGGAGTGGCGCGTGGGCGTGAAGCCTCTGTATCATGTTCTCAATGAAACCGTGCTGGACCGAGTCAAGGTGCGTGGCTGGGTGGGTGGAGGTGAATGGGTGGGTCGGTGAAGGTGTGGGTGTGGGTGCGGGTGTGGGTGTGGGTGTGGGTTTGGGTTTGGACGAGCTAGCGTCGACTGTTGAAGGTTTCCCAGCTAGGTGCACGCTCCACGTTTTTTTTTTCTTTCTTTCTTTCTTTCTTTCTTTCTTTTTTCACATGCCAACTGTGTACTACCCTGTTGCTACTTCCATGCCTCTGCTCATCCGTTCTGCTCCGCACCCTCATTCGTCCATGATCCATCAATCCTTTCCTGGCACGTGGTGGTTACCACATCACATGGTAACAGAAGGAGCGTCGTAAGAAGTGGGACGCGAGGCAGCAGGCGTTGGTCACGCAGGCTCTCCGCCAGCTGGCCGAGTTTGAATCGGTGAGTGCACGAGCCACGGAAAGAAAAGAGATAAATGAGGATGGGAAGGAGGTTTCGGGAAGAAGGGAAGGGTAGGTTGGGGAAACGGGTTTGGGAAAATGGGTTTGGGAAAACGAAAGCGAGGTGGGGAAAAGTGAGACAAGCGAGGCATGAAGTGAGACAAGGCGAGAGTTCCTCAGTGGTTTTTTTGTGGCTATGCGCTGCTCTTGCTGCTACTAACTGCCCTCCCTTTCCTCTCCTGCTGTTCCATTCTAAATGTGTGCATTGCATGTGGTTGTTCTGGACATGGGTGTGTTGGGCGTGTTTGCTTGCTTGCTTGCCTGATGAAAATGCTGTCACAGCAGAAGCCATCCAAGGGCAAGGACGAAGCAGGCAAGAAGGAGAAGGAGGAGCTACAGGCGCGATTGGATCTGCTGCAATCCATGCAGGACGTGAGTGGGGGAGGGAAGACTTGAGTGGGGAAGACAGGACGTGGGGTTGGGGTTGGGGATGGTGGTGGGGTTGGGGTGAAGGGAGTGGGGGTGTTTGTGCATGTGCGCTTTAATCTCTCTTTTTCCGCCATTCCTTTCTGTCACACGAGGGCATGGGGCCGCTGATTTTTTGTGTGATAGGGGCGTCTGTGTGTGCACTCAGTGGGTTGCTGCTGCTCTGCGTGCGTTTGCTGATTCCCTATCTTCCTCCACTCCATTCTCCTCCGCCACTCGCCTCTCTCCTGGTTTCTCAGTCATACGAGGACATGGGGCCGCTGATAGACGCAGTGGTGTGGCATGATGGCACCACGTGGCGGGCAGCTCTCGATACCACTGACCTCTATGTTCACATCGCCCACGCTGCTGATGTTGCGCCTGGTGCTGCTGCTGCTGCTGCTGCCGCTGCTGCTGCTGGTGCGGCTGGTGGTGGTGGAGTAGGGGCGTCTGGGAAGGAGGAAGGGGAGGCGAAGCCTGCTGTTGTGCCTGGGCGCTTGGCGGATTTCATCCCTATGACCAACTATAGGTGGGTGACCTGCTTCTCTGTTTAATGCACAGTATCTGTGTAATAGCACCATTTTCGCTCTCTACCACCCTTTCCCCCTTTCTCCTGCGCTTCTCTGGCGAAAACGGCAACATGTGCACGTTTTCCCCTCCCACCACATGTGCACGCATGCAAGGTTAGCCTTTGTAACTTTTCTCCCCCCCCTCTCTCTCTCCCTCTCGTTTCCCCCTTTTCCCCACCACGCGCCCTCACCTCCTGTTTCCGCTCTGCCCCCGCTCTCCCAGGCTCGAGCGGCAGCATGCAACGTTCAGCCCGATGGACGCGTGTGGGTTTGCAGTGAACATATACGACGAGGGCGCGGTGCTCTCTATAGTCACGGAAGCCAGTGCTCATGGCACCCACGTGGCAGGCATCGTGGCCGCTTGCCACCCTGAGGTGAGTGCTTGCTTGGGCTGGGGTTTCCTTCTTGAGGCGTGTCTAAAGCAATGAAAGCCACTGGCTTCAAGCCAGCGTGCATGCACATCACCCACCCACGTGGCAGGGATTGTGGCCGCTTGCCACCCTGAGGTGATCGCTTGGTTCCTTTCTCAGCTTTTTTTTTTTTTTTTGTTGGGAACGCTTGAAGTGGGCGGGATGGGGAGGTGGTGTACGGTTCGGTTGGGGGCGTGTGAATGGAGTGAGAGAGTAGTATTGGGTTGGGCTGGGCTGGGAGGGGTTGGGTAGGGCGAGTGAGATGCGAATGGTGTGGTTGGATGGATGAATATTAGACACTGATCGGAGGTTGTATGCTTATGCAACGCCTCATTTTATTCTTCGGTACTTTCCGAAGATCCCCCTTTTCCTCACACACTACTCCCTCTCTCCCGCGCCCAACTCCTCCCCCAACTCTTTGCCGCTGATTGTTATTCCACTTTCCTCACCTACTTCCGCCCGCTGCTCTTTCAGTCCCTCTTCTGTCCCTCCTTTCCTCCCTCTTTCCCCTCCTCGTTCCCCTCCTCTCCACCCTTCCATCCCCTCTTCCCTCCTCACTGGCTTGTTCACTCTTTCTCCTCCCACTCTTCTACCTCCCTTCCTACGCTACCCTCTCCTCCCTCTCTGTCCCACTCCTGCCCCCAGGCGCCAGAGCTGAACGGCATAGCGACAGGCGCGCAGCTGGTGTCGTGCAAGGTGGGGAGCTAACACCTTTGCACGCTTTCCTCTCATCGCTCCCCTCTTCCCTCTACACTGCCCGTCTTTCCTCCGCTTCTTCTTTCCCCCCAGGCGCCAGAGTTGAACGGCATAGCGCCGGGAGCGCAGCTGGTGTCGTGCAAGGTGGGAGACACGCGCCTGGGGTCCATGGAGACGCCTCAGGGGCTCATCCGCGCACTCATCGTCGCGCAGCAGGTGGGGGAACGGGCATGGGGATGCCGCTGAGTGAGGCTTGCTGGTGGGACTCGTGGTGTCGTGCAAGGTGGGGGACACGCGCCTGGGGTCCATGGAGACGCCTCAGGGGCTCATCCGCGCACTCATCGTCGCACAACAGGTGGGGGAGGGAGGTGGGGTGGGGGAAGAGGGGGATGGGGATGCTGCTGAGTTGAGGCTTGCTGGTTGGACTTATGCTTTCGTGCAAGGTGGGGTGGGGACATATGACTGGGGTCCATGGAGACGCCTCAGGGGCTCATCCGCGCTCTCATCGTCGCTCAGCAGGTGGGGGAGGGAGGTGGGGTGGGGGGGAGAGGGGGATGGGGATGCGGATGGGGATGCGGGTGGGGATGGGAATGGGGATGAGGATGAGGATGCAGATGGGGATGGAGATGCGGATGGGGATGGGATGGGGGTGCTTCTGGGTTGGCGTGGCAATGGGTGGGTGTGTGAGAGGGAGTCTTGCAGGCCCTTACATTTTCACAGCAGCTGGGGGCCAAGAAGCAGGATAAGAGTTATGTAACATGATCATGATCCCTTCCTGTCTTCACCCTCCCTTTCCCCGGTATCCCCTTGCCCGCCCACCTTCCCCTTCCTTTCCTGGTCCCCCGTTACCCCCCCCCCCCCCCCCCTGTTCCATTCCCGTGTGCTCTGCGGTTCTCCCCCTGTCCCCCCCCAAGCAGAACAAGTGCGATGTGATCAACATGAGCTATGGCGAGCCGGTCGCTGTGCCCAACTATGGCCGCTTCATTGATATCGCCAACCAGGTGTGAGGGGGGCCTGGGTGTGTTTGGATTAGTTTTTAGGCGTCTTGAAAACTAATACTTAATTTCTATGTGCGCTGAGAACAGGAACGTTTTATTAGCTGCCTGGAAGACTCGGACGAATGCTTATGTGCCTCCCTGAAACGTTTCCTGTGGTGTCTCGACTCGAGTACAAGGATGCTCTCACATGATCCACAAGTGAATCACTACGTTTGTGAGCAGTGTAGTGCAGAGGAATGAACTCAGCTCACATCACATCACATCACATCACATCACATCACATCACATCACATCACATCACATCACATCACATCACATCACATACCCACCGCTGGCCCCGCCTCCCCCCTCACCCGCTCCGCACAGCAGTGCGGGCAACGCCAACTTGCAGTGCCTTCAGAGGTGCCTTCAGAGGTGCCTTCAGAGGTGCCTTCAGAGGTGCCTTCAGAGGTGCCTTCAGATTATACTCAGCTCACATCACCAGACAACCCCCTCGTTCAACCACCCGCCCTGCACAGATAGTGCACAAGTACGGCATCACGTTTGTGAGCAGCGCAGGCAACGACGGGCCGGCGCTGTCAACAGTGACAGCACCGGGAGGCACGACGTCGTCCATCATGGGCATCGGCGCGTTTGTGTCGCCGTCCCTCGCTGCCTCCTCCCACCTCACCCTCGACTCCCTGCCTGACGGCCAGCAGTACACCTGGTGCGCGCTGGGGAGAAGGGATGGAAGGGAGGGGGGTGGGTGGGAGGTTGGGTGCTGAGAGATCAAGAGCAGGGGCTGAGGGGTGCAGGACAGTTAGGGGAAGGAAAGGAGGGGAGTGAGAACGTGGTATTCTGGAGGTGGCTCTTGCAGACGGGCACGAGGGCGTGAGTGTGAGTGCGCCAAGGGGCGCCATGGCGCCTTAACTAATGCGGTTCCCTCATTCTCTCCCCTTGGAACCCTCCACTCCCCCCCCACACGATCGCACATCTGCGTGCAGGTCGAGCAGAGGCCCGACCCCAGACGGGCATGAGGGCGTGAGTGTGAGTGCGCCAGGGGGAGCCATGGCGCCAGTGCCCACGGCGCATCTGCAGTCGCGCATGCTCATGGCTGGCACCTCCATGGCCTCGCCCAACGCTGCCGGGGGCGTGGCTCTCCTCATCTCCGCCCTCAAGGTACTTGTGGGCAATCAAGGTCATAATGCGAACCTGCCAGGTACTCACTGTGTTCCCACGGCCCACAGCCCACCTGCAGTCGCGCATGCTCATGGCCGGCACCTCCATGGCCTCTCCCTACGCCGCTGGAGGCGTGGCACTGCTGATTTCCGCCCTTAAGGTATGGGGTATGGGGTTTTATCGGTGGTGATGGTGCGGCCCACCTGCAGTCGCGCATGCTCATGGCCGGCACCTCCATGGCCTCTCCCTACGCCGCTGGGGGCGTGGCACTGTTGATCTCCGCCCTCAAGGTACTTCCTTGCACTCAAGGTACAGGGTACTGGGTACAGGGTACAGGGCCTGCTCTGCATGTTAATCACGACCTCTTTCCGAATCAAATCATCTTACTTCTCCCACGCTGCATGTCCTGCCTGCCCCTCCCTCGGCCCACGGCAGCAAGACATGGGTGTGGTGAAGCCAGGACAGCATGCCTTATGGCGCGCACTAGAGTTCACAGCACAGCCACTCCTCCCCCCCCCCCAACTCCCCCACCGTAACCCTCCCTCCACCCACGGCAGCAAGACATGGGCGTGGCGAAGCCAGGGCCGCATGCCATACGGCGCGCACTGGAGGTGACAGCACAGGATCTGGCGGGGGAGAACCAAGCCCTGGCGCTCACCCACGGCAGAGGGCTCGTGCAGATCGACAGGTGCGTGCTGCCATGGTGGTGGGTTTGGAGTGGGGAGAAAGGGGCAAGGGAGGATCTGGGCAAGTGGGTTGGGTCTCCACGGTTGACTGGGCTGGGGAGGACCAAGCCTTGGCGCTGACTCATGGTAGGAGGCTCGTGTAGTGCCAGAGGGGGCGGAGTGGGTGAAGGGGCGTGAGTGTGTTTGCATATGCGCTCATACTGTGTTTGGGATGTGCACGTGCGTGCACGCACTACTGTGAATGTGCTCTATGTCTATCTATCCATGTGTGCTTCTTTGTACGCATGCGTATGCGTGTCTATATCTAATCCCATGCATGGATGCCATCTTATGCGTGTCCATGTGCATGTGCGTGTATGCGCATGTGTATGTGCATGCGTGCATAAACGGATGGGAATTTACCTGCTGGTTGGTCATGCATCCACCTCACCACAGGGCATTCGAGTACCTGTGTCGGTACCCAGCCTCTTCCCTCGAGCTCACATCAGACATCCGCTACTCAGTGCTCGTCAAAGCAGCGTCAGGAGCGGGTGAGACACATGCGGGTTTAGAAGCAAGTGAGGGCCAGAGGGGGGCTATTTAGTGAAGCAGCGCCAGGAGCAGGTACATTGCAGGGCTTTGACTCAATACAGCTGATTGCCTCTTAACACTAGTTCCACAAGCCCTGACTGACTGTCATGCTGCAGTTTTCAGAACCTTTGTTTTCCCCCTGTGCTCTTTTTCTTCTTCGTTCCGAAATGGCTAGCCTTCCTTCCACTCCTCGCACTCCTCTCACTCCTCGTCTGTCTGCGCCTGCACTGCACTGCTTCTTCTCCTTGCAACCTTGTCCTCTTCTCCCCCTCTATCCTGACCTTTATCCGCACATTTCTTCTCCTCGCATTACCCCCTCCACATCACATTCACTAGGGGGTTCTCGTCGAGGAATCTACATCAGAGAGCCAGGGGAAGCCGCTGCTCCTTCAGAGGTGCCTTTCTTTCCTCTCTCATTTCCCTTCTTTCCTCTCTCTCCTCTCTCTTCCTTTCTTTCCTTTACTGATCAGCTCTGCAAGTATCTCCCGTGAAATCAGCCAAACCCCAATTTAGCTTGCTGCTTTGCCTCAAATCAGTTCCTCAACCTACAGGCATTTTTGTGCACGTGCATGTTCATGTGCACTGCTGACTGTCTTTCTGTTTCAGCGTTTCTGTCCCCCCCTCCCAATGCAAACCCTCTGCCCTGCCCGGTGTGTGCCTGTGTGTATGTAATCGGCCTGCCACGGGTGTGTGCATGTGTCTGTGTGTGCATGCATGCGTGCGTGCGTGCTTATGTGCATGATCTACAGTGGCAAGTATTCGTGGATCCCTGGTTCCATGAGGATGCAGACAACCTGACCGTGAAGGCACTCTTTGAGTGCACACTCAAGCTCGTGCCCACCGCTGACTGGGTCAAGGCACCTGACCTGCTTCTTCTCCCCAACAACGGCCGCAACTTCTAGTCAGTGCTGCCTCTCCTCTCGTGTCTCGCTTGGCTTTTGAGACGTCTCTAAAGTAGTCAGTGCTTCCTCTCCTCTCATGTCTCGCTTGGCGTGCTGTGGTTTCTGTTATCCGATTTCTTTTGAGTTGTGATGCGCTGTCACTTGACCACGCCTCTCATCTCATTTGCTCTTCTCCCACATTCGTCTTCATGTCATCTCTCCTCCCTTTCCTCATCTTCTCATCTCCTCTACTCCCTCACACCTCTCCTCACACCTCTCCCTCCCACCTGTCCCAACAACCAGTGTGCGAGTAGACCCCTCCTCGCTCCCTCCCGGCCTGCACTACGCTGAGCTACGTGCCATAGACACGGCCAACGAGTGGCAGGGTTCGCTCTTTCAGGCTCCTCACAAACACCACACCCCTCTCTCTCTCGCACGCCCCTCTCACGTCCCTTCCCCCCAACCAGTGTGCTGGTGGACCCTTCCTCGCTCCCACCCGGCCTGCACTACGCTGAGCTACGTGCCATAGACACGGCCAACGAGTGGCAGGGGGCGCTCTTTCCGGCTCCGCACAAAACACCACACCTCTCTCTCCCACGCCCCTCGCACTCCCCTTTTCCCCAACCAGTGTGCGGGTGGACCCTTCCTCGCTCCCACCCGGCCTGCACTACGCGGAGCTGCGTGCCATAGACACGGCCAACGAGTGGCAGGGGGCGCTCTTCCGCGTGCCCATCACGGTCGTTAAGCCCCTCGTGCTGCCCAACCCTGCTCTACCCCACCGCTTCCCTTTCGGCATGCTGCAACCAGGTCGGTGTCTGTCTGCTGCTGCAACAGATCCCCCTCCCCTCTCTTCTCCTCCATGCTCCTTTTTCCGAGTGTCCATCACAGTTGTCCCCCTCCCCTCCCCTCCCCTCCCCTCCCCTCCCCTCCCCTCCCCTCCCCTCCCCTCCCCTCCCCTCCCCTCCATGCTCCCCTCTCCTCCATGCCCCTTTTTCCTAGCAGTCCATCTCTCTGTCGTTTTTCCACATGCTGCAACTTCTGCACCAAACTTCCCTCACCTCTATCCTCCATGGCCCTTCCCATTCCCGCCACACCTCTCCCCATAACCCTTTCTGCAGCCTACCTCCCCTCACATTCCCATTCCACCCTAAACCCTCCTGCCCTCCATCTCCCCCGCTCGCCCTTCGCCCTCCTCCCAGGGGACGTGCATCGCACGTTCATCACAGTCCCCCATGGGTCCGCGTGGGCGGAAATCCACCTACACCTCTCCGCCTTCACCGTTCCTCTCACCGTCGTCATTCACACGCTGCAGCTGCTCCCAGCCCGCCGCCCCACGTACCGGCGCACGCGGGCCTTCTACCAGTTCACAGCGCCCTCCTCCAAGTCCCTCTCGATCCTCGTGGAAGGAGGGGGCACGCTGGAGGTTGCGGTGGGCTTGAACTGGTTTTGTGGGCGGGGTGCTGAGCCTCCCCCACAGGCTGACCTAGAGGTAAGGTTGTCGTGAAGAGGGGATGGGGGGGGGGGGGGTGAGCGGGAAACGGGAGTGGAGAGCAGGGGAAAGGAGCGAGCGTGGGTTTTGCTGGGTTGGGTTTGGTTGGGTTCGGTTGGGTTCGGTTGGGTTGGTTGCTTTGGATTGGTGGTCTGGAAGGTGGCACGTTGAGCTGAGCTTGACTGTCATTCAGTCATTTTCTCTCCTGCTGCTGACTGCTCTTCATCCGTCTCTCGCATTTTTCCCCTGACCCATCCCTCGTCCCCTGCCCTCCCCGCACCCTCCCCCCTCCCTCCAACCCTCTCCCTCCCACCCCCACCTGAGCCTGTCCTCTCTCCTCCCTTCCTTTTCTAGTTCTTCTGTCTGCAGTCGCCGTTCCTCCTGCTCCTTAACCTCCGGCCCATTCTTCAACTTAACTCTGCCCACCTCGGCAGCTTTCACAGCCTAGGAGACCTAATTCCTTGCTGATGCATGGTATGGCATTTGCTTGCATTCCATGGCACATGGGATGGTTTGTGGGATGGCATCACATGGCATGGCACTGGATTTAATGGCGCCGCATGTCATGCATGGCACTGCATTGCATGGCATGGAATTGGATGGGATGGCATGGCATGGCATGGCATGGCACGGCACGGCACGGCACGGCACGGCACGGCACGGCACGGCACGGCACGGCACGGCACGGCACGGCACGGCACGGCACGGCACGGCACGGCACTGCACTGCACTGCTTTGCACGGCATGACATGGCACGGTATGGCATGGTATGGGTTGATTTGGCATGGCATGTTTGAGCTGCCAGGTGGACTTTCATGGGTTGACGCCAGTGCATGGCGATGTGACCATCAACGGGGGCTCCAACGTGCAACGCATTGACATCACGTCGGCTCCCTTCCGCATGGAGCGATTCACCCCCACTGTCTCCCTCAACAGAGTACGCTCTCTCTCTCTGCCCTCTTTTCCTCTTCACCTGTTCTCCTGTTGTCCCCGCCCTCTCTTTCTTCTATTTTTGGCTTCCACCCACCTTCCCGTCCTCCTGCCCCCCCTTCCTTGCTTCCCAATTCTACCCTGCCCATCTCCTCTTGCTCCGTTGTTTTGTGTTCCCCACCCACTGTTGCACATTTCATAACTCCTCTTGCTCTCTTCCCCGTTCCTCCATTTCTAGTCTGTAACACTTCACTCCGTCCCTTCGCACCATCCTCCCATCCCATCTCCCTCCCCTTTTCCAACTCCTCCGCCCCTTCTCTTTGGGTCACTGCACAACTCATGACATAGTGACAGTATCAGCTGCAATCAACTTACTGCCTGAGGGAAAACAAAAACCCTTTCCCACCTTCCCCCCTCCCCCTCCCTCTTTTTCTCCCCCCCCTCTCCCTCTCCTTCTCCCCCTCCCTCTCCCTCTCCTTCTCCCCCCCCCTCCCTCTCCTTCTCCCCCTCCCCCTCCCTCTCCTTCTCCCCCTCCCTCTCCCCTCCCTCTCCTTCTCCCCCTCCCCCTCCCTCTCCTTCTCCCCCTCCTCCTCCTTCCCCTTTGGCATGCCACACTATCCCCCCATCGTGCCACGGTGTCTGGCAGGTGCGGGCGGCTTATCGCCCATCAGAGGCGAAAGTGGAGCCACTCTCGTCCACCAGAGACATGCTTCCGGATGGCAGGCAGATACAGGCACTCAATATCACGTACGTGTGGGCACACAGCAGCACTTACCTCTTTTTGAGTCGACTCAAAAAAGATGGCAGGCAGATTTAGGCACTCAATATCACGTACGTGTGGGCACACACACAGCACGCAGCACGTACCTCCCAGTTATCATGCACGTGTGAGTCTACCTTGTGACTCGACTCATAAAGTTAGACTTGGTGATTCCTGCATAGACTGCATCTGAGGCTGTCCCTTAGTGTGCAGCGACTGCAGTACCTTTAGTCTCTACTCTCTCTCTCCCCTGCCCTCCCACAATTTCCCCTCTCCTCCTCGCTCTTCACTCTGCTTCCCACGCGCCTTCCCCCCTTCCTTTCCGTTGCCCCGCCCCTCTCAATCCTTCTCCCGCGCCCCCCCTTCTCCTCCCCCTCCCGCTTCCCACCCCCACTCTCCCACAACCCCCCACAGCTACAAGTTTTCTATATCAGAATCGGGCCGCTACACCCCTCGTCTCCCCCTCCTGAACCAGCGACTGTACGACAGCGAGGTGGAGGGGCAGTTCTTCCAGCTGTTCGACTCGCACCGGCGCCTGCTGGCCTGCGAGGACGCCTACCCCAAGCCCGTGAAGCTGGGCAAGGGCGAGTTCACGGTGAAGCTGCAGATCCGCGGCGACCAGGTGGGGCGGCTGGAGAAGCTCAAGACCATGCCGCTGCTGCTGGATAGGACGCTGGACGACAAGGTGAGCGGGAGAGAGGGAGCGGGAGGGGCAGGGGGGCGGGGGGAGGGAAGGAGAGGGGAGGGGAAGGGTAGGACAGGAGGTAAGGGTTCGAGGGGAGAAGCTCAAGACCATGCCGCTGCTGCTGGATAGGACGCTGGAGGATAAGGTGAGCGGGTGGGGGTGGGAGGGGAGAGGGGGGAGAGGGGGAGGGGAGGGGAGGGGAGGGGAGGGGAGGGGAGGGGAACTGGAAGAGGAGGAGATACTTTCTGGTCAACTTAAATATGGTTTGCTGCTACTGCTCATGTTCAAAGTTAAGATGGAAGTTGAATTTGATTCTCTACACCCCCTCTTTTTGAACTCCCTTACACTGTCTGGTCAATCAGTGCTGAAAACAGGCGTGCACTATTCAGCCCACAGTGCATCTTGCTGAGTAGTGCAATGCCTCCAGACATTTCATCGCTCCCAGCTCCCTATCCCTCCCTCCCTCCCTCCCTCCCTCCCTCCCTCCCTCCCTCCCTCCCTCCCTCCCTCCCTCCCTCCCTCCCTCCCTCCCTCCCTCCCTCCCTCCCTCCCTCCCTCCCTCCCTCCCTCCCTCCCTCCCTCCCTCCCTCCCTCCCTCCCTCCCTCCCTCCCTCCCTCCCTCCTCCTTCCCTCCCTCCCTCCTCCTTCCCTCCCTCCCTCCCCCCCTCCCTCCCCCCCCTCCCTCCCTCCCTCCCTCCCTCCCTCCCTCCCTTCCTCGCCCCCCTCCATTCGCAGTCGGCGCTGAAGCTAGGCGTGTACAACTCAGCAGACAGTGCCATCTTTGCTGGCAGCGCAAACTCTTCATATTCGCCGCAATCAATTTCCACCCCTCCCAACTGCCTCGCTGCCTTCCCCTCGTGCGTCCCCAGTCGGCGCTGAAGCTAGGCGTGTACAACTCAGCGGACAGTGCCATCTTTGCCGGCAGCGACACGGTCAAGAACGCGCTCATGGCTCCCAAGTGAGTTCTGACGCACCACAGATGGACAACATGTGCAGCACCTCAGTAGACACAGCTAAGAATGCCTTTGTGGCCCGCAGGTTAGCTGCCCTTCAGATGGGATGAGGTGCTGCAAACGTTGCCCATCTGCGGGCCACAAAGGCATTCTCAACGAGGTGACTTTTGAGTCGACTCAAAATTCACTGCGGGCCACAAAGGCATTCTCAGCTAAGAATGCCTTCATGGCCCGCAGGCTAGCTGCCCTTGAAATGGGATGAAGGAGGGCAGGCTTTTTCCTATTTTGTTTCCCTTTTTTTCCCTTTCTTTCCCCTCTTTTCCCCCCTTTTTTTCCCCGTCTTTCCATCTCTGTTCTTGGGGGCCGTGCTTAGCTCTTTGCTGGTTTGTCTTGGGTCGTTGATCCCTTTCAACTTGTCATTGCTGTACGATCACACGATCTCTGTTTTCCCTCCATTACGGTTCCTGTATGTGCGTGTGTGATCGTATATGTGTATGTGATCGCATGTGTATGTGTGTATGTGTATGTGTACATGTGTGTGCGCTCATGTGCACATGCGAAATCGTGTGTGTGTGTGTGTGTGGTTGCAGTGAGAAGCGAGCCTTTTTCATTTCAGGCCCTGGTGACCTTCCAAAGGTGCCTCAACTCTCCCTCTCCCTCTCCCTCGCTCGCTTCCTCCGCCTTTCCTCTCTCACTCCCTCACACTCCTCTCTTGCTCCCTTACACTGCGCTCCTTCTCACTGTCTTCCCTCCACACCCTCGCAAAGAGTACTTGCAGATATTCATTCCCCTGTGCAAGTACTCTTTGCATCTTTCCGAGTACTCCTTTGCCTCTCTTTTCCGCCATCTCATTTCTTCTCCTTCACATGCCTTTCCTCACCCGCACTCCTCCCCTCTCTCCTCTTGCTCCTGATCTCTCTTCCCCGCTGACCTACCATCCCGTCAGGACGCGACACCTGGCACGCTGCTACTGGGCCGCATGACTCTCGCCAAGACCGGGGGCCTGTTTGTCAACACGGACGCCAATGCTGCTGCGCCGTGCCGCGTGCATGTCACCTACGTGGTTCCGCCTCCCAACAAGGTGCGTGGTGTGCGCGGGGCCAGGGAGTGACTGGTGTGCAGGAGGTACGAGTTGCCTGTTTTTATCTGCATCCTGCTCTGATCCTGTCTGGCATCCTGCTCTGCATCCTGCTCTTGCATCCTGCTATCATGTGGCATGTTTCAATCTAATTTAGTGCCTTTCTAGTTCGACCTGCACTGGGCATACGAGCCATGGTCATGCTTAACCAGCACTGCACTGCATCACACTGCACTGCACTGTACTGCACTGCATGTTACTGCCTGCAGCACACCATCCCCATCACCCCTCTCTGCATTCCCTAGCAGCAATTCCTTCAACTCCCCACCCCCCCGTCACCCACCACAGCTTGTGATAACAACTTCCGAAGCACCTCAAGAAGCTTGTGCTTTCCGTCTTCCCCCTCTCCCACCTATTCCCATTTCCCCTTCCTCCCTCCTCACCGACACCACCAGAGTGACGATAAGAAGTCGTCCTCTTCCTCCGGTTCTGCTCCTCCCACTAAAACGACCGCCGAGAGAATGCAAGAGGAGGTAAGGCGCCGTCCTGTCCACTCGTCGCGCCTCTTTCAGACCCCCCTCCTCGATCTTCACAAATGCTTTTCAGCTCCACTCTTCATCGCCTCGTTGCCTCCATTCCCCTCAATTCTTCCCTTTCCTGTGCCACAGTGCCACTGTTCCTTAATCCCTCATGATTAAGCTCTAGCACCGCAACCCCTAAACCCTGAAGCCTTACCCCCTACCCCTGGCAGTTGCGCGATGCCAAGGTGAAGGTGCTGGCAGCGGCGGCAGCCACAGAGGAGGAGGACCCAATCCCGCACCCCTGACAATCCACAACGCCTCAAACCTTACCCTCTACCCCCACACCCCTCACTATCCCCCATCCTGGCAGCTGCAGGACGCCAAGGTGAAGGTGCTGGCAGTGGCGGCAGCAGAGGAGGATGCAATCCTGCACTCCCATCAATCCGCAACTCCTGAAACTTTACCCTCTATTTCCGATCCATCCGTGACTATCCCCAACCCTGCAACCCTTACAGCTGCGCGATGCCAAGGTGAAGGTGCTGGCAGCAGTAGCGGCAGAGGAGCGGGACAAGGCGAAGGGCGAGGGCGAGTTTGTGGCGCTGGTGCAGCAACTCAAGGCACGCTCAACCCACCTGAGGCGCCTCCTTGCCATCCTTCTCCACCTCCTTCCGGTCCCCCTTAGACCACTCTTCTCTTCCTCACCATCTCTCTGTTCCTCTCTCTCGTGTGCTCTAACTAGCCCTGTCTGCTTCTCTGTGTGACTTTCCATCCTCCTCCATCTCCTTCTGTTTTCCTTCCTTGGACCTTTCATCTCTTCTCTCTTTTTCTCTGTTCCTCTCTGCCTCTCTCGTCGTCGCTTTTCCACTCGTCCTTTTCTCTCTGTATTCCTCTGTTTCTGTCTTTTCATGCCTCGCTCTTGTAGTCTATTTATTTTTCCCGAGAACACTGTGTTGTTTTTCATGCATTGATGTTACTTTAGGGCTATTCTAGCCCTTTCTCTGTGAGACGACTTTTGAGACGTCTCAAAAGTAGGGCTATTCTAGCCCTTTCTCTGTGTGCTCAATATGTCATACCACTTCTGGCGGGTCACAAAAGTTATCAATCTTCAGCCTTCCCTCTGACTGCAAACACTATCCTTCTCTTACAACAGCAGGCTGTGATTACCTCTTTGTTTCATCCATCCTTCTCATCTGATCATAATTCCTTTCCTGCCTGCTTATCGCCCTCCATCCTCTCCCATCTTCGTTGCTCCAAGTCCCGCTCTCCGTTCCCTGGCCCTGGCTAATTACCCCCGTACCTCCCATCCTCCCATCTTCCGTTTCTTCCCGCTCGCCTCTGCATGCGCCCGTGTGCCCATGGCTCCAGGAGGAGTATCCGAATCATCTGCCTCTGCTGCTGGAAGTGCTTCGTTTCTATGATGATCCCAAGATGCGACCCACATCCCTGCTCAAGGTACGCCCCTCCCTGGTAAAGTTATGCCCCTTTTTGCTCAAGATGCGCCCTTTGCACACCTACTGCCGGTCTGCCTGTACCATCATAGATGCAGCATTGACCAGTTTTGACCAGCTTTGACCCGCTTTGACCACGCCAGCTCCTCTCAACCCATCCGTCCCTTCCCCCCCACTCTACCCAATCTGTTTCTGAATCTACATACAGCCACCTCTCACGTGTTCCTGTATGTCTCTACATGCACTTAGCATGCCCTCTAAGCTCACTGCCTTCCGCTCGTACTCCTCTCCCCTACCTTTCTCCTCCATCTCCCTCTGTCGTTTTTGCCCATAACAGGTGGTGGAGGCAGCGGTTGCAGTGGTGTGGCCAGCATTGTCCGCACCAACTCCAACCCCCCCCCTCTCCCGCCTCCCTCTCTTGCCCTCCTCCCTCCCCCACCCTCGCCTTTCCCCGTGTCAGGTGGTGGAAGCAGCAGACGCAGTGGTGGCCAGCATTGATCGCACGGCTCTGGCTGTTTTCCTGGCCATGAAGTGCGAGCCCGAGGGACCAAACGCACAGGTGGGTGTGATTGAGCTCTTGTTTCATTCCTGTTCTGTTTTATGCGCCAGAAACATCCTCTTCCACCTCCTTCCCACCCCCCCCCCCCTTTCTCTTTTTGAGTGAGCTCAAAACATACACTCTCTTGAGCTCCTGTTCCATTCCTGTTCTGTCATATGCGCCGGTGTGCCGTTGTGTGGTGCCCACTGCCCATCAACAGGCGGAGAAGGAGGAGGAGTAGAAGACGGATGCTTCACAAGTCACCCCCCTCCCCATACCCCCGGTTGCACATGGCATGTGCCGTTGTGCGGCGGGCGACAACAGGCGGAGAAGAAGGAGAAGGAGGCACAGAGGGATGCTCTGATAGAGGCGTTGCACAAGTCACACCATTCTCCCTCTCCTCCTCTCCGCCCTGGTCACACATGGCACGTGTTGTTGTGTGCGGTGGCCATTAACAGGCGGAGAAGAAGGAGAAGGAGGCACAGAGGGACGCTCTGGTAGAGCGCACAACGACAATGACATCACTCTCCTCCCCACCCCCACTTCGGTCACATCAACAGGCGGAGAAGAAGGAGAAGGAGGCACAGAGGGACGCTCTGGTAGAGGCGCTGCACAAGAAGGCGCTTGCTCTCGGTGACCTGCAGTCGCCCTTCTCTGCCGCTCCCTCTGCTGTGAGTCATATGCCGCCGTTTTGTTTCTTCTTTTTTCTTTTTCAATTCACCTTTTTTTTCCTCATTGGATCTGTTTTCCATTCCTTTCGCGCTTCACGCTTGCTGCAATTTTTTATCACCTCTCCTCTAACGTCATTCATCTTCCCCTACCCCACTCCAACCCACAAACACAATTCCTTTCATGCTGTCATACCCTTCCCTCCCATCTTTCTCATCATTCAGACTTTTGGGTCGACTCAAATGTCTACCCTTCCCTCCAATTTTTCTCATCCCTTACATCCTTCCCTATTCATCCCCTCTTGTCCCTCCCTTTCTCCCCGCACACCCACCTCCATTGACCACGCTCGCGACCACCACAGCCATCATCAGAGTCACCAGCAGCAGCTGGCGCTCCAGAAACCGCCACTCTTGCCGTCACCGAAGCAGCACCGGCAGCACCATCGCCCGCTGATGCTCCTTCAGCTGCTGCTCCAGCCGCTCTTGATCCGTTACCTGATGCCCCAGCAGCAGCGGCAGCAGCAGGAGGGGCAGCAGGAGGATCAGGGGTCAGTGACCCAGACACTGGTGCCCCGGCAGGGGTAGCAGCAGCAATAGCAGCGTTAGAAGGGGGAACTGCAGCAGCAGCAACAGGAGAAGCAGGGTCAGGGGCAGCAGCAGCCGGTTCAGGTGACAGTGGTGCATCTACCAGTGGTGGTGGTGGTTCAAGTGGAGCTGGAGGTGGTGGTAATGGTGGCGATGCATTTGAGGAGACATATGCGGAGCTGCGCAAGTGGGCAGATGTGTCCCAGTCCAAGTATGGCATGCTGGGGATCATGAGGGAACGACGTGCCAACCGCCCTGCACTCGCACTCAAGGTATGCAGAGAAGAGGGGCAGGACGGGGAGGGGGAAATGTGGGGCATAAGGGAGGGAAGGGTGGGTAGGAAGGAGGGACTTTTGATTGAGTATGGAAGCTTGAAGGGGAGGGAAGAACCGCTTCGTCTCCCTATTTACCTTCAGTCTAGAGAGCTTAGTCTCTCTGCATTTCCTGCACCTCAGTGTACATTTATTTCCCCCTCTTCGCCTCTTAGCTCCTCTCTTCTCCTTTCTCCCTTCTTTCCCCCTTTCCACCCCCCCTCTCCCCCTCTCTCCGCCCTTCTTCACCCCACCATCATGCACATCAGATTCTCAACAAGGTGTTGGAGGATGATCCGAAGCAGGCGGACAAGAAGATGCATGAGCTCAAGGTGACCCTCCTGCAGCAGCTGCAATGGCCGCTGTGGGCCGTGCATGAGAAGCGCTGGAACACTGCGCGCTTTCCCGCTCACTGGGCTCCCTTCTGAACCATTCTGAATCGTTCTGAAGTGGACTGAATCCTTCCGGATATTCTTTTGCGCCGCAAACCACACCGTTGTGAAATGGGCGACGATGAAACAGGGGAGTGCAGTAGCAGTGGGTTAGGGTGCCTCATTGAATGCCAACATTGCGTTAAATTTTCTGTAGAACCGTGCTGTACCACATTGAACTCCGCGGCCTCAAATTTTCCCCCGCGCAGTTGCATGGGGGGAGATGCAGACACAGAGTATCGAGACGCGATCACTACCTATATGTGCGTTGAATTGAGATGGTTGTTGCGGGAATTCCCCGTCACTGGAGGATGAGCACAAGAATTTGTTGCGGGACTGGTTCTCATCTCATGCGACTACTGGGGCAGCGGTATAGCAGGAGGGAGTGGTTGTGAATGAGGTGTAGCAAGATTGTCAGAAGGTAGCAGAAGCATGGAGATTCACTGGAACAGTGCAGTGCAGAGAATTATTATGGTGCTGTGCGTGTGTGGCACAAGCATGCCACAATAGATTTATCCACATGATAGCAGCTTGAGCAGAGTTACAGTAGCAACGTTTAGCATGAGATGCACACAGCCATTTCCACAGCATCGAAGCACTACCGTACTGTTTTCCCCCTCCATATACACCCACTACAAAGGACTAGGATCCAGCTGCAAACCATACATATTTTCAACACCTGGGGCTTCTATCTCGTTATCGCCACACCCTTCAAAACTCAACTTTTGAAGCATCTTGAGCTGGGTGAAATTCTCAGAGAGAGAAGTCAGCTGCTTACACCCATCCAGATTAAGCTCCTTTAACCTGCTCACCTGTCCGAACTGGAAAGGCAGGGAGCGTATGGGTGTGAAGCGGAGGTTAAGCTCATGCAGGCAGGAAAGCTGCGTGAGAGAAGCAGGGAGCTCGGTAAGCGATGAGCAGTTTTCAAGGTTCAGCTGGCGCAGCCGAGATAACGCCCCGATGCCGTCCGGGAGAGAGGAAAGCTTCGGTGCATGGATCTCAACGGACGTCAGGTTGAAGCTCGGTGAAACTGTCCGTCAGGTCCGTTAGATCTACAGCCCGGTGGATCTCCAACCGCCTCAGCTGCCGAAACGCCGAACCTAACCCTTCCGGAAGCTTCTTCATGCAGCCGGTGCTATGGATCGTCAAGCTGCGGAGGTTAGAAAGAAGCTCCAGAGGCAAAGGAAGCTCCTCTGCCTCAACAACCAGCCTCAGCTCTAATTCCTCCAAACAAGAGAGCGTCATGCCGCCGGCTACCAGCCCCCGCATAAGCCCTAAACTAGTCAAGCTCAGTATTCTCAGCTTAGGCAGAGAAGGGATTTCCAGGAGAGGGATGAGCCGCTGGAAGCTTCCTATGGAGAGAATCTCGAGCGAGCGGGGTAGGGATTTTGATAATTGAGCTACCTGGGGGAGCTTGGCTAGAGCGAGTTCTTTCAGTCTTGCAAGGTTGCTCAAGGTGGTGGGGATCGAAGCAAGGCTGTCGCAGTCCACGGCTTTCAGAACGTTCAAGTTGACAAGGTCAGTGAGAGAATCTGGAAGGGTTTCAATCTTGGAGCAGGATTGGAGGGTCAACTCTCGCAGGTTACTCAGCTTCCCCAGGTCTTCTGGAAGTTCTGCTACCATACATTGAATGAGATCGAGCCTTGTGAGGGAGACGAGCTGTGTGAACGAGGATGGAAGCAGCTGCTGAGGGAAATTCTCTGCTAGACGGAGAGTGTGGAGATTGGTAAGCGCGCCGATGTCGTCTGGGAGTTTCATGTACGGGGTGTTGAGGATGCAGAGGGATTTGAGTGCGGTGAGGAAACCGAACCTAGCAGGCAGCTCGAAGAGTGCATTGCAGTAAGACAGGATTAGGGTTTCCAGAGAAGTAAGCTGGTAGAATGAGTCTGGGAGAGTCGAGATTGACAGGAAGTTCAGCGTCAGCATTTTCAAAGCGGGCAGCTCTCCAAAGTTTTCGGGCAGTTTGACCATGTTGCACGAGGAGATCGTCAGCTCACGCAGGCAGCTTAGGGAAGCGAACTGCTCGGGAAGCTCGGAAAGATTTTTGCATCCGCGAATGCTCAGATACCGAAGCCGCGGCAACCGCTCTCCTATATCGACAGGTAGACGTTCCAGATTGTCAGAGTCTTCAAGAAGAAGCCGTTCGAGACGGCTACACGAGGTTCCCGCCGGAAACATCAACTCGAATCGCGGACTATTCGCGTCGAACTCCACAGCTTTCAGAGAAGGCAGCTGGTTGAATGGAGAGGGGTGAGAACCGTCGCCTTCGAGTTTCAGCCATGACTCGCCGAACAACGCGAGCGTGGTGAACGCCGGGAGATGCGCGAGGCTCGCGGGATTAAAATCTTCCGGCTCTAGAAAGTCGACGGAGAGGGCGGTGAGAGAAGACAACGCCGTGAATCCCGGAGCCTCGAGAGGCGATCCTTCGGTGAGAGCGAGCGTGCGTAGATTCGTGAGGAGCGAGAGCGAATCCGGCAGCCTGCCGTATCGATGCAGGCAGTAAAGCGAGAGGTGCTGCAGCTGAGGGCAGCGACGCAGGAACCGATCCAGACCGGCTTCGGTCACGGGATGCTCATCCTCGCGCTCCCAGTCCCACCGCGGCGCGATATCTTTCCCCACGTGCAGCGACACTAGTTTCGGGCATGCCGACGCGATGAAATCGAGAAACGCGTCGTTGATTGTCTCCGCGCTGTTCTCGCCGAGGTGCAGATGAGAGAGGTTCGGGAAGCAGTTGATCGCAGCCGTCAGATCTCGAAGCGACACGACGATGTGCTCCTTCACGACGAGCATCGAGACCTGACGGCGAGCCAGGCGGCGCCATCGCTTGCAAACGGAAGCAATGAGAAGGTTATATGCTGGATCGTTAAGAACGGTGGGAGCAGACAACGGTGTAGTACTATCAGTCGTTGACGTTGTAGTACATACGACGTTCTGCTGCCCTTAAGTCGGATCCGAATTAAAGCCCGCGTCTCATATTTCCCTCAAAACGACCAAGTGTAATACGGATGAAAGCTGGTAACATGGTTCCCGTCGCCAAACAACACCTGCGGTTTGCACAGGTTTGGGGGCTGGTTGGGTTTGTGCTTCTCGCCAACAAACATTGCCGTAAACCAACCAGGGAGCAGGGAAGCAACCGAACGTGCACCAAACCTTGGTCTGGAAAAGCACCTGACCAAATCTGCCCCCCAGGTTGTGGTTTAGTCGTGCGACACAACCAAGCACTATGCGAAAGTCTCCCACAGCGAGACCAACCATATTACTCAAGCAGGGAAATATAGAGACTGCGTTCAACACAACTTACCATCCCGCCAGTCAAAAAGCCTACCAAGTGTATTACGCCAGAACAATGGGGAATGTGGGAAGGGGAATTGGGGAAGGGGAGGGGGGGATGCAGGACCCCGGATGGGGGGAAGGTGGGCTTGGGATAAGGGGAAAGAAGAAAGGGGATGGGGTGGGGGGATGCAGGGGGGGGGGTTGGGGGCGAGGCGGGAATCGGATGGGGGAAAGCAGGGAAGGGGATGGGCGGACGCAGGTAAGAAGCAGGGAAGGGGGGGGGGGGGAAGCAGGAAACCGGATAAGGGGAAAGAATGAAGAGGATGGGGGGAGGCAGGGAAGTGGGTGGGGGGAAGCAGGGCACGGGATGGGGGGAAGCAGGGAGGGGGATGCAGGGGAGCAGGGAGGGGGATGAGGGGGAGCAGGGAGGGGGATGGGGGCGAGGCGGGAATCTTATGGGGGGAAGCAGGGAAGGGGATGGGGGGAAGCAGGGAAGGGGATGGGGGGAAGCAGGGAAGGGGATGGGGGGAAGCCGGGAGGGGGATGGGGGCAAGCTAGGAAGGGGAGGGGGGGTAGCGCCGCAGGGGATGGGGGGAAGCATGGCAGGGGACATGGGGAAGCAGGGAGGGGGATGAGGGTGAGCAGGGAAGGGGAGGGGGGGAAGCAGGGAAGGTGAGGGGAGGAAGCAGGGCAGGGGATGGGGGGAAACAGGGCAGGGGACGTGCGGAAGGTGGGCAGGGGACATGGGGAAGCAGGGGTGGGGACGGGGGGATCTTGGTAACCGGATGGGGGGAAGCAGGGATTGGGATAAGGGGAAGGAATGAAGAGGATGGGGGGATGCAGGGAGGGGGTTGGGGGGAAGCTGGGAAGGGGAGGGAGGGGAGCAGGGCACGGGATGGGGGGAAGGAGGGAGGGGGATGGGGGGGGAAGCAGAGAAGGGGACATGGGGAAGGAGTGAAGGGGAGGGGGGAAGCAGAAAACCGCCTGGGGGGAAGCAGGGATTGGGATAAGGGGAAAGAATGACGAGGATGGGGGTCGCAGGGAGGGGGTTAAGGGGAAGCAGGGAAGGGGATGGGGGGAAGCAGGGCACGGGATGGGGGGAAGGAGGGAGAGGGATGGGGGGGAAAGCAGAGAAGGGGACATGGGGAAGGAGGGAAGGGGAGGGGGGAAAAGGAAAACCGAACGGGGGGAAGGAGGGATTGGGATAAGAGGAAAGAATGAAGAGGATGGGGGACGCAGGGAGGGGGTTGGGGGAAGCATGGCACGGGATGGGGGGAAGCAGGGAAGGGGACATGGGAAAGGTGGGAAGGGGAGGGGGGAAGCTGAAAACGGAAAGGGGGGAAGCAGGGATTGGGAGAAGGAGTACATATGAAGAGGATGGGGGACGCAGGGAGGGGGTTCGGGGGAAGCAGGGAAGGGGATGGGGGGAAGCAGGGCACGGGATGGGGGGAAGCAGGGCAGGGGATGGGGGGAAGCAGGGCATGGGATGGGGGAAAGCAGGGCAGGGGATGGGGGGAAGCAGAGAAGGGGACATGGGGAAGGAGGGAAGGGGAGGGGGGAAGCAGAAAACCGGATGGGGGGAAGCAGGGCTTGGGATAAGGGGAAGGATTGAAGAGGATGGGGGACGCAGGGGAGGGGGTTGGGGGGAAGCAGGGAAGTGGAGGGGGGTAAGCAGGGCACGGGATGGGGGGAAGCATGGAAGGGGATGGGGGTAAGCAGGGCACGGGATGGGGGAAAGCAGGGAAGGGGATGGGGGGAGGCAGAGAAGGGGAGGGGGGGAAGCAGAGAAGGGGACATGGGGAAGGAGGGTACGGGTGGGGGGTAGCTCTGTACCGAATGGGGGGAAGCAGGGCTTGGGATAAGGGGAAGGATTGAAGAGGATGGGGGCGAGACGGGAATCTGATGTGGGGAAGCAGGGAAGGGGATGGGGGGAAGCAGGGAAGGGGATGGGGGGAAGCAGGGAAGGGGATGGGAGGGAGCAGGGAACGGGAGGGGGGGAAGCACCGCAGGGGACTTGGGGAAGCAACCCGGGGGAGGGGGGGAAGCAGGGAAGGGGACTTGGGGAAGCAGGGAAGGGGAGGGGGGGAGGCAGAGAAGGGGACTTGGGGAAGCAACCCGGGGGAGGGGGGAAAGCAGAGAAGGGGACATGGGGACGGAGGGAAGGGGAGGGGGGAAGCAGGAAACCGAATGTGGGGAAGCAGGGCTTGGGATGGGGGGAAGTAGGGAAGGGGATGGGGGGCACCAGGGAAGGGGATGGGAGGGAGCAGGGAACGGGAGGGGGAGAAGCAGGGAAGGGGACTTGGGGAAGCAGGGAAGGGGAGGGGGGGAAGCAGAGAAGGGGACATGGGGAAAGAGGGAATGGGGACAGCGCGGGCGACGGGGAGAGTATTGACGTTTGGACGAAGGGAGGGCGACGAGAAGATCGGACGGCGACGGGTAGAAGCGCGGGCGGAGAGATGGAAGGGGAGAGAATGGCATGAGGAACGGGAGTGATAGGGGCGGGTAGAGAGTGATAGCAGTGGGGAAGGAGAGGGCCCTCGGTGCGTTTTATGGTCTCACTTTCGAGGGGGAAAGGTATGGTCAGCGAAGGACCAGGGGTGTGCTTGCGAAGGGGACTGCGGAGGGCGAGATTTCCGCAGAGGGCGGGCGGCACGAACGGAGAGAGGGCAGGGGAGAGAATGCGACGAGGAAGGGGAGTGATAGGGGCGGGTAGGGGGTCGGGCGCGCATGGGGGGGAACGTGCAAGCGAGCGAGAGGGAATGGGAGGGAACGCGACAGCTGAAGGCCGTGAGGTTGATGGGGAAGGGGATTGGTTACGATGGGGAAGGGGAGTGATAAGGGCCGGGGAGGGAGTGATAGCAAGGGGGGAGAAAGTGCTTGTGGTGGGGAAAGGGGAAGTTATCGATGGGGAAGGGGAGTGATAGGCATTGGAAATGGTGTGAGCGCGACGTGGAAGGGGAGTGATAGGGAAGAGGGGGGCAGTGAACGCGACAGGGTAGGGGAGTGATAGCGTGGAGGAATGGGAGAGATGTAGACGGGATAGGAGACCACCCGCGGCGGGGAAGGGGAGTGATCGCGCGGGGGAGAGGGCGGGAGCGCATGGGGGAAAACGGGGACGCTCGCGAGGGGGATGGGGAGAGACAGCGACGGGCCGTCGTTGCAGGGGGAAATGGGAGCTGCGAATGTCTTCTCGCGCGTAGGGCGACGGTGGAGACCTGGAGTGTGAGAATGAGGGATCACGGTGATGGCGACAGTGGAGAACGGGGTGCAGCATCCCAAGCGGGATGCTGCGCGGCGCGACGTTTGGGGGAGGCGGGTGTTATACGCGGGGGTGATTCATAAGCGTTGTTGCACTCACTAACGGTTTCGTTGGCGCATTGTTCCGCGGCGCTCTCGGATGTGTCCGCCATGTGCCCGGGCCTCGCTTCACTCGACATTGCTAATGTTGGCGGTGTAGGCGTGGGGCGTGCGACGAAGGGGAGAGATGTGGTTGCGAATGTTAGGTCGGTGCTTTTTGTGGCGTATGGGCTTGGCTTGTGAGCCAAGTAATGGCGACTGTGTCAAGCTGGGAGGTGTGACGGGTGTCGCGCTAGTTCTCACAGATGATCGCACTGGTGTGGATGACGATTTGTTGGGGGGGTGTGTTTGTCGCAAGATATGTTTCCCCTGACGAACCAGTTTGCCCTGGTGTGGGTGTGAAACCCAGTTCGGGTGGTAGGTTTGGTGTTGTTTGTACAGTGTTTTGGCTTCGCCCAAATGACCCCTCGTCTCGTGAATTCTTTCGCCCCTCGTGGTCCTATCACAGCCGTCCCTGCCCAACCAAACGTAATATGTTAGAAAAAGTGAGACCCGGGTTTTAAGTTCCCTGTGCTCGTCGCCGTACGGGCTTTCCGGGGAGTACCTCGGTCGAGGCAAGATGGAAATCGAAGGATGAGATATACGGGCTTTGGATTGGCGACGAGTTGGAGTGCCAGAGGATGTATATGAGGAGGTCGTCCGACAGGTTGTCGAAGTAGGAGGGAGCCATGGATTATGAACTATAAGACTAACCTGATCGTGTAATTCTGAACAAATGCGTGCGGGGAGAACGCGATTCGCTGAAGGTTTTCAGGGTCCAACTATCTTGCTTTATCTTGATTGGGCTAGTATACCTGATGATGCTACGCATCCGTCTCGTATGTTCTGCTCTCTGTGCGTTCCTTGCGCGAAGATATAAAAACTCGAAACGGGTGACGGGAGGGAATGGAAGGAAGACTGGGTGGAAGGGAGGGGCCGAAGAAATTGTCGCGACGCCCTTGCAACAGCATGACGCTGGGCAGGGAGAGCGCGAAGGAAAACAAAACGCGATCCGAGATTTGAACCAGATTCGTGCCCCAGTGGTCAGACTCGACACGAACAGTCACGGTACAAGGCCACGAGATTGTTAGGTGTGCAATTGAGACAACCAGAGAGCATTACATTGGACTATTTGTGCTAACCAGGGCCCGTGCTAGGATTTGGGGCACCCTGAGGCCTCAGGGCACTTTTCTAAAATCTTTGAAAATGCCCTGATTCGTCAGGGCAAATTTTCGGGGCCTTCCTGTATGTTCAGGGCTTCTACAGACATTAATCCTGACCTGTCAGGGCAAAAATACCTGTGTTCAGGGTTCAGATTTCAGCACAAACCAGACCAGACTCTGCTGAGCAGAGCCGAGCAGAGCACAGCAGCATGGCACACGACGAGTTGGGAGTGTTCACTGTTTCCCCCGTCTGATGCGTTTGGTCGGTGCGTTGCGTAGGTGCAAGGGGGTCGCGAAAGCAGGAAAATATACGGGGAAAGCAATCCGCGGGGGAAATTTTTCCGGGGAACAAATTTCCGGGAAACGGTAACCCCCCCAACCCCACCCCCCCCCCACCCCCCCCCCCCTCCCCTCCGCGGAAAAAAAAACGCGTCAGGGAGAGCCTCGACGTTCATCCTGACGCTGCATGGAAGAACACCACAGGCATCCTGATTTTCCAGGGCATTTCATACAATATCCTGAGAGCTCAGGGTTAAAAGTGTCACTATTCTGAAATTGCAGGGCAAATTCAAATATGCATCCTGAATTCAGGGTAATCAGGATGTTTTGCCCTGATATCGTGGGCCTGGTGCTAACAAACTACTGGGTTGGAGAGAAGAGGGCTCTTTTGTCAATATGAATATATGCTAGGCTTAGCATGGGGTGGCGGTGTTGAGTGGTGGTGATGAGTGGAATGTTGAGCCCTGAAGCCAAGTTACAGCGAAGCATCAACTCAGGTAACATGCAAGTGCAAGTACGGCCTTCCCTTCCATCCAATTCATGTTATTCCTTATCCCCGCAAAGCACGAGTCAATGTCCACTGACCCTGGTCCAATCAGAGGGCTTTACAGCAACCGCATAAAATGGCTAGCACTGGAAATGCCTAACCCATCCACAAGCCATGCGAGTCGAGGGGGCTGTGCACGAGCCTTCTTTCAATGCACCTCAAAAACCATCCACTAGCCATGGGAGCCGTACAGGGCGATGAGCCTCTCTGCTTCCCTAATTCCTGACAGGTACGCCCCATGCGTGTTGGAGTAGTGGTGCCTCTCCGTGGCCTCCCCTGCAAACAGCACCTGCAGCTGTAGCCGCCGCTGCTGCTGCTCCTGCTGCTGCTGCTGCTCCCGCTCCTGCTACTCCACCAGGGACAGGCAGAGCCATAATGTTCAAGTCCTCCCCAGATCCCCCAGGAGGCACAAACGAGTACGACCCACGGAACAGAGGGTTAGACCCCCACTGTGTGCGCAGCCCCGCAACAGCCTCTGGAAGCCGCGCGGCGGTTTCTTTCGGCAGGAAATGCCGGATGACATTGCTGAGTGTGTGGTTGAAGTGAGGAGGTGTGGGGGAGGCAGTGGTGGTGGTGGTTGTTGTTCTCAGCTGGGCTGAACCATTCGCCTCACCAGCTGCAGAATCCCGAGCAGAGTCAGCTTGCGTCATACAAGCATGTGCAGCTGTGTTGCCATTACAGACACTTGATCCGTTCTCAATCTCACGCTCACTCTCCCCTGTCCTTTCTTCCCCGTGCCAGGACTCCATGTCGTACGCCTCTTTCCCTGCTATCCACGCCAGCACCACACGCGACTGCGCGTTGACCGGGTGGAAGGAGAAGAGATTGCGCGTCCACGCAGGGAAGCGGGCCGAGGCATCACCAGCATTCACAGCATCAGCAGCACCAGCAGCATTCCCATGAGCATCAGCATGAGCATCAGCATGAGCACCAGCATGAGCATCAGTATGAGCAGCGTCTGAGTCCCACCAGGGCCCAGGCCAGTGTGTTGGAGGAGCGAGGGGTTGTGCCGGCACATCCCACACTATCTCCAGCTCTGCTGTGTCCTCCCCGAATACTGCTGGCTGGGTGACATGGAGGGAGAAAAGTTGGAACAGAGAATGGGGAAAGAGAAAGTTGGAATAGATTATACTACCAGCTTTGGCTGAGGCCTGAACAAAGAAATACTTCCAGCCAACGAGGTTGGGGAGGAGGCGACAGGATAACGGAGAGAGAAGGTTGGGGAATGAGACAGTTGTGCTGGTGATGCTTAAAATCACGACTCACATGGCTAAGTTTCATCACTTATGAATGTTTCCGGAATTCGTACCTGTGGGAATTCCAGAAACACTTTATCGGCCATTCCAAAGCCAAGCCGCCGAATGGCCCCCAGTTTCGTCTCGGGCAGAGGCGGGCAGAAAAGGTTCCGCTCCGGCAAGGAATCAGCGTCCTTCCCAGCAGCTCTCTCTTTAAGCACGCCCAGTGACACCGTTACAATCACATGATCCGCGTAGATTCTCTCTCCTCCCTCCAACACCACACACACCGGCTTTCTCTTCCCCTCTTCTCCCCCCTGTTGCTCCTCCAAGGGTGCCACGTCTGCTGCTGCTGGTTCTTCCTTTTCTCCTCCTGCTGCTGCCCCTGCTGCTACCTCTGCTGCTTCGACCCTGCTTCTTCTTCCTCCTACAAAGGACGAGGTAGGAGGGGTCCACTGAACTTGCGACACTGGGGAGTTGAGCCGGATGGTGCCAGAAGGGAGGCTCGATGCTAGATGCTCCACAATGCGGGAGTAACTGGGGGGGAGAGAGGCGGGGTGAAAGTGGAGGGAAGGCGGCGCGGGGTATGCGAGGTGGTGTGGGGGGAGGGCGGGTGGCATACCAAGCACCAGGTAAGAGGAGGGGCCCAGTGAATCTGCAAGACCAGAGTATCAAGCTAGATGGTGGCTGAAGGATGGAGCAACACATATCCTCCAACAACACATATTCCCTATGCCGCTGTCACATTTGAGCCCCCCCAAAACCCCTCTTACGAGAGACCATGGGAACTCTTGGAATAAACGTACCCCTGGGCGATTGTGACGTGAGGGCCGCCAAACTCCTCGTACTCGCCGAAGTAGCGCAGGGAGAGTTGGTGCGTGGAGTGGCATGCACTAATGGTGCACTCCAGGCGCTCCCTCTGCTGCCACACCGCTACCCTCGCCCTCACTGCCTCTGACCCCCACTCCACGTTCTCCACTCCTGCCTGCTTGCTGCTGCCCCCAGCTGCTGCCGCACTGCCGCCCTCAACGTTCAGTGCCTCTGACGCCCACTTAACTCCGAGAAGCTTGCTGCTGCCGCTCCCAGCTGCTGCTGGTGTTGGTGGTGGTGGTGGTGACGGTGATGGTGCTGCTGCAGTGACTGCTGGTTCAGCGGCTTGGGTGGGCGTAACGGAGGGACCGGCGCTAGCACTGGCAGGTTGAGGGGGTTGGGGACGAAGTGAAGGGAGGGGGAGGGAGGGCAGGGGAGGAGAAGCAGAGATGAGAGACGGAGAGGTGAGAGCGGGAGAGTCACCTGGTAGAGCACTGGAAAGCGTTAGCTGAGCTGAGTCTCCAGCATTGCAGAGCACTGTGTTTTATTTAGCTCACTTCACAAACAAACACACACACAAACACACACAGAGACACGCACGCGCACACACACACACACACACACACACACACACACACACACACACACACACACAGAGACAGAAAGAAGAAAAAGAAGAAACAAACAAACAAACGAACAAGGAAAAAAACGGAGAGGTGGGCGGGTGTCACCTGACGGAGTCTTGGAAGGCGACAGCTGAGTCTCCAGCATTGCACAGCACTGTGGCTCCAGTCCAGTCATCCTCCCACCTGTCCTCGTCGTCATCCTCATCCTCGCTGTCACTGCCACTACCGCCGTTACTGCTCGTGCTGCCATTCTGCACATGCTCCTGCTCCTGCTCCTGCTGCTGCTGCTGCTGCTGCTGCTGCTCCGGGGTGGTTTCCTGGTGCGTCCAGCCTTGCTTGGCCAGGTATTGCAGCATGCCCTCGTGAATGTACTGCCCCACACTCTCATCAATCGTCACCTGGCATGGTACGGATGTGTAGAGCACAGAGAGGCATGGGGGGGGGGGATGAAGAGAGCATAGAAAGAGCGAGGAGAGAGAGAGCAGGGAAAGAGCAATCTCTCACCCCCTCACCTCCACTTATTGCGTCCACAACTCAGCAACCCTCCTCCCCATCATCAATGCACTCTGGGATCACTTGAACAACAGATTTTCGGATTGAACTCACCAGTTGTGCCTCCCTCTCTTACCTCTCTTCCACTCTTGTCCACAAATCGCGCCTGCTGCTGCTTCCCTTCCCCCACCCGCGACCCCACCAGTTGCGCCTCCCTCAGAAGCCGCCTGAACACGCGTTTCACCTCCTTCACCACACCCGCGTCCACCTCCCCCCCGCCCTCCCTCCTCCACCGATTCACCCCCTTCCACAGCCTCTCCTGCCCCTGCCCCTTCCCAGGCGCCCCCACAGCATCCCCCTGTAACTTCCCACTCGCCCCCACGCTGTCACAACCAGGGGACTGCATCAGTCCTTGCTCCTGTGCGATAGCGTAGAGGGGGCTACCGTGAATGCCGTGGATCCAATTCGCGCCCAGCTGGTGGCAGGTGGGAGGGGGGGACGAGGGGGGGGAGAATGACTGTGAAGGAAGAGGGGAGTTTTGAGGCGCTTCAAAACACATACAAGGCGCTGCTGTGAATTCCGTGGATCAAATTCGCGCCCAGCTGGTGGCAGGTGGGAGGGGGGGAGGAGGGGGGGAGAACGACGGGGAAGGAAGAGAAGGGTTTGGAGGTTTCTGCAATATCGCAGAGGGAGCTCCTGTGGATGCCGAGTAGTTTGAGAAGTCTCAAAGATACTCTACATGCCGAGCTTCTGTGGATCCATTCACCGTTCAGCTGGTGCGGTGGAAGAGGCGGATGGGGGGTGAGGGGCAGAAGGGGAGAAAGAGGGGGAGAGAGGGGGAGAGGGGACGAGAAGGGGGGAGAGGGGGCGAGAAGGGGGGAGAGGGGGCGAGAAGGGGGGAGAGGGGGCGAGAAGGGGGGAGAGGGGGCGAGAAGGGGGGAGAGGGGGCGAGAAGGGGGGAGAGGGGGCGAGAAGGGGGGAGAAGGGGGAGGGGGGGCGAGAAGGGGGGAGAGGGTGCGAGGGGGGAGGGGGAGGGGGGGGAGAGAAGGGGGGAGAGGGTGCGGCAGGCAATCAAAGTTGGTAAAAGTCGCCCTGGGTTTTCGGGCCTGCGCGCTGCTTCGGCCTTTGAGGCGAAAGACAGGGCGGGCCTTTGTTTCAAAAGGAAGGGAAAGACAAGCGGGGCGAGAGGCTAGCTGGTTGGGCCTGCTGGTGAGGCAGCCCCGCTCGTCCCTTGCGCGGCAAGGGAGCCTTCATGCCGTCCCTTACCCATCCATGCCGTCATGCGATGCCATGACGACATTCCTGCAAGTGTCCAAACCAGAACCAAACAGATTTACCCCCAAATCCAATCTCTACCACCCAGACAACCGGATTTCGAGAGAGGGCTCTAAACGCTCGCCACTACCCCCCCACCCTTCCCCCGCTTCTCACACGCACACGGCCAGATACGCCCAAATAGTACCTCCACCAGGTCGCTCCTGACGGTGGCGGACTCTGTTTCTGAGGCGCCTCATATTCCCCTGGACACCCCCCTGCCCCCGGACTTCCCCCCCCCTCTCTCACACAAACACGGCCAGATACGCCCATATAGTACCTCCACCAGGTCGCCCCCGAACGTGGCGGAGTGGATGCGGCCTCCCAGCCGGCCACTGGCCTCTAGGAGCAGCACTCGCACGCACCCGGATTGCTGAGACGGAGGGGAGGGAAGGGGAAAGAGCGGTTGGCGGAGGGGAAGGGAGGGGGTGGGGATGGAGAAGAAGGGGTAGGGGGGGCTTTTGACCATGACGGGAAAGCTACTTGCTTTTCGATTTAGTAAATCTCGATAGCTCCGACATGCCACGTCGGGATGAAGGGGGGCATGTCGGGAAGAAGGGGGGCTTTTGACCATGACGGGAAAGCTACTTGCTTTTCGCATCTGGAAAGCGACAAGAAATGTGACCTTTCCGTAGCGTTTCTGGCTTGTCTTTTCCGCGATGATGGAGTGGATCCAGACGTGGCATGTCGGAGCTATCGAGATTTAGAACGGAAGGAGAAGGACGGGAGGGAGTACACACACCAGCGGCATCAAGAATTTCTGAATCTTGCATCCTCCCTGCCACGTCAGCCGATCCCGACGTTGTCACGATCTCTCTGGTGCGCGTAAGAATTCCACGTGGCGGCGCGCGATCTGAGATCGCGTTCACAGCAAGTTAGCTCAAGCGAAGTAGGCTCAAGAGGCCCAAAAGTGCAGATATTTGGGTCCAGCGTGGCAGTTTTGCCACTGACCACACCCACTCCCCGTGTCATGCGAATGTGGATACACACCTAGACGAGTTTGAGCGAATTTTCAAACCCAATGAGGTGCATGTAACCCCGTCGCCTTCAAGATCGTTCATGAGAAGCTTTCGTGAAGCAACCCCAAACACGTGTTACACAAATATCTGTGCACTGTTGTTGAGCGCGGTTCGCTTTGAGCTAACTTGCTGTGAACGCCATCTGAGGTCTCACCTGCAGCATGCGCGCGGCAGTCACGCCCGCCATTCCCGCGCCCACGACGACCACCACCGGTCGAGGATCCATGGACATGGACATGGACGTCGGACGTCGCCTATATCGCTGGATCCGTCGCCTATCGTTGAATATGTCGCCTTGGATCCGTCGCCTGCTCGCACAATCAGTCGCCTCCTCGCGCAATCAGTCGCCTGCTCACAATATCAGTGGTCACGACAGCTCAAAGGGGCCTCTTCTTCGAAAAACCGTGCCGAAGCCGCCACTTGAAGTCCCAAAGATCAGGATCAACGTGGTAGCGCGGTGCGTCGCGTGCAGCAATGGCTGCTTTCAGGTAACTCAAGGATAGAGTACCGGTGGTTGCTTCGGGGCGACAGCGTGAACAGGTCCAGATCGAGGTATATTACTCCAGATTATACTATAGCTAGAGAGGTGTGGGTTGATCAGATGGTGAGGTAATCCGAAGGCCGAGGGGGTTGCGGGGTTGGGCTGGGCGGTTGGAGGTTGAGGGGATTGCGGTTGCGGCACGGGTGTAGAAGGCCAGGGAGGTGCAGGGCAACTGGTGTAACAGACGAGATATACAAGTCGCGAAGCGTTTGTCGCACACACTCCGCTGCAGACTCGCTTGACCTTCACGAAAGTTCAAGCATTTTCTCGTTATGGGGTGATCCGTAATGAATGACATTACAAGTTCATTTGAGAACTTCCCTACGAAGCCACAGAAACAGAAGCGGCTTGTTCTCAAACTCGTATCGTACTTCCCAACCTCCCGTCACACAAAAACCACCCAGATTAACCCATCCTCACCCACCTTCACCTTCCGATTTTCCCACCAAACCATGGCTCTCAAAAGCCAGCTGTACCAACAAACACGACCTTTCACTATCCATCCGTCTGTCCCGTCACACCGCCGCCCGTTCGCGACTCTCAGCAGCGAGCATTGCGCTTCGACGTCCGCTACCAGGTCCGCAGCAGCTTTCAGCCAATCCAAGCTCACGCTGCGAAGCAAAATGGCTCCTATAGTTCAGAAAAGCCGCCAGGATCAGATGTCACCTCTCGCCTTCTCTTCCTGCGCTTCGGGCAAAACGCCATCCAGGGATCTGATCCAAAGAGGGAGAGCGGACCAGTCCTACCGTCCGATGCGCTGCGCGTTCCGCTCTGTACTCACAAGATCATCTCGAGACTCTCCAGTATAAATGCGGGCTGAAATCAATCACAACTCAAACCTTCGCAGCAAACGAGCAGCTTCAACACTGCATCCCGTACCCTCACCAGCGCCGACAGCCATACCCTTTCCTTTCCGTCTCCCAACATCTTCACACGCGCGATGGCTCGTCTCTTCGAGGCGTCTCAGCTGCTGCCTGTGCTGGTGCTGGCTGCTACGGTTGCTCTCCTCGCTTCCGCGCCTGTCGCTGACGGAGTGAACTACGCCAAGAGCGGCCTCGACTGGGAGGTAAGCGCTCCGGGGACTTAGAATGCGGGTCCCTGTGGAAATATAGGCGCGTATGACAGTACTGATAAGTTAATTTCTGCTCGTTTGCTTCTCTCAGTGCTGCTGTGTGTAAGGTGTGCGTCCGCCATGACGAGGCGATTCTCCCAGTCATGAGTTCCGTAGGAAGAAACGTCTGGTGCTCACGGCTCAAGCGTCTAGCGGTTCATCTTCTACACGATACACTTCTGAAAAAACCTCACCCCTTCCTGCTCAATCGCACCTTTTCCCTCTCCCCCCTTCCCAGAACGTGTGTGCGGCAGGTGAGAGGCAGTCGCCCATCAACATAGTCATGGACGAGGCGTTTGGTTTTCGCAATCTCGGACCCTACCCCCCCCTCCTCCCCTCCTTCCCAACCCCACCTCCAATTCCCAGGGCGTGTGTGCGTCAGGTGAGAGGCAGTCGCCCATCAACATAGTCATGGACGAGGCACGGACCGTGACGGATGCTGAGAAATTCCACCTGGACTATGACACCTCAGCCACCACAGCCACAGTCGTCAACAAGGGGCACACCGTCCGTGAGTGACATGCCACATTTTGAGTCCATTCTTTATTCAGAATTTCTTATACGCACGCAACTGCATACCTGTCCAAAACCTTCTCTTCCTTCAACCCTCCTCTCCATTCCCTATTGTGCCTCTGTGGCTCATTCCGTCCTTCTTTTCCGTCTCTCCGCTCCTCACCATTCTCCTCCTTGCCCTCCTGCCCATCCACCTGCCCTCCCCCTTCTCCGTTCCCCCTCTGCCCCCCAGAGGTGGTCCCGAATCCATCCAACACCTACATACTCCACATAGCCAGCGGGACCTACGAGCTGAAGCAGGTGCACGTGCACGCCTTCTCAGAGCACGCAATCAACGGGCTCTTCGCTCCCATGGAAGCCCACTTCGTGCACGCACACATCGACAACCCCTCCCAGCTCGCAGTTGTCGGCATTATGCTGAGACTGCAGCGAGACGACCAGGCGAGCCCGTGGGTGGACGCATGGCTGCCACAGACCCCCTCTGGGCTGAACGCAACGGCTGGGATTGATGTTTCCGGGAGTTTCTGGAGGGAGATGATGGATTTGTCCATGGGGTTCTGGAGGTATCCCGGCTCGCTCACTACTCCGGGGTGCGATGAGATTGTTGAGTGGCACGTGCTGCGCAAGGCCAAGTTCCTCTCTGTGAATCAGGTACCGGTGGCCTGTCAGTCACGTGTGCGTTCTCTTCTGTTTGACCCTTTGGTTTTCCTACCGTGTGCTTCTTTGTTCCTCCGTTCGTGCATGTTTCCTCATGTTTTTGCGTGTCCATTCTTTGATCCCATGGTGGTTCCCCTTGTCTCCTGGCAGGCTGCCACTTTCATGAATCTCATGGGAACGATGAACAAGGAGCGCACCAATAACCGCCTACCAGAGCCACTTCATGGCAGGGAGGTCACCTACTTCACTACAGTCACTGCATAATTAACCAACCAATACCGCTGCCTAATTTGCTGGCATGATTCTAAAAAGGCATGCTCAAATTGTATTTGCTGTTATGAAGCTAAGGGTACATTCCTGTATGGACACAAATGTCTCAATCCCGTCATAAAACCAATGTACCGGTCTGCACCACATTACACCTAAGAATCAAACATTTCCACCGCACTGCATCTCTTCGTTTGAGACGCGAGGCCTTTGTGACGCGCTTCAGGAACGTACCCTAAGTGGACCTCTGCAGCCCTGATTACTGGTCTTGCTTGTGGTGTACACATGTGCATTATCATGAATTTATGCATCAATGAAAGCGCTCTTGAACTTGGATGTGCGGTTCAGAGGAAAAGAAGGTTCACATCCAGTAGTAATCTTGCTAATTAGGACAGGATGAATGAGGTTTACACTTAAAGCCCAAGACCTGAATTACAAAAAAAGGAAGGCAAACTGTGCACAGTTTGCCTTCCGAGCCCACAGTTGACTTCCCGAGCCTCTCTGGTTACCAAATGACGCCCCGCAAAGAACCAGAGAGTCGTAGAGCAGCACAAAATTGGTTGGCGAGAGTCCCAACCGCTCCCTCCTGAAGGGAGTAGGGGAAGGCAAGCTGTGCGCAGTTTGGAAATTGTGGTAATTCAGGTCATGCTCGACCACATAGTATCCACGTGAAACTCCTAGGTAGAACAGAAAGCCAATAGAGCCCGAGCCCAATAGTTTGGTAGGAAAAAAACACCAAACAGATTCTATGCGATGGCGCCACTTTTCACTCAGCGTCGTCGTCGAAACCCTGCGCGACCGCGAAAACGTCAGTTTGCGGCGCATGCATCTCCTCTCCGAGGTCGATATTAGGTAATCGTACGGTCGATCGCTGCCATTTCCCGCGCATTCGCCCTATGTTTGCCTCAGCTATGTTCCCCCACCGTCCTTCCTTGTCGGCGTCACACCCTGCCACACACGCTTCCCCTCGTCGACGTCGCCGTCCCCCACGCTTCCCCCCACCGTCGCCCGCGCTTCTTCCCGCTGTCGATCACACTTCACTCCGTCGTTGACCACGCTCTTCCTCCCGTCACCCACGCTTCCCCCCACTGTCGCTTACGCTCCCACCCACCGTCGCTTTCACACTTTCCCCCACCGTCGCCCTCGCTTTCCGCCACCGTCGCTCACGCTTTCCCTTACCGCTGCTCACGCTCCCTCCTGCCTTCCCCCACGCTTCCCCACACCGTCGCTCGCGCCCTCCCCCACCTTCCCTCACGCTTCCCCGCACATCACCCACGCTTTCCCCCACCGTCGCGCTCGCTTCCTCCCACCGTCGCCCACGCTTTCCCCCACCGTCGCGCTCGCTTCCTCCCACCGTCGCCCACGCTTTCCCCCACCGTCGCGCTCGCTTCCTCCCACCGTCGCCCACGCTTTCCCCCACCGTCGCCCACGCTTCATCTCACCGTCGCCCACGCTTCCTCTCACCGTCGCCCACGCTTTCCCCCACCGTCGCCCACGCTTCCTCTCACAGTCGCCCACGCTTCCCCTCACTGTCGCCCATGGCAGGTGGTGGTGCGGCTTTGGAGCAGAGTGTTGGGCGCACAGCCAGGGCAGCGCGTGCAGGCGGGCAGCAAGGAGTGCAGTGCTGCAGGGGGCTGGTTAGGGGAGGCGGAGCGGGGGAGGGGTTAGGGAGAGAGGGTGCAGGGATCCTCCTATCCCCCTTACCTCCTGCCACACTCTTACCTCCTGCCCTCCTCCCTTACTCCGTTCCGTGGGGCCCCCACAGTCGTCCTCCTCTCCCTCTCTCTTCCTCCCTTCCTCCATCTATCCCACACTCTCTGCCTCACTACCCTCTTTCCCCTTTCTGTTGCCCGTTCTCCCTCCCTTCCTCCCGCCCTCCCTTCCTGCCATTCTCCCTCTCCTCATCCTCCCTCGATCCAGTCCCCCTTTCCCTTTCCATCTCCCTCTCGCCCACTCCCTTCCTCACGCCAACCCTGCTCCTCCGTTCCACCCATCCTCTCATCCGCCCATCCTCTCATCCGCCCATCCTCTCATCCGCCCATCCTCTCATCCGCCCATCCTCACTCCGTCGCCCTCACTGCCTCCCACTCTCCCTACACTCCCTCCCACCGTCACCCACGCTCCCCCCACACCCTTGTACCCTTCTTTCCTTCTCTCTGATTCTCCCTTCTCCCCGTTCCTCCCTTATACCCTGCCACACTTTTACCTCCCTCACTTTCTCCCATCCGCCCTTCCTCCAAGCCTCCCTCCTCCCTACCACTCTCCCACCCACTCTTTCTTTCATCCTCCTGCCTCTCCACCCTGCTGCCCTTTTTTTCAAGCTGCCATCTTCCGATATTCCTATCCTCCGCCTTTCTGTCTGACCCACTTGCCTACTCCCTCGAATTTCTCACATCCTCCCATCCACCCTTTCCCTTCCAAGCCTGTACACTCCTAGCCTGTTTGTATATTCAAGGGGATTGCCCTTTGATTGTTATTGTTTTGTACGGTCTCCTTCCCAGCTGCTCCAACATATGACACACAAAATTTTGTGGTTCGTGTTTGTGCAGGTCTGCCATGCACCCAGATGTGAGGTGTTCGTTGTTTGATGATAGTGGTATGACAAATAGGTTGCCATGCCATGTATTGACGCTTATGCTTTTATTAATAAAACCTTCTCTGCTTCAGAGCAGCCATGCACATGGCCACTACAAAGAAGTGGAACAAAGCATAATATTGTTTATGTAAAAGTTGTCATCAATAGACTACAGGAACACATTCATCACATTCCTGTTGGGACTCATGGTGCTGGGCACCTGTAACCTGTTCAAGCATGGTTCCGTGATAGAACGGGAAGGGAAGAGGGGGTATGGCAGATAAGCGAGGGTTGGATGTGGACGGGGCAGAGGGGTGAGCAAAAGGGGAAAGAGAGTGAGCAGGGGGGAGAAGGGGGTGAGCAGGGGGGAGAAGGGGGTGAGCAGGGGGGAAAGCCAGTAAGCAGGGGAAACCGAGGGGTCTGAACAGGGGAAATAAGAGTAGTGTGGGGAAAAAAGGTTAAACGAAGGGGAATCGAGAGTAAACAGGGAGGAAAGGCGGGTGAGTCCAGGGGGAGAGAGTGAGCAGAGGGGGAAAGAGTGAGCAGGGGGGGAGAGAGTGAGCGGGGGGGGAGAGAGTGAGCAGGAGGGGAGAGAGTGAGCAGAGGGGGAGAGAGTGAGCAGGGGGGGAGAGAGTGAGCAGGGGGGGAGAGAGTGAGCAGGGGGGGAGAGAGTGAGAGAGTGAGCAGCGGAAAGAGATTGAGGGGGGGAGGGATTGAGCAGGGGGGTAGATCGTGAGTAGGGGAAAGAGATCGAGGGGGGAAGGGATTGAGCAGGGGGGTAGAGAGTGAGGCGAGGGGGAAAGAGAGGAGTGAGAACAGGGGGAAAGGAAGTGTACATGAGAGAAGAGAGTGAAGGCTGGGGAAGAGAGTGAGTGGAGGGCAGAGCGTGAGCTGGAGAGAGTGAACGGCAATGGGAGGGGTAGTGAAGGCGACGGGCGGGAAGTGAGTGCGACTGGCGGGAAGCGAGTGCGACGGGCGGGAAGCGTGTGCGACTGGCGCGGTGTGCGACGAGCGGGGGAAGCGAGAGCGACGGGCGGGGGAACGGAAGGCGCCGTTCGGGAGAAGCGAAGGCGACGGGCGGGAAAAGCGACGGGAGGGGGAATTGAGCGCGACGGGGTCGGGGGAAAGAGAAGGCGACGGGGGAGGGGAAGTGAAGGCGACAGGCGTGGAAAGCGAGGGCAACGGGCGGAGCGAAGGCGACGGGCTGGGGTCGCGAAGGCATCGGAAGGAGGTCTTGAAGGCGACGAGCTGGGGAAGCGATGGCGAAAGAGATTGAAATCGTGGGGCCTTGGGAAAGGAAAACGACGGCAAGGAGAGGTTCATGCTTTGGCGAAGGGTCACGCTACGATATTCCGTGCGAGTATACGCATCAGTTGCACTAAACCTGCATTTCGACACCAACGAACACTATCTTTGCGCGTCGTCATCGAAATCCGCGCCACACACATTCGTAAGGCGCCTCTGATTCCCCGCTATCTCTACAGGTACGCTCCCTGCCTAGTTATCTGCGTGCTATCTCAGACTGTGCACAGTTTGGGATCTACGCCCTTTTCAGGTTGTGGGAAGGACCCCACCTAGCACTCGTATTCTTGTACGCGAGAAACTTTTGTCGCAAATTGGTTTCGCGAGTGAAAGTGCTTCGCACCCCAACCGAACCTCTGTCTGGTTGCCTTCCGAACCTATTTTTTTCCGTTGACTTGCGTTGAGTAATTCAGGTCTTGGACTAGCTTCGTATATCGAATCGCACGAATTCGCCAAAACTCGTCAAAAGAACGGTGTGCGGCAACGGGCCTGCCAGCAGAGAACCGCAACTGTTCTACTGTACCATTCCCACCTCACGTCCCTCCAATCTATGCATTTTCCCAGAGCTCTTCCTTCCGTGCTGTGCTGCTCCTCGAGTCTCCAACCCAACTCTACCGAGGAATGCTGGCGCTCCAGCATTGTCCATTCACCGCCACTGTTGCCTGACCATGCCGCCTCCTGCCCTCGTTGCATCCAAAGCTGCTGCCTCTGTGCCCTTCACCTCTTCCTCCTCCGCGTCGTCTTCGTCTTCATCTTCTTCCTCGTCAAGCCGCTCTCTAGCGTTGTCGTCGTCCGTCGTTCATTCCTCGGACCGCGGTTCGCATCAGCAATCGCTACAGCGGAGCCCGTTTCTAAGGCCTCCGTCACTTACCTCTCTCCAGTCTCGGCATTTATTATCCGAATCGCGGACTCGAACCCGGTCTCGGATTCGTCTATCCAGCTCCCAGGTCGATCCCGCCAGATCACACAAATCCAGATCCGGCGGGAAATCTATCAAGCACAGCACACCGCTTATTAAAGCTACTAATAAAGAGCAACCGGCCGCGATGCACGGAGCTGCAGTGGGTGCCGCGCAGCCCTCTGCCGCTACCGCCACTTCCGCCTCAGTGTCCGCGCTATCAGCAGGGGGACTGGCCGCCGCGGAATCCGCTGGCGCTGCGAACGTCCCGATTGCAGCATCAGCAGCGGGCGCCGCGGTGGCAGCGTCGGCTGCGCACGGCGGCGCGACGGTGACGACCGGCGGCGCAGGCGGGGCGGCGGCGGGATCCGGCGACAGCGCGGCGGTCGCGGCGTTTCTCGCGGGGCTGATGCCGAAAGAGGAGATTGGCGCGCAGCGGTTCCTGCAGTCGCACCCTCATGCTGATGGACGAGGGGTGATCGTGGCTATATTCGGTACTTATTCGTTATTCTGCTGTTTTTAATGATAAATTCAGATGATAAAAACTATAATATTTATTTTGTTTTTGCCTTCTTGCTGTATTATCGTCGCAGTGCTCTGTACTTATGTCGTCTTTAGAAGGCCATGAAAGAGTGCAATTACGGCTTCTGTTGAAACGCCTAGCATGGAACGCACATCACCGCAGGCATTGTTTAAAAGGTTGAGCCTTAGTAGCTAAAATCCATTGAAATCCATCAGGAGAGCATACAGGGTCCACGCACACTTCAACTCCTTCCGCCTACTCCTCTCCTGTCTCTCTTCCTCCGTCTCCCCGTTCTCCTCCGCCTGTTCCCACTTCTTCCCCTCCCAGCTTCTGCTCCTGCTCTTCTTCTCCTCCCACGTTACATTCTCCTCTCCTCGTCTTGGTCCTCCTCTCCCACCTCTCCCCCCGCCTTTCCCGCCTCTCCTACTTCCCCGCATGTCCTACACACTAATCGTTCAGGAATCAGGAGGCGCTAACACTAATCGTTCAAAGAATTCCTTCCTATCTTCCTTGTCCCCTCCGCCCGTCCATGTGTGCAACTCAAAAGTGGATTCAGGCGCCTAAGAAATCTTGAGTCGTAACAGGCTCTACGCATCCACACACGCAAACTCAAAAATGAAACTATTCAAAGTCTCATTTCCCACTGGGCTTCAACTATAGTCCCCAAGGGCCGTCCTCAGGGGCTTTATTTCCTCCAGGGGAGTAACTATTTCTCTCCTTATCCTCCCTGTGCTCTCTCCACGTGTTCACCACGCGCACAGACTCGGGAGTGGATCCAGGAGCCTCGGGCCTGCAGGTGACGACAGATGGCTAGCCCAAGGTCATCGATGTCGTTGACTGGTATGTGTGTTTGTGTGAATGCTCGGATGTATGATTGCTAGTTTTTTAGGTCTGATTGTGTGTGTGCATGCGCGCGAGCGCGCACGTGCGAGTGCATGCATGTGTGCGTGAGTCGCAATCCTTGTGCTGTTGCCCTCATGTCACCACCCCTGACTGCTCTTCATCTGTGGCCGTTTTCACCTGCCCCTGTCGCGCGCGCGCACGTGTGTGTGTGTGTGTGTGTGTGTGTGTGTGTGTGTGTGTGTGTGTGTGTGTGTGTGTGTGCGAGCAGCACGGGGAGTGGGGACGTGGACATGAGCACAATCGTCAAGGCAGACAAAGATGGCTACATCACAGGAGCGTCAGGTAACCTCCCAGCGTCAGGTGCCCTCCCAGCGTCAGGTGCCCTCCCAGCGTCAGGTGCCCTCCCAGCGTCAGGTGCCCTCCCAGCGTCAGGTGCCCTCCCAGCGTGAGGTACCCTCCCAGCGTCAGGTTTTCCTCTCTCTTCCCTCCTCTCTCTCTAGTCCGTGACTCAGGGTTTGCTTCAAAGCCAGTGCGTGATACTCGCTTCTACTCTACCCTCTTACCCCTCATTTGGTTGGGAGCAGGTTATATTACCAGTGCAAAGCAAAGGCACCGACTCCACCGTCACCTCTACCTCTCTGCACCTCTCTCTTATGACCTGTGCCTCTCTGTACCTCTCTGTAAAACAAACCCACCAATTGATTCAGACTGGTTTTGAGATGCCTCACAACTTGCCGAATCTGTTTTTTGAGAATTCTAGAGATCAGATTCACCTCACAACTTGCCCATTCATTCTCCAGGCTGGATTTCTTACTGACCGTCCGTAGTACTGACCGCAATACAACGCTTCTCCACTCTCCCCCCACCTACTAACCCAGTCGGCAATATCCACGTGCAGGCGTTTCTTGACAAGTTCAATGCGTAAAAAAAGATGCGTTTTTTCACCTCCGACTCCTCCTTCCCCCCCCCCCCCCCCCCCACCCTTTCTCCCCCTCGTGACTGGCGGCAATATCTAGGTGCTCGGCTGCAGGTGAACAGTGCGTGGAGCAACCCGTCAGGGGAGTGGCGCGTGGGCGTGAAGCCTCTCTATCACGTGCTCAATGAAACCGTGCTGGACCGAGTCAAGGTGCGTGGATGGGTGAATGAAGTTGCATGGTTGGGCGAAGGTGTGGGGGTGAGTGCGAACGAGAGCGAGTGAGAGTTGAAGTGTGTCCCGCTGCCTAGGTGTGCTCTGCAGTTTTCCTTCTCCGCATGCCGATTATCAGCTGCCCTGCTGCTCCTTCCATGTGCCTGCTCCTCCTCTCTGCCCCGCACCCTTATTCATCCATCCATCCATCCATCCATCCATCCATCCATCCATCCATCCATCCATCCATCCATCCATCCATCCATCCATCCATCCATCCATCCATCCATCCATCCATCCATCCATCCATCCATCCATCCATCCATCCATCCATCCATCCATCCATCCATCCATCCATCCATCCATCCATCAATCCATCCATCCATCCATCCCTGGCACATGGTTACCACCACATCACGCTGCAACAGAAGGAGCGTCGCAAGAAGTGTACCCGAGGCAGCAGGCGTTGGTCACCCAGGCTCTCCGCCAGCTTGCAGAGTTTGAGTCGGTGAGGGAGCGGGCCTTGAAAAGAATAGGGGAGGAGTTGGGGCGTCTCAAAAGGCGTTCTGTTCTGATATGTCTCAGAAGTGGGACGCGAGGCAAGACAGCAGCCGTTGGTCATTCAAGCTCTCTGCCAGCTGGAGGAGTTTGAATCGGTGAGCGAGTGGGCCTCGAAGAAAAGAGGAGGAAAGAAACGGAAGGCGGCTCTCGGAAAAAGAGAAGGAAGATTTTAGAAAGGATTTGCTTTAAAGGGAATGGGATCGTGCTTGACGTGGGAGTGTGTGTGAGGAACATGAGGTGGAGGGTAAAAGAGGCAGGTCTGTCGGAAAGTATAGTTGACTTGACTGCATGGAATTGGGGGCAAAAGAAGGGGGCCGAAAGGGAAGAGGGAATCGAGGTCGGGAAAAACGAGGTGAAATGGTGAGAAAAGAGAGGCTTGAAGTGAGACAAGACGGGAGTCTGCTGCTGCTGCTTACTGCCCCCCCTTTCCTCTCCTTTGTTCCCGCTCCTGATTTGTGCATGCGCTTGTTCTTGACATGGGCTTGCTGGACACGTGTGTGTGGGGGGGGAGGGGGGGGGGATGCGTGCGTGTGTGTGTGTGTGTTTGTGTGCGTGCGTGCTTGTGTTGTGTGACACAAGCACTGTCACAGCAGAAGCCATCCAAGGCCAAGGACGAGGCGGGCAAGAAGCAGAAGGAGGAGCTGCAGGCGCGATTGGATCTGCTGCAATCCATGCAGGACGTGAGTGGGGGAGGCAGGGCAGGTGGGAGAAAAGGGTTAGGGTTGGGATTGGGTTGGGGGTTGGCGGCGAGGTTATGTTTTGGCGGCTCTGTGAGGGTATCCTTGTGTGTGTGTGTGTGTGTGTGTGTGTGTGTGTGCGCGCGCGCGCGCGCTCTAACAGGACGCATGACTCTGCTTCCAGTCCTTTTTCCACCTCTCTTTCCTCCGCCCCTCGCCTCTCTCCTCCTACCTCGCAGGCATACGAGGACATGGGGCCGCTGATAGACGCAGTGGTGTGGCATGATGGCACCACGTGGCGGGCAGCTCTCGATACCACTGACCTTTATGTTCACATCGCCCACGCTGCTGATGTTGCGCCTGGTGCTGCTGCTGCTGCTGCTGCCGCTGCTG